AATTTTATATATATATATATATATATTCACTATTCTTACTTTTTACCACCGGCATCTCACCGACACGACGAGGCTCAGCGTCATTTTTATTCCTACGTGCGCTCCCGGACTCCCGATGAAAAATTCCCCCTGTTTTTACTTCACATGCACAAGTCCGATAAGAAAGCATTGCATCTAAACCTTTTAATTTTACAGGGTGGTGAAATAGTGCTGAGTTCACACTATTTCGCAGGGAAAACGAGGCCATAATAAGTTCAAAAATTTTAATTTATGGAGTCGAAATTTTTTTTAGCCCTATTGAGTACCAGAACAACCCCCTGTTTTCACTTCACATGCACAAGTCCGATAAAAAAGCATTGCATCTAAACCTTTTAATTTTACAGGGTGGTGAAATAGTGCTGAGTTCACACTATTTCGCAGGGAAAACGAGGCCATAATAAGTTCAAAAATTTTAATTTATGGAGTCGGATTTTTTTAGCCCTATTGAGTACCAGAACAAGACTGAGGGGAAAATGTTCAACTCAGGCAGTTTGCATCGGAATGATAAGTCTGATTTTATTTAAATTTTAATTTTCATTTAAATTGCTAAATTTTTTATTTTATTCAAATTCGAGCACTTTCTCAGTCAAGAAGGGTTTGAAATCGGAACACAGTCAGTTTCATTGGGTTTCATTTCTTGGGTTTTACACATTTTTCCTATGGAAGAATGCTTAAATTTAAAAGAAATCATATTTAAAAAGCCACAGTGGTCGACAAATTTTGTAATTTCTTCCATAGAATTTGTAAATCAATGTTTTCTGTTTATCCCTTCTTTTTCACAACTAAGGCTTAAGAGCGTCAAGAACGAGCTATAAAAATTTTGTATTTCTTTGTGACAATCATTTTAACAATACAAAATACAAAATTTCCTTACAAGGTTGCAGTATCTAAACTAGTTAAAATTCTAAAAAAGAATATAAAAAACAAACCAAAAATTTAGGAAAAAATACAAATTTTATTACTCACAAATTGATTTTTCACTAACTAAAAATTAAGCGTCTCTAATTGAACATTGAACTTTTCTTGGACTGGACAGGAATTGCGTTTTGTCATATTTTTGTGAAAAATCGAATCACTCGAGCAAATTTTAAAACACTGGTATGGGATAACCTGTTTCGTCTGCGGGAACCGAAGAATTTAAAATCGCTTCCACTTGGGATGCATTTAGCGAATGATAACCACGAAAACAACCGTCAATAAATTGAGTTGAGGAAAGCTGTGAGATTTTATAGAGGCGTATTTTTTCCTCATAAAATTTCGACAACTGCAGAAAAATGTTTTTCATTCAAAATCTGATTTAATAGTCTTTTTTTCTCTGTGATTTGTTAGGTTGTTTAAACTTGAATTTTAAGAAAGTAGGCAGGGCCGGATTTACCAACTTGCCGCCCATGGGCCGCTAGTATTTTGCCGCCCCCTTCTCATTCGATTTGAAACATCAATGACAATGAACGTGCCAGCGGGGGAGGGGTGCATAAGACGCGTTTACTGGTGTTGAACACATTTTTTGGGAAGGCCCTGTCAACACTACAAGCAAAAGTTCACGGAACTTTAGGCGCAAGTTAAGTTTTGTAAACCTATCTCTGTGTGAACAAGACCTTCCATTCATAAGGAATGAACGAAAAAGTTATGAAAGAACAAACATAAATGTGGATTAATGATTTTAACTTCCACCGCCGCGCCTCGCGGACAGCACTGTGTTTGACGCAATGCGTGAAGTATTCACGCAGTCTTGTAGGCGCTATGCGTCTCACGCTGATCGCACTGTGTTTGCCGCAATGCGTGAGATATTCATGCATTCTTGTAGGCGCTATCCGTTTCACGCTGTCCGCAATGACCGCACTGTGTTTGATGCAATGCGTGAAGTATTCGTGCAGTCTTGAAGGCGCTAATATATGTTACATGCCGATCGCCGCGCCGAGGGCTTCTCCATTTCATCTCAAGTCCTCGTCATCATTTCTCTCTAGATAGGTCGCGCCGTTCCAGGCCAAATTGCGTGTTTGGTTTCTCTCTTAACTCGACTAGTTAAAGGTGCTGTCTCTTGTATCACTGAAATACGACAAAAGTAGAAATTACTAAACTCTCAGAAAATTAGAGATTTTGCCGCCGTTTCTCGTTTGTAATTTTTATTTCTAAATCCGAATTTTTTTTATACCTACATTTAAAAAAATTGCGATTTCCGCCCCCTATAAATTTGCCGCCATTGGCCGCGGCCCATGTGGCCGCCGGCCACCCCCTTAATCCGGCACTGAAAGTAGGGAATACAGCCAGTTCTGTTGATGTCACAAAGGTGTTACTTTTTCTCACTTTCAAATCAATTTTCCTCTACTTAATTTCTCATATCAGGAAATACAATGAACTCGCCTCAGTCGGCACTTCGACGGTGAAACTACCAAACCACGTATCTCGGTTTGCGACGTCGCAGACTTCCTGTCATACTTTATTTTTTCAATGAAAAACTACTCAACGTCCAGTCTAGCAAATTTCTGTGATTTTTCCTCTTCGTGCGGAGAAAATTCTGTGAAAATTTCAAGAAATGATATTGATTTGGTCTACTTCAAAAAAATAAAATGCGAGCGTAGATTTTTAAACACGAGATACGTGGTTTGGTAGTTTCACCGTCGACTTTTAAAAGAAGCAATGAGATTTCTCATAAGAATTCTCCACTGAAAACTTCTTCATTTTCTAAAGATTAGTTCAATTCTTTATTTCACAAATTGCAATTCTTTCCCGGGAAAGAGTCAAAATTTTGAAACCAGTCCACAGATACATAACAAAAATTTGGAAAGTGGTAAGCACTCCGAGATTCTCTGTATTGGCAAATTTACTTGAAAATCAGAAAATGTATATATAATGCTGTGTATTTGTGAAATAGAAACATCGTGACGTGGGAAACAATTTTTTTCACTCGGCGACTGGCGACTGACTCTGGAGAGTCAGAACATGACAATCCCGCACGAGAAGCCGCGTCTTGAACTTTCGTGTGAACGATCTCGAAAACGGGAGACCGAACGGCCGTCGAAAACGGAATTATCGTCGAGAGAAGAGGAAAAGGGGGAAACCGATTATCAAGACTTGGCGATTGTCATTAGTGTACGAGCGAAGGAAATCTATCGAGTCCTCTACAAAAGTAAAACATCATAAGTTCACAGCAATATTGCCAAGATCGTGCAAAATCTTTCGGCCTCTAGCAGCGAGTGAACTAGCGCTTGCGATTATAATTCGGTCGCAAGCGAGCGGGTGGCGGAAATGCGTTTTTTCGGTGACAAATTCGACTTTACGCGTGGCTCGGGTTGCACGTAAGGCAGTGGGAATGAGTCGAAATCTTAACGGTGCTGTAAAGCTCTAATGTTTCGGATCCGAGACCCGCTATTGTTTATCCCCCGGTTGGCGGGAAAAAACCGAGGGGGGCTCGAGGGGACGTAACAAGGCAACTGAGAACTGAAAACTGAGCAATGAGCGTGGCGAGGAAAAATTTTTAAAACTCTCGAGAGCTCGTTAGAAAAAAGAGGGAGGCGGGGAAAAGTTCACCGGAGTTGGTTTTAATGAAGTGAAATTCGTCCTCCGCTCGGCTATTAATCGCTCTTTGCCCCAGCCGTAGTCGTAACCCCCCCCCCCCCCCCCCCCCCCCCCCCCCCCCCCCCCCCCCCCCCCCCCNAACACATTTCCGGTCCTAAACATTCACAATCCCGGAATCGCCCATGTCCGACCTTTTACCCATATCGCCACACCGTGCGACGGCCGACAGATAAAAGTCACCGGATTTCCCGTGTCGCTACGGGGGGCGAGGAGGGTTCTCGCACAACTTTATTGTGGCCGACGCCTTGTAATGGAGGAGGAGGGCAAATTGAGTCGCCGAAAAACTGGATCTTGTTTCGTTGTGGTTGAACCTATTCGTTTCCAAATTATCAACAAATTTTAAAATTGAATGATAGGATGTGTTCGTTATGGACAACGGTCTTTTTGTTGCTTACTCGGTGTGAATTTTTGAGAGTTTGACGATCGTTCTTGAGCTCATGTTGACTCATTTTGACATTCCTCTGTAACAAGTCAAGCTACGGAAAGATCACACTCATATGAAGGGTGCAGTCATGAATGATGGAAACGTTGATGCAAATAATTTAGAAACAACCATGATTTTGCCATCAACATCTGTGAATAGTCTTAAACATCATGAAAAAAATTCTAGCTCCCAAGCCGCTCATATTGCCAGTACGATTATTGAAGGCGAATTTGATAAAATAAGCGCCACTCAGTAAAGATAGTAATCAATGTGAGCTCCTTGCCTGCATGAGTAAATATTTTCCCATCCACTCATTATAATTATAATTATTTAGGAGTAATTAACAAATTAACAGCGTGGAATGCTCGCCAATAAGCGCGTGAGGCAGCGCTCCTTGCGAAGCACAGGTAAACTCCTAGTCCAATAATATGATGCTCAACTGAATTTATCAAAATTGCTAATCAATGACAATGAGCTGTTTTCACCGCAAGTTGTGTGATCTCTCCATAAAATAATTATAGTTTGCATGAACGCAGCTTCATGTCTCGTAAACCTCGTGAGAGGTCGTGAAATATTTCATAAAATTTCAATTTTTCCCGCTTTCCTGCGCTCAACGCTGATTGGCTGTTGCACTTGACGAACGGCTCTCGGCGGGAAATACACTGATTGGTCGTTGCACCTAATGAGCGGCGCGTGGCGGGAAAAATACTGATTGGTCGTTGCACTCAACGAACGGCGCGCGGTGGGAAATCTGCGCAGCAAGTGAGAATTTTTTTGCGGGCGGTAAAAACTTCCCCGTCGATTTAAATAGCGCGTCAAACTTTTAAATCCTCGCGCGCGCGCGTAACGCGCATGAGCCAGTTCAATGCCTCGTTCCGCTAGTTATTCCTCAGCTTCCACTTGGTTCCTTTTTGTGGTGATCTGGAACTGCGGAATGCGGAAACTTTAATCAAAACAAAACACCAACACATCTCTCTCGGCTCGGGCTAAAGTGAAACTATTTTTGGCAAGCTCTAATTAAAGTTCCCGAAAGTTTTGGCTTGCGTGAGTGTAGTGCGCGCAGTGGCCGTGGTATGGATGGGAATTACATGGACTTTAACGTGAGGTGAAGCTTTAAACCGTCGAATGAGCGCGAGGTGTTTTGACAATGCCGGAATTGAGCTCCTCTTTTGAGAGAGAAATCTCATCTTCACTTCACCTGCCTCAGCCCCCTCTTTGATGCTGAAATTTTGTTTTGACTGCCACTAAAATTTGAGTTTATTTTCTGGAGTCTCCAGTGTTAAGTGCAGTTTTGTAGGGTACATGTTGGAGGAATCAACACTATCTCATTGAGACTACCGACCTCGATTAAGACGAACGAAAATGCCGAACGTCGAGCTCAGCACTACAAAAACTGTTTTCATCCTATCGATTGTTTTAGGATGTTTCGCTATTCTATGGCCAAAAGTTTTTTACCCCATGTTCCAGACTTCTGTCAACCAATCACCATCTCGATCTTTCAATTCAGAAGGTATTCACAACCAGCCCATTTCAATGTAGATTAGTTCAAAAGCATCTGGCAAAAAAACATTTATTCTTTACCCTACCCTATTACTGCATTTCATCACAAAAGCCGTCATAGAGTAGCCTTCCAGCAGTTATCACTGAGCACTGTCATTCCAAGCAAGAGTCCTAAAAGTCCAACATATAAGTAGCGTTGACTCACATGCCTAACCGTCGATGTAAGTTGGCAATCACATAAGGTCGCAGACTTCCTGTCATACTTTATTTTTTAAATGGAAAACTAAGCAACAGCAATTCTTTAAAACTGTTGTGTTTTTTGTGGCCTGCACCAAGAAAATTCTACGAAAACTTTAAGGAACGATGCCAATTTGTTCTCTTTTAAATAAATAACATAGAGGCGGAGATTTGCAGACACCGCAAACGAGATATGTGATTGAGAACTTACACCATCGAACTGGTTTTTCAATGAGGAAAGGAAACATTTTACAATACTAGCATTTTTCACAGATATTCTTATCCAAGCTAAAATCCCACATTGAAGGTAACACCGTCTAGGATTAAGTGCAAATGAAGATGAGTGAATTTCCTTTTAAAGTTATTCCTGGTATTCGGAAAAACTGAAACATCTTAATTGATTCACTCTGCTCCTGCTCAGAATGACGGATGAGGTAATTAGTCCTTGGCAAATAAGTTGATGCACTTAGAGTGCGACAGGAAATCTTCTATCTTCAGTTCAGTATTGAAAGTAAATTCAAGAATCAAGATGGTGCATCATCTGTTGCACTCTTAGAGTGTGTCAACTTGTTTGGCTTGACTTTATGGAGGGAAAATGTTGTGATTGGAGCCTAGCTGTTTATGTGTAGGGTCTATTTTTGTCACCAGAAAACTAATCTTTTTATTTCACTACATACTTTGCATTGATTAGTTGCACATGACAATCCTACAAGCAGCACTAGTGCTCCATAACAATAAGCGCAAGCTCTGAGTATTGTGAGGATTTCATGTGTATTCTTGGTTAGAGGATGAAAAGTGGACCCTCAATGCCAGGAACACGGTACCAATCAACGTGGTTTCTCTCAAATAACCTTGTTGAGGATGGTAGAGATACCATCATCACTCGTCTAGCAATTAAGTGCAAAAACCTTGGTACAACGTTTTCTCAGCGTCACGTCTTAGGAGCAGCCTTGCTCATAACATTGTGATAATGGTTTTGCACCCATTTTGCAGGACGGGAAGTTGACAGAAGTTACAGAAAAACCTGAAAAAGGTCCCTAAAAAGGTTCTCTTTTCTGCACTCATTGTCACTCTACAAAAGAGTTTGTGAACTTAGCAGAACTAAAACTTCTCAGTTTGACAATCTTGAGAAGTTCATAGATGAAGGTGAAAATAGAATCAGTGCCAAAAAATGTATGCAAAGACAGATGATACATCCTAGTGCCACCTAGGCCTAAATGCCTCAATGCTTAGTATCTCGTACGATCATCTGAGGCCAGGAAAGACTGGCCTCGAATGGTGCTTTCTCTTGGTCATTAATGGTTTTTTTTTTTTAATGAGAAGGAGTCAAAGGATGTCTAAATATGAAGTGACCCATGAAGTTATCAACTTCAATCATTTCTGCTCAGTCTGAAGCAACAACAACAACGCCTGCTATTTTAGATACCTTTTTCATGACTTAGTACTACAAGAAAAAGAGAAAAAACTTTCAAATTTGTTTCCTGTATCATGTTTTATTTTAGCCATCAGCGAGTTAAAAACACTATTTTGAATACCTTTTTTAATTTCAGGTTGCTGTGATGTTATTTTTGAAAAAGACGTCAATGTAATCAAAATTATGATGGACGTTTGCGAGAAAATTTTGAGGAAATCCAATGATTTTGATTCAAAACTTTCTTTGGCTTTCCAACAAGGAAAACTAAATAAACAAATAATCGAAAAATGCCGCAGCGAGGTCTTAGAGAAATGTAATGTCGACATTTCACTATTCCTGACGGAGAAAGATAAAATAGGCAGAGGCCACAAACATATTCTAGATGAAATTAGAACTTTCAATAGTTCATTTTGTATGAAATATAATTTTGGTGTTACGCCTGGGCTACTTGGCACTCCTCGCCTGATGAGAACTTTTAAAGAGGTTCAGTCAAGTAAGCCAATCAATTTTTGGGGTTTTTTTGCGAGTTGAAGCTCATGAACTTTAAATTGAACTGCCTGCTTAACACTAGTCATGAAACCAACAGTTATTATATTAACATGCAAGTTTTTTCTAATGCACCATCAGCGTAAACCTACTCTCTTAATTCTTAATCCAAAATTGCAATAGTTAAAATGTGAATAAATCGAACTAGTATCTATCAATATATTTTATCCACATGTATACCACCAGCATCTTTTCATTTTTTGGTGAAACTATTTTGTTTTTATCTGATTTGATCTAAATAATCCCTACAGAACTTTCCTTTCATTTTTTTGTGATTGTGCATGGTCATTTATAATTTGCAACCTATACATTTCCCCAGCTCAGTTTTGTTTGTTTGGTTCTTTTTCTTTCTTTCTTTTTTTTTTTTTCTTTGTTTGTTTGTTTAAGTTATTTTTTCAAACTTTCAATTTTACTAACATTTCTTTTAATTAATGAGAACTGAGAGGTTTCAAGGATGCTCGTAACAATTAGAATTTGCATTTACCCTAGCTTGCACTATATATTTACCTCTGACGTTAGAAGTTACTCCATGAGAAAAAAAAACAGTGAACATCTCCCCCCCCCCTTTTTTATACTTCCAAAGCTTGGACATTTTTTTTCTCATCTTGCTTATTCGAATAATCACGGTCATGCACTAAGAAAATCTGAGCAAAATTAATGAACAAGTCATCAAAATTAAAATTGTGCTGTTACTTTCTGACTTTTAAAACTGATAATTTAAAAAAGAAAAAAAATTATCAGGGACAAATGTCATCAGTTGCGGATCAACCAGTATTGAGCGAGTAATAGCAAAACTGTGCTAAATTCTGTGCCGATAGATTTTCATCAGCATGGAGAAAGCCGCACTGTGAATGAACAAAAAAGAGGAAGATTTTGTATCCCGATTTGCAATTAGCATTTTATATCATTCAATTCAGCAGGTATGGCATGGTATGGTTTCCATTCCAACAGTTATAAACCTAATGCTCAGCGGTGCTCTTGAGAATGTGTTTCTTCCTCTCTACCGGGAAAGGGGGAAAAAACACTACAGAGCCCTTAAATTCTCTGATGATTTTTACTTTAATTTTCAATTTTGACCTGTCAAAATAACATGCACCTAATTATCTGAGCTTCCATGGTTTCTTGCAAAATGAATGGAGTTGCTCAACCTTAGCAACTCAAAAATTATTCCAAAAAAAAAAAAAAAAACATGGATCCTTCCAACAAATTTTGATTTATTATTTTATCCTTTAATTTTCAGTCTCTATTTTTATTAAATTTTTTTTTTTAAGATTTTGTTCACAGAACAATGAGTATTTCTGTTAGATGTAGCATTAAATTGATCCACATCAATTTTATAACATTTTTGAGAAGTTCAGTTGAGTGTGAATCAAATTTAGATAGATACTAGGTATCTCAATAATTTTTTCTCTGCCTTTTTCAAATAGAACATCAACGGCCGGAAAGGTTACCACATATGCGCCCGGAGTTAATGCATCCAGCTTTGAGGGAACGCGGGCGTGCAATCTTACAGTCTCATGTGCCGCACTCGCATGTCGTACCAAGAGTTGAAAACGAAAATGTGTCACCACTGCCAAGAGTAAGTTATTGTCTTTTAAAAGCATCAATATTTTTTGGATATTTCAAGCAAAAACGTGAAAATGTGGGAAACTTTCAAAATTAACTTGTGCTTTCAAAATCAATCAATTTAAACGTCCCTCTTGTGAGCAAACAAAAGTTTAAACAGGTCAAATAAAGCAATGAAAAAATGATATCTGTTCAGCATATATTCTGTGTTTGGTTTGTAAATATTGTTCTTTTTCTCTAGTGCCTAGAACTCATATACATGTCAAGAGACATTCAGCACACTCAAAAAATTCTGCAGTTGTGTAACATTGAAATAATTAGTGTAGTGCTTGTCTTGACTCAAGTAAATTGTAGTCTATTTTAGCCAAAATTTGAATCCGAAAAAGCCATTTTTCCTCTCATGAAATGAAGTTAGAAATTTTTAACGTATACATCATATTTTTCCTGGAATTTTAGCAAGGAAGCAATAGAAAATAATGAGTTACTGCTCAGAAGAAGTCAACGTGAAAGACAAAGGGATATGCTCCATTGCTTGCATCACCTTCTTGCATTAAGATGTTATTGTCAAAGATAAAAGAAGGTTAACCTTGAAATTTTTATTCTTTCTCTCTCTGCAGACCGCAGTAGGCTTTAAAACAAACCAACTTCTTTAATGCTGGGTGTCTCAGTTTGATAATGTTTATTTTTGAATAGTTCGCCGGTGTTGTACAGGCTATTTTTAGCCTTTGGCCCTCATCCAGGTCATAGAGATGAAGAGCAAGACCTCTGCATTTCAGACGCATGTCTTCTAAATTGTTAAGAATACTGACATCTGGTGCAGTGTCATGATATGTCGTGCATTCATTGACACTTCCTTTACGGCTTGTTTTTCCAGTGAATGAAGTTCTGGCCGTCTACCTCCTCCGCAAAATTTTCTGCTACATTATCAAATGCTCTCATGCTTCTTGATAAATTTTTGGGACGCTTTTAAAAATTATCTTGTCAACCGATTTGCGCATACAGATTTGAATGAAAGTCAGAACACTGGTCTTTTGAGGTAGAAAACTTGCAAGGGAGCAGGGGAGAGGTACAATTTTTTATCAAAACATGAGAAGAAAAGTGATGAAGGCTCTATTATTTGCCATCTTTTCAGTTTTGAACAGAATTATAAGAATGGAAGACATCATTTCACAATCGTAATTACTATTTTTTATTTGTGTTATTCTTTTTTTTATTTTCAGCCAGGCCCTGTTCCCGGCATGAGGCCTCCGATGGGAGCAGCTGGTCATGTGGTTCCACCACCAAAAACAGGGAGTACAGTTGGTATTTTGATGCCCATGTACACCATCTGTATTGTTGTCTTCTTTGTATACACCATGTTGAGGGTAAATAATGATTTTTAATCTGAAGATTTTTAGTATTTCCTCTCTTTTTATAAACTTTAATTCAGCTCAACTTTTTCAGCAACAACCAATGAGAACCACTGACGCTTGCAAACGCCTTAACACTAAATTTCAAATTCACTCATGAATCATCATTGATGGGAGGTATAGGTAGACCATGAGAATAATTTGAATCCGTACAAAATTGCGAAATTCCTTGAAATGAGAACTGCATTTGTTAGCAAAAAATTTGTTGCTTTCAATGGCTCAGTATAGCAATCTATTGAGTTATCAAATGCGAAACTTTTTCCCAGATAAATCTTGTTTTTAATTCTATGAATTCTTAAAAATCGTCATTCTCTTTCATTCTTTTGCAAATGATTCTATAGACTCATATATGGGGCCGTTGTCTTTTTTTGGCCCAAAACTCAAAGTTTACCTTGACTTTTGATCCTAGATTAAGTTGATCAAGGGTCTTTTCACGTACCTCACTGAAGTACTTCTTAAATTTTTAAATACAGATACTGTTTCGGAAAGAAGAAGAACGGGATTTAAAAGACTTACCGCCTGATCCTGAATTCCGTAGAGTAGTCTTCAATGAGCCAAAAGCTTCTCCCACCCCTAAAGCCAACGGAAAACCTCAGGAATCATCAAAACTAGGTGAGTGTTTTTATCCTTTTCTATTCATTAACCATTGCCGTCATTGTTAAAATTTTGATTGCGCTATTTTTAAAATTATTAATGTTTTATAGAGCTGAACATCTGAGGATCCTGTGGTCGTGTTGGAATCACAATCAACTGTCTTCGGTATATTTTTCAAAGGTTATTACTTACAAAACAAAAGTACGGTACAAAATTAAGTCCCTGCAAAAAATCTACTCACATCAAATAAATGAATCAAACATTTTTCATCTCGCCACACCCTAAAACAAAAACAAAACCTTCAACAAACCTAAAACCCTCCTAGAATTATTCCAAATTAACTCCCGTTCTCAGTTCAGTTTGAATGTTCGAAGACGAGAGTAGGCCCTGCCTATCTTTGCCTTTCCTATCTCAATTTTTAGCACCATTGATTGTACGCACTCTGTACCATCAATAGAAGTAATAAAGTGAATAAGAGGTATTTTTCTGGGATAGAAAAGTTTTGGAAATAATAGTTACCTTTTTGCTTTTTTCATGCTTCACTCAAATTAGGCCGGCAAGAAAAAGATACAAGTAAGTGAGATTGTCAATTAAATTTAGCAGTCATTTTATGCCGTAACAGGAAACTGCCCAAATTTACTAGAAATATTTCAAATTCCTTACATAGCTAGGATAAAGAGAGGAAAGACTACAAAACTGGTCTAAAAACTCGGATAAATTGAGTAAAACACCGATACTTCTAAAATCAGGAAACTTGGCGTGGAATATCAAGAACAATAATTGTTTCTAAGACACAGTGACTATCAACAGAAAAAAGTCTAGTCCTAAGAAGTTTTCTGCAGTTGACTGTGAGAATTTCAAGCCATCAGAATATTTCAGTTGTTTACAAAAAGCCCGCGAGGAAATAAATACTTTCCTTTTATCTGTCATCGGCATCCTAAAAGATTGCCTGATTCGCATGCTTCCATAGTGTTGGTTGAGACTGTAAAAACACTTAACACCACGAAGAAACTTGAGGAATATGCTTTCCTTCAAAGCTCATAATATCTAGAGTAGTTTAGAAATCCGAATGAAATGACATCATCAGGAGGTTTTTATAACCCTATACAATGAGTGATTTCAAAGTTATGAGGAACGTCAATCATACACTTCTGGTTTCTTTTCTCGAAAGTAATTTTTAGAAGGTTTGGAGTGAAAACTTGATTTTTTTTCTTTAGCAGCAGCTCTTCAAAATATTCATCTGTATTACTCCTCTCTTCCCTCCTACTTTAAAAAATCTCTGTCCTTAGTTTTCAAATTGTGTAAAAAGAAAGGGAAAAAACTTGCATAAACATCATGGTTAGTTAACATTTTTGTGTATGGGGCTTTCTAAACTGTGTACGCTAAAGATCATAAGCTTTTGCTTGGTTGAATTTAGTTTGTAATTCAACGAATGATTTTCAGGAGATATAGAAATTGATCTTTTAAGGAAACGGCTAGAAGAGACTGAAGCTGCGATGGAGAGGATTGTTAAACAAATGGTGTCAATACCAACACCTTACCCATCCGCTCAGCCAGAGGTTCTCTTGTTTCAATAACCGCTCGTTTAGTTTTTTGGGTTTTCATTCTGCACTTTGCTTATGACTCCGTTCGAATTCGTGTTCTAGTCTTTTTCGCCTTTTTGTTATCGTCTAGCACTTTTGCTACATCTAATTCCTGCACAGTCATTATTGCACCCTCACAGCAGAAAAAGTCTCTCTAGTAGCAACATGCAGAGACTATTTGTTCATCATTTTTGCATGCCAATAATTAGTGCAATGATTATTTACTATTTTTTGATTCGTGTGAAAATGGCTCCAATGTTTAAAAAAATGATTATGTAGATTTCAAAAATGAAATAGAGGGTTATTTTGTTTCAGCCACTTCCATTTTTTGACTCTGCATTGTACATTTGACAGTGTCAAATGCCCATATTCTGCTAAATTTAGTACTTGAAATCATTGCAGTATGAATAAATGTTTTTCAAATCAAGGTCCATAGTACGAAAATAGTGCTGTTTCCCCTCTTTCCCACCTTGAAAAAATAGCAAAATTGTTTTTTTGCTTCTTTATATTTAAGTTCCCTATCATTTATGTCCACTAGCTGCCATATTTTTATCCATTCTTTATGTCCATCAGAAAAATTAATGGTTCAATTTGACTTACAATGTTAAGAAAACATTACATTTTAAGTTTCTACGTATTCTATTATTTATTGAGTATCTCATCTTATATCCCCACAACATCATCGTTTTGCACTACTATGCATACAAATTTTATTCTTTTTCTACATATTACTCTCCTTTCATTGATCACCAGTATACGGCACCAGTAATCATTTTTTTTTTTTTTTCAAAGGAGGAAAAAAGTACTTGCGGTTTTTATTGTTTTCAAATGAATCCGAACATTAATTTGAAAGCATAATTCTGTTAACCCACTTGACACCAGACTACCATAATTTTTCCTCTGCAGTTCTTAAGTAGCATGATCTAAAACTCATGTTGGTTCATAGCTCATCACTCTCCTCAACTATTCACTAAAAGAACTTTTTTTTTCTTTTTCCTCTAACGCTTTAATTTAATTTAATTGATTTAAAAGAAAATCATCCTCATTTTCTCCTCTTATCCATTTTGCAACACGACAAGAAAAAAAAACAAAAAATATGATTCCTCTGAGGTTATGTCTTTCTCCAGTGGTTAAATCTGATAATTTGCATTATTCTTATTTATCAGCGATGAAACTGCAAAAGTGCGTATCTCGGTCGTGGTGTTCTTTTTTAAAAGGAGATCGAACCAAGATCATTGCTTAGAATTTTCACCCTCACATACTGAGAAAAAATCACCAATGTTTTCATCACAACAAGTTTTTTTCAGTTCAATATTGGATAAATAATTTTTAGAAATGTTTGTTGTGTCATCCATCATTTTTTTTGAGCTTTTCCAAAGCAGCAATATTTCTGCCTTTTAATAAGTAAAAAACAAATTTCCTCCAATATTTAGAACGTTTATAATTGGAGACTAAGACACTCTGTGCGCCTATATTTCAAATTGCAGAAAGCTTCATGGTTGAATAACAAGCTGCGCCACCATGAAAAATTGTTTAAGTATATCTCGTCATTAATTTTTCAAGAGGACTGGTTCAACCATCAAAACAGAAAACTTTGTGAATGGGAGGGTTTATAATTATCAAGCGGTTACTAAAATTTGGTAACAGCATTAATAAATTAATGAATAATTCAATTTCATAATTATATGTTGTCAGTTGTGTCAGCGATCTCAGACCTGGTTGAAGAAGTGAACCAAGATAATAAGTTAGAAGAATATCGAGGACACAGTGAATCTGAGGCCAAGGTATCGAAATTAGAGATAACTGTGCTGTCGTGTTACCCAAGAGATCAGTATGTAAAGAAATGAAGTCCTGATAAAATGTACTTTTTAGCATCAAATTAGAAAATGGAACTGAACAAATTCACAAACAGGTCTAACACCTGTCAAAATCTGTAGCCCGATTGAGAATCAATTAAAGTTACCCTTAGCTGAAAAAAATAAGCGTTTTATTAATTTCATCACAAAATATCAGTACATCAGCAGCTAAATTTGGAAATAATGTGTTGATTTAAGGGTGTTAAAACTTTTGTTCCTACTTTATTTTATGTTTGTATGAGAAATCAGTTAACTTGATTACTTGAAACTTTCACAGAATAATCTAAAAACAGAAAGGCCTTGAAAATTTCCTGGAAAATTACATCGATTGATATCCCTATCAGGAAATTAAGTATAATGGCAAGTTTGCAAACTGATATGTGTGATTTTCGAGTTCAGCTATGAATACAGTCTCTTTTACTTGATTACTTATCAAAGTGCTTACAAGCAAATCAAACATTAGCTTGCCAGAAGAGTGACATTTTGTACTAGACAGCAGAAAGTACACTCATGCAGGTAATAATGTGGAGTTATTGCAAGCTTTCTCGTCAAAAATGAAGGAAATTTCAACATTTTTACTACTCTCTCACAACCCATTCTTCATTCGAAAAATAATTTTTTTGCAATTTAATCAGAATCAGCCGTGAACTAAACTACACCGTCAGGTGTTGAAAATTTGGTTTTTACTGGTCTCTTTGGTAACATCACAGAAATGTGTATCTACCCATAGTGCATGGCACTATTAACAATATTTATTGGATGTGTGTGCTGTTTCGCAACTCATCTACTCAATTTGTACTGGCCTATGTGTATTATTCATTGTACGGTTCAAAACTTCTAACCGTTCATTTTCGTTTGGAGATTCGGGGACGATCTGTATCCCCACCTCCTTAGATCGCATCCGCTTTTTTCGTCCCGCTTCTTTGTCTTTACTCTCTGAGTAGCAACATTTAAATATTGCAAAAGGAATCCTCCTTTAACATCTCCAACTAATAATATCTAATTGTTTCGCTAGCTATCTTTCAATGTACTTATTTTTACTTTTGACAGAAGTACCACGTCTAACCCACTTTTTGTCAGTCATGAAACTTTCGTGTCTGCTGATTGGTGAAGAAATGACATGCCTTTCAACAAAACTGAAACTAGAATTTTTTTATGTGACCTTCCCTATGTTTGGGGTGTTTTTATTTAGTCCCCGCCCCAAGCTTAATATCATTTTATAATTATTCAACTCCCTAGTACCCATCAAATTCCTTGTCATCTACGTAAAATTATTTGTTTTAAATGTAATGAGTAAATTTGCTATTCCCCTTTTTCTTTTTTTAATCTTACGTGTTTGGTAATCTCATATTCCTTAATTAAGCCCCCTTTTCGAAGCCCTCTATGAATTGTAGTGCTGAATTGGATTGAAAATTATGTAGCATCGTGTCACGGCATGTTTTCTTGAAACTGTTCTTGCTCCTAATGAAACAATCAAGAAATCCAGTTTCAGCCGTTTTGTAGAGCCCATCTAAAAAGCAAACTATTAGATTGTGCGCATGTTTAGAAGTAAATTACTGCAAGTATTTTTTCCTCCTCCATAAACCTGTACTGTATCAGCAATTTATGCAACTCCATCACTGCTTTCACTTCATCAGCCATTCTCCATTTTGTAGCCTTTTTGTAGTTGAGTGTATTCCAAAGAATACTCCTCTCTAAAAATGTTTGTGGTCTCTCTCTAGACTATGCTCTCACGCATGCAATGAATTATTATCTACATTTTGATAGTGAAACTCCCAAACCACACATTTCGTTCGCGGTGTTTAGAAATCTTTACTACTGTTTTATTATTTGTAAAGAAGAACAAATCAACATCATTCTTTGAAGTTTTTCTAGGATTCGCTTTGTTCAGAAAAGAAAAATCACGGAACTGAAAAGAATTGACGTTGAGTATTTCTCCTTTTTAAAGAATTAAGTATGAAAGGATATCTACAACGTCGCAAACCAAAGTGCGTGGTTTGGGAGTTTCACCATCAAGTTGCAAACGTTGAAAGCAAAACCTGCATAAGACCATCCTACGATTCCAGATTTTGCTAGTGTTTTTTCCCTTTTCTCTTGAGGACTGAGATAGATATATCAATATTTATTTATTTATACATATGTTTTTTGTAAAAAATTGATCACATTGATCATGTTCACAAATCCTTGACAGAAGATTTGGTTGCTTGCGTTGTTTTGTCAATGCCAAACATATTTTTTATTCCTTTTCTCGAAAAATTGCAAGTTTCCAGCACCAATTATATCTCCCTCTATTTAGTTTGGTGAAAGTAGAACTGCTTTGGGCACCGTTTTGCTTTTATCAAAGTAAGTAGCAGCTCAATCTACTTTCTGATTGAGTTTAGGAAGATTTTGCTGGAACGTTTCTTCACTTTCATTTTTAGGAGGCAAACTATATTTGAAAGAACGTAAATATCACTTGATTAAAATAATTACTCAAGTTTATTTATTTAAGTTACCTGGAAATTTTTGCTTATTGATTTGATTTTTTTTTTTATTCTAAATTATTTTTTATGCCGTGGGTCATTTTTTAAATTTAGTTTGAACGCTTTCCCCTAGTAATTGTGTAGTTAGTGTTCTGTTGTTTTTAATTTTGTTTTCTCTAAAACAATCTCCTGAAGCGCTTCGTAATGTCAAATAACTATTTTGAATGGTTTCATAACTTTATCAGGTTCAGTTTTATTGCTGTTAAACACTTACTGTTTATGGCTGGTCCGAATTATTTACCTTAGATATTTCTAAATAAATTATGATTAGTTTAGAGCCTGTCGTCCCATTTTTCAGGTCTTTTCTATAGCAATCGTAACCGCAAATGTGTCAAAAAATAAAATAAAAGTTGAAGTGTGGATACTTATAATTATTCCTCTATCACTTGATCCTCTTTTTGGCTAAAATTCTTTATGCCATGAAGAGCTTGAGTAGAAATTGTGTTTTATCGTTGAAAGAAGAAAAAAGAAAATTGAGCTGTTTTAAGAAATTGACTTAGTGGTTTCTCTATGTATGAATAATTGATGTACATATTCTTGTCAGTTTTTCAGGTGAATTTATTGTGGAAGTAATTAAATATTAAGGTATTTAACCAATTTTGTTAAACTGCTGGTTTCACTTTAAAGTTTTGTCAAAAATCGAATCAATTACACTTAGAGGCACAATCCAGCCAGCTCTTCTCAAGGAATCTTTTTTGTAAATTCTAAAATGAAACTGAAAGTACGCAAGTAGGGAAGAGGTGGTCTACACATCTGACCGATTGCTATATTTTGTATTTGCATGCTCTCAGGTTTATTTTAAGGTTTGCAAAATATATGTAGATTCTTTAGAAAGAAACAGTGCCTCTAGCCGTAAGTGTTCAATCCACTTTTTGCTGAAAGTTAAGTGAAACTAGTGATGATGCAAAATTCGTATGAAAACTCTATGTTTTTTTACTTCCAGTGTAGATTCTTGTAAAATAATGAGCTATTAAGACCTTTTTCCAGTTGTGTCAGACTTGTTGTCAAGCTAAAATGAAGAGTATATTTTTTGCTAGTCTCTTTGCTAATTTCAACAAAATATTGGTAAATGTACTACATATTGGAGTAATAGTTCTGTTACGGTTGACCAATCAAGCTCAAGTAACAGAAGGTATCGAGAAAGAAAATAATTTAGAAATTGAGCTCAGCTTATCAGTTTGGATTCCTATCTCATTTTATAATCCATCTAACATCCTAAGGACTGTGAATAAAAGTCTACATCACAAAATCACAAAAAGTATTCAAAAATTGCAATATGTTTCCGTTGAGATAAAAAAATCGTATTGCTAGGAACTGCTTTCAGCGCACTTTCAACTGCTTATTAAAATGAAGGAGGTAGCTTTCAGCACATTCAACTAAAAAATTCTATTTTAGCTTCCTTATTTATGGTTACCTTAATGAATCGCTTGTCAAAATACACATTGCAACCAATATATCACATGTTAAAATTTCTCAATTTATCACATTCCACTCTCTATTATTGACTCTTCATCACTTGTTATTAGCTTCTCACTTTTAGATTTCTAAAAAATATCTAAGTTAACTTAAATGTGCTAGGTTGAATTCTATTTTTTTAACAAATGATTTGTTTGAAGCTGAAAAGCAAGGTGAAGGGAAAATGTATGACGATTTTTTTGCAATATTTTCAACTGAATATTCTTTTATCTAACGCACCAATGATTTTTTTGCAGGAGTCTCAGGTTCAAGGAAACGCAGAAAACAAAAGTGTGCAGAAGGAGGATGAAGGACTGGATACAAAACAGGTAGAGGAAGATATTGATAAAGGTGCTGTTAAAGTAGTCAACATTGAAATGACTGAAAGTTTGACGGGGGGAAACCGATGGAGTGATTCTTTGACTCCGAGAAATCGAAGTCCCTCACCAATACCCGTGACTAATCCTCCAGTTCCTGAACCAATTGAAATTTACCTCACAGGTTCTGTTCCAACAGAATCGAAGCTCCTTGTAAGTCAGTCAGAAACTCATCCTATCCCGCATTCGCCTGATGATAGTAACTCAGATTCTGTTGTATTAGCTAGTAAAGTCACCCTGTCTCTCATCGGAATTGATCCAGTAAGACGACTTTTTTAATTTGTACATATATATGTTATCCTTCTGTGGCACCTTCATGTTTTTCATTTTTCCTCTTTTATTCTTGTTTATTTTGTATCAATGCACCATTCACTTTTCCTACTCTGACCCAAATTTTTTTTCAACACAAACACCATCCTCCAACTGTAAATATTCTGAGAATGCTCTCAAATTGTTCGAGCTCTCGGTCTCTTATACTTGTCGAGAGTAATATCAACTTCTATAAAAAAAAGCAACAATTGAAAAATGATGAGTTTTATATAATGGGTCAGTTGTGCTACTCACACAATCATGTTTTGATGATCCTAGATGATAGATCGACAAAAAGTAATGAGATATCTCCAATTATCAAATTTTTACATCCAATATTAACTGAGCAATGCCCATCAAAAAACTTGATGTTTTATGCCATCCAGTAAAGTGCGCATGCCCTAAGTTATTCCACCTTGGTTTCATTTATGTTTTAAGGGGAGCAACCATTGCAAATGAGAGTATCACTAATTGATGAATCCAAGATGGAAAAAACTATGGTATTGTGGCAGATGACTTTGTACACCATGTTTTTCAAAGTGAAATATCTCCATTAATATTGGTTGTAGAAACTAGGCTTTTGGTTGGATCTCATTCTTTTGTTTTGCTAATGTATAAGCATTAACCATCAAAACGCGATTCTCTGACTAGCTCTTAAATATAGTCATTTTCATTTTTCATTCAATTTGAATTTTCGTGAGAATGTATTGAAAAGTGCTATAATTTATTTGCTTTTTTTACCAAAAAAGATTGCTGAAACAAGTCAGCTTCCCTTAAAATTTTGACTCGATTGAATAATCAAGGAGTTCCTGAATTTTTAATTTTGAGGAAAGGGTATTAAATCACTTATATTTTCATCAATAAGTTAGGTGGCATGTATCATCAATTCAAAAATGATGGATACATGAAGAAAAATTTCATCTTAGTAAAGCATCATAAAAGAACCGTGTTTTCGTTTTGATCAGATAAATTGATGCATGACAAACTGATTTACTGTTTTGTATTTTATTTCAAGCTGACAATCATTTTAGAGCTAATTTTTTTTAGAATATAGTGAAATACCTACTTATCAGTGCTCCCCCATATCCCATGAAAAAAAATGTGGGAGTTAATTAGGTCATTTAATTTATTATCAAATATTCTGTTTGGTCGAATTTCAATGAGTACCTTGAAGTTCACTACTGTCCGCGACTGCATCAGATTATGACAGAAAAAAAAATATGCTTAAAGTTTGCATTATGAAGAATCCATACCTTGGCTCTTTTCATTACCGTAGAATCAACTGTCATTTTATTTTTTAAGAAATCTAATCTTCACATTTTCTTCTAATTAATTTGCGTGAGCAGTATTTTTAATTAGAGGTAATTTTATTCAAATTTTCCTAGCAAGTTTAAATGTCTCGAATCATATTTTTTATGAAATTTTCAAGATAGCTCTTCATTTTGCTCCCTCTTTAAATGAGTAATTTCAACTGAGGGAAGTGACCAACCCCTATCTTAGTATTAACAAAGGGCTGTGCTGAAACTTTAAGAAAAAGCTCCTCCTACATCTATCGTCTTTATACAATGTTGCTACTATGCTTCATTTCGCAAATATTAAATTTAATTAAAGGTTAGCTTCATTTTTCAATTTAAAGTAAATTCGAATGAATAGATAAACTGCACAAATTCACAACCAAGTGGTTCAGTTTTTTTATTTTTTCAATATAATCATGAAAAGTTGAAGTTTCTATTCTCTGACAGCTTTTTCGCACTTAACTTAACTGAAATCTTGAAATCTCGAAGACTAAATTGATTTATTGATTTGAAGGGGACTTGACTGGTTTTGGAAGTCTGTCTACAAACCATCATTACCTATTCGGCAGAAAGAAATTGAAATCTCTGATGATAGCAGTATATTTTTCTGCAGTGCACCAGTTCTTCTTTTTCTTGCTTCAGTGATTACGAAATACAACTGAACCATCATTTTTGAGGTGCCTTGAAAGTTTCTTTCAAATTTGGGGTGGTGCAGGGTATGGACTTTCAGACAGTACTAGAAATTGAACTTCATTTTGCAATTTGGAACTGTAATTTCTGGCTCATCTATAAAAACACTCATGTGCATAGGGACTAATGGTACATCCGTTGTCTCTAAACTGAACCAGAAATTGTATGTAGTTTCCAATTGTAAAAAGTAGTCCAATTAAGCATCTTATCTTGCACATGTTTTTTTTTATTATTATTAAATTTCTTGCAGAAGGAGGTGAATACATGAAAAATTTCTTAATTCCTCTCTTGAGTGAGAGATTATTTTCTCTCAACATTTGTCCAAGCAAACTTTTGGCTTGTCAAAAAACCATTCTCTAAGTGAGTCAAATCAGCCCTAAAATTAGTCCCAGTTAACTTAGCAACAATGTAGTTTTTCATTATATGGAATCTTTGAAAACAAATTTCAGAGTACTGTGTGGCAAGTGAGGAAGAAGATCTTTGTGAAATCAAACTTTAGCTCCTTACTAGTAAAATAAATTATATTCAATGCCCAATATGACGTGATCTGTCTTTGGTCTTATCTCATGCATTTGATGTGCGGACATATCTTGTGGTACATTAACTCCCACTCTGTCAAAAGGTCCACTGTGCTTATTCAATTAGATGAACAGATGTGGTTACAACTTATGGTGATAAAATTCTACCTGATTCCATTCAGTTTTCTTTCCATGTGACTTAACTCAAAAATTTTTAAAGCAGCAAACTTTTGATGTGTATTTTCTGCTGTATTTTTAGTTCAGATATTCAAACTGTAGATATTCACATGACATCCTTTGCATGGTGCTACATTCTACCAACCTATTTTATCCTCCAATCTTAATAGTTATAATATTTTTCTTTTAATTATCTGCCAACAGTACCTCAAATGTTAAAACTTTTGAAACTGACTGTTTTACAACCATTCGTCAATAGATTCAAGAGTATTGGTCAAATATATTGTTTGTTTTACAATTATTTTATTTTACAAAAAAAAAAAGGAACGAAAATCCTCCTTACTAATTGACTTTATTTCTTCTGTTATGATTTGGTAGGCACTTTAATATTTAATTGTTTCAGTTATCTTACGTATTTGAATTTTTAAGTATTGTCATAAATCAGGTTATCAAAGATTTATTCACAATTCTCTTCCAAAAAAACCCAGGTAACAGTTTTTAATTTTAAGTGTTATTTGATTTTACCCCTCTTCTACCTTGGCTCAGATCTGTGTTCTTTGTTTCATGAATTGATGCCTGAACTCAAAAACAGCATATTTATGGTGAAACTCCCAAACCAGGTACCTTGGTGTTCAGACTTCCTGTCATACCATATTTTTTAAATGGAGAACTACTCAACATCACTTCTAAAAAGCCTTTGTGATTTTTCTTCTCTGTGCGAAGCAAATAGTGAAAAAGGTTCAAGGAATGATGTTGATCCAATCTCTTTTAAACTAATGAAGTAGGAGCAGAGATTCCTAAACACTGCAAATGAGATACGTGGTTTGGGAGTTTTACTGCCGATGTCTGGAAATGCCTGCGTATCGTGTACCTATTGTATGGAGGAAAACAAATCAACATTAGATTTCAAAATCTTCCTTTCAAAGCTGTCAAGAATTTCAAGACTTTACATTAATTTATGCTCTTTTTGCAAAATTTAATGTGCAAAAAAATTTTGAAATATTGTATGTGAGATATGCTGTTTTGAGGTTTTGCCATCAAAATTTTTGTGCCTCAAGTACATCCCCTAAATTTACAACTCTTCTGCTTTACCTAGTCCATTCTCTCTGGTCATTTTGGCATTATCTTCATTTGCATAGGATCACCTCTTTTCAATCATATTGTCTTTTGACGAAATTTCTGATTAATATAATGAAATAACGAATTATTATTGCTAGTTCGGATTAGTTCTAGTGATAAACAAATTTTTATTTGTCGGGAGACTCTTGGGTTTTGACTAAATAGACAAGTAAAGGGAGCAGCAGAATTATGTCTGTTTCCTACTATTGATTAATTGTGTGAACTGCGAGAGAGAATTATTCTTCATCGCATGTGACCTGAAGTGGAATAATCCAGCATTTTACGCCGTGCCCACATCCCCAATCTGTGTACTATTGCATTTCATCCAGTTAATTTGATGCTTACTATTCTGAATGCAGTACGTCCTAAGGAAGACTATACTTAAGTTTTTTAAAATTGGTTGATTTTTATGTATTTTAGAGAGGGGGATACTAACTTATCGAATGATCCTCATGCTGAAGCAAGCCTCCATTGCTTGTATTATTATGCCTTTTATGTTTTTTTTTTTATTTTGGTCATTTTCTTTTTTCACCTTTCCTCTAAGTCAAATTTACTAGACCTGTAATTCCCATTAAAATATTTTTAACTCTGGCCGACCGATTCCTCTTTTCCCATCTTTATTTGTTTTCATTCCCATACCGTATTCCAGAATGCACAATTTTTCCAAGTTTCATGTTAAATGCTAATCAATGGCTTCGGTACAATACCGCCGAACTGCCAATCTTGGTGAAAATGAGTTGGCGACTTCGCCGCATTCTGCATTATTAAATATGCAAACTGATGTTCTTAGTTTTTTCCACAACCGTTGAGGAGCACCTTAACAATGCTGTAATTTATTCAAAGTATTGCAAACCTGGCTGCAAAATTACAAAATTAGCGATTGTTTGGCGATTTCGAGAATTATTTTGAAAATCATGTGAATGAATGAGACCTTTGTTCAATTTTTTGGAAATCACATCCTAAGATGATTTTTTTTAGAAATGACTAATACTTCTATTTTTCACGCATCTCTTCATTGAGCTTTTCAGTCTTGTTTTAGCAGCTCAGTGATGGTGAGACAAACGTTTACCCAAGCAGAGTTGAGAATCAAACTGATTTACTGTCAAGCGCCTATAAAAATTAGAAACTAGTCTCAAAAGCCATTCTTATAAAAAATTGTATCATTACTGTGACAATTTGCGAAGTAGTGAAGTAGAGCAAACTTTCTTGGACTTGTTTGTCACATTTCGAGCGGATTTTGTAACAATCTATTAAACTGTGTTCAAATCTTTTTTTCTCCCTACTTTTGATTAATTGCTGTGTTTTATGTTTTAATTATATTTATCAGGAGGCGGAAAAACTCTCTAACTTGAACCCGAGCTTGGAAACGGAAGAAAGCTTAGAATCAGGGAATGGTAATTATCCTCTTACTTTTTCATAATCTTTTCAGTTTCTTGTATAAAGGTGTGTGTGTTTGTGTTCGTGCATCACTTTTAAATCGCATTCTGAAATTCTTGTAACCCGGAACGCTACTTACGCATGTCTTTCCAAAGGCAACTGACATCTGATTCTCATGTCACTGGGGCAGAATGGATCAGGAGGCTATAGGGGTTGATAAAACAACTATTGTACAAAAGCCCCAAAAAGTTGTAAGATAAACTTGTCTCCTTGATTTTGGAGTACCTGTCTTGAGTTTGATAATGAAGTGTCAAAAGTCGATCTCTTTGCTATGTGCGGTTCCTCAGAACCAGTGGCGCCTTGGTACCCTAGATCTGGCTCAAAATTCGAGAGTAGTTTGTTGCATTAAGAAAAAAAGAATCAAGGAAAAAAAAATTTAAACTTCAAAGTAAAAAAGGAAATTTTAAAAAAATAACAATCATGTCAAAATACTTTTCTTTCTCCAGGTCCCCACTTGAGATGTAAAACAGATGTTTTAATTTTTCTTTTGTAGATATTTCGTCTCGTTTGATCACCATGACGGCAATGGGTTACAGCTTATTATCAAAACTAAAATCATTAGGTAATAAACAATTTTTTCTAAAAAAATTTGCCATGAGTTTCAATCAATACTCTAGCATCTCCTCTTTGATCGGTTGGCCATCATTAGTTCAGGTGTATCATGATAATTTGGGTAATTTTAATAAAACTTTTTAGACCACCGATTCATCATTGAACACAAGTAACAATAACCATAACAAGTACTAATAATTACAGCTAGTAGCATTACTGTCTTTGTGGTGCATGTGAGTATACTAATTTAAGTAATAATACTAATTTTTTAACTTCCTGTGCAAAAACATCTGATCATTTATCTTCTTCTCCTCCCGACGTCTAGTTGTCAAGCTCTCAAGTACAGATCATTTATAGATCACTACTAGGTATAAAAGATTAGTCGAAACGACTAAAATAAAAACGGCAATAAGATTATTTTTAATTAGCTTCTGCGGAGAAAAGGTAGCTCTGGAGCCCACCTCTTTGAGTGGTCGTCCAGGTAATCTGATTATGTTTATTTGTAAAATTTTGTCTCCAATGCCTGGTTTGTATTTGAAATTGTCTTATTAATTTCCTATTGTCTTTTTGTTTTGAAGAATCTGAAGAAGAGGAACCAGCATCTGAAGGAGAGTTGAATGACATAAAAGAAGGTGAGCAACCCCTTATTGTAATTAAATTAATGAAACATTTCCTGTACAGGGTGATCGGAAAGCCCTGTACCAATAGCACCTAAGACTTGAAATTTTGTGTGTGCTCCCAGCAGCCTGATTGTTGAAATCTATTTCGTCACGACAAGAATCGAAAATCGATATATTGCACGGCGCAGATAGGGCTATGTCTTGTCTTATCGCAAGGACATAGCTAGTTAAAGTTTCAACAATCCGGCTGCAGGTAAAAGGAAACAGCTTTATGGACTCCCAAATCCTAAAGAGACCACCCTAAAAACAGGCAAGAACCTTAGGGGTCTCATGGGTGGTGCGGGACTCTTTGATCATCCTATTTTTCAGCCTCTTTCATCTGCACCCAATTGACTCTTTTTCTAGAAAAAGAAAATCAGAATCTTGAATTCAGTGGTAGTTGTTCCCAACAGCAATATTCTTTTAATCTCTCTATATAGTAATGTTTAGATTCTCACTTGCATTCAAAATCTCATCAATTACTTTCTTGCAACCTACTTCTCTTTTTTTTTTCAATGAATGTTCAAAGCTGAGGTGAATCTAAAGTTTTGTAAAATATTGTTCCAGCTATGGAGGCAGAAGCCAAACTCGGAAGCAGAATCTCATCCGTCGAATTTTCATCCTCAGTTGATACCGTCATTGAAGCAGGGCATCTGACAGAAGTTAAGGTATTTTACATTCTTTTTTACCTCCTTTCTCTGATTCTTATTATTCATACCGTACTTGCTACCCAGTTCTTGCACTTTTAACTTTAACCGTTTGACATGGCAAGAACTAAAGCATACCAAGTTTGTTTCCTTGTTAAAAGTTAAAGCAAATAAACTTGAAACAAGTCAGAAATTTTGATAATCATTTTTCAAATACAATACAGTCAACTCTGCTTAATTGGGACACTGGTTAGTTGTGACAAACGTGTTATTCAGATAAAATTGTTTAGCACAGAATCCTTCACATAATAGGTATTCTAGCAGTATAAAAAACTTTGCTTTAATGAGATGTCCGCTTATTCGGGACAAAATTGCTCAGGACGGATGTATCCCAATTAGGCTGAGTTGACCGTACCTTTTGGCTGTTATTGTTTAGTCACTTGAAAATTAGTCATTACAAATGTCCTGCTTGCAAAAATAATCAAAATCAATGATGGCCAACACAGTCAACGAAAAAAAAAAATTGTTCGGCATATAGTCAGATTTTGAGGTTCACAAAAATTTACTGCCTCCGTATCAAATAAAACCATTGCATTCAATTTGTCAAGTGTCTGAGGTGAGAGGAGCATTGAAAATTTAGGTACTTCGTTTGTGGCAGACTTCAAGGGACTGAAAAATTTGTCCGGTAAATAAGGAGATCTTGTAGACAGAGAAGAAAATACATGTATCTGGTATTGGAACGGACCAGTGTATTCATCCGTTATGGAGTTTTTTCAATATGAAGACCGCTATGGAGAGAGAATACTGTGGTTATATTGGAAGGAAATGTCAGAAATATACAATCAGGGTGCCGTAACAATACAGCATTTAATGCTAAAAACTTTTCGGACTTATTAACCATCATCAATGCTCACACAAACTGTTAACTATCACATTCAACGGAAAGCAAATACTAAGGTATTTGCCTATGGGCAGCTACCTTGGCTATGTATTTTTCAATTTCACTCCTCGTTTGAATCAGTGCTGCGATCAATCACACTACGGGCTGATCTAAAAAGCCCGCACCTCCCTTACGTTCCCAAAAGCCGTTTCCTTTGTTCCAAGAGCTCTCACACAATTTCAGGTCTCTATCTCAATTTGTTCAGAAGTTACAGAGGTAATGCCTCGTGTTGGTGCAGGACTTATGGAGCAACCTGTATGTTCAACTAGTAGTTATGAATGACCATTAAGCGAAAGTTGATGCTAAGACCTTCCAGATTCAAGACAAAGGTCTTTACATTATTAAATAAAGTAGGACAGATAGCTATGACCTAATATTATTATCTTGTCTTTAAAGTTCGTGTAGCAGCAAAGTGTAACTGTTTACTCGAAATTTGAGCAAACTTAAACTTTCAAGATGTTATAGCTTTCAGTATTTTTTTTTATTTATTTTTTTTTTTTTTACTCTCCTCAGCAGAACATTGACACAGAAAGGACTGAGGATGAGGAGGTGGAGAGTGATCAAGATGTGAAAGATGAAACTAAGCTTCAAAAAGAAGACACTGATGATGAAGAAGAAGAAGAAGAAGATGATGAAGAAGAAGGAGACGATGAAGATGAAGAAGAAGATGAAGTTGAAGATGATGAGAGAGAAGACGAATCAAATAATTTGAAAAGGACTGAAATGGAAAAGGAGTCAGTGAGTGCGGAAACGGCAATGAATGGAAAAGTAAATCTGTCTGAAAAGAATCAGGCAAAAGTTGAAAATCCTGAAAGCTCTGAATCAGAAGAATCGGAAGAAGAGTCAGAAGGTTCTGAGGAACTGGAAGAATCAGAGGAGTCAGAGGAAGTAGAAGCGGAGACTAACAGCATTCGGCAACGGAATAGGCATGCGCATCGCTGATAACGGAATATTCTAAGTTCTTCTTTAATAATATTGTAATACCGTGCCTGTCAATCGTTCTTCGACCACTGAAATCTTTGCTCACGATAATTATAACTCATCATTCTCAGTTTGTAGTGAGAGAAAAGTAAAAAATAGAAAGTTTTTCTCGTAATTTCAAAGGCATTACTCAATATGAGCTTATTTTATCCTTTTTGTATGTAAATTTTAAAAGTAAAAAATAGAAGATACTTCTTTTGATAAAATTCGAAATGTCACGGTCTGTCAAATTTTCCTCATGAATTTTTAACATCAACCTAATTCATAGGGTTTCTGAAGGTTTTCAATTTCCAGCAAACAATTTGATCTACAAATTAACTAGGTTAAAGTGGTTGTTCCCTTTTAAGATGTAATTTTTTTTTAAAATTCATATTTCTTCCAATAATACGGTTTTTTTTTGCCTGTTGTTATCTCAACAAGCTTTCCATTTTCAAGGACACCTCATTTACCAACAATTCTAAGAGACCTCATAAATCCCATCTTTATCATCTACAATTTTTAAGGTTACTCTTTGTATGAAAAAACGTTGACCAATGAACTGCTCCTATCATTGGTGAGGAGTACTGTCTTTTGTTCAAGTGAGTATGTTCTTAATTGTATCTTTTAATTGAGATCCTTTTATCACCTAGAACCACAACAAGTTGTTCTCCTCACAGCCTTTAAGTATAAATTAACATACCGCATAGTGCACTATTAATGATATGTTTTGAAGATCTTCAAATTTGCCTTTAATGTTCTCTTTGTATTTATGCACTAGTACCTACCAGGAATTTTAAAAAAAAGAAAGAAAAAGAAGAAGTAAAAATTGTGCCGAGTTTCAACGAAATGATAAATAAAACCCCCTTTATCGAACTAAGCATTTTTCCCCTATAAACAGAACTTCAATTCACCGGCCTTGGCTTTGTTTTTTATTTAACAAATCTAGTCACATTCAATATTACATTTCATGTGATTTGTATCATCACACAGTATTACCAAGTATTTTTTCCATTATAATTTTGTATTTTTTCTTTGTTTAGCATTGATTTGTAAGTTTTCTGCCACCATCAATGTTTTAAGTATTATTATGAAATTATTTGCCCCTGAACTCTTAAATTTACCTGTGCAATAATAGATTAGCAATTTAAGTTTATGTAGAAGGCTAGTTATGATGTTTGCTCGTGCAAACTTATCAGGTCAGCTCCTTGTTTTACCATTTACTTTCCGATACACTAGTCCTTGTAAAATAAACCGATTTTCTCTCTTTTTATTCTACCAATTCTCGGAATGGTTAACTTTTGGAGATAAATTATTGTTTAAATAAAGTTTGCATCACTGGGCGATGTACCAAAGTAATTTTAAAGAAATTAGATTACCAACGTTCCAATACAAATTTTCTTGAGCAATGAAAACAAGCACAATCCACTTAATTGTTGCCCGATTCATATCAAAATGATTTTGTGTGTGAACATTAAGGAATCTGCAAAAGATAAATGAGTTTCCTATTTTTTCCTTCTTGAAAGTTAACCCATGCACCTATTTTTAATTTTACATGGTGACAGCTTCACTGATTCTTCTTCTTAAGTTATAATTTCTTTTGTAATAGCTCAAAGTGTCCTCACACTATCTGATTTGTGCCAAAAAAGTGTTGGTTGATTGCAACTAATATTAACAATGTGTGTGATGAGTATTTTCTTTTTCTGTATTCTTTATGTTCTATTTTACACTGTAAATTTCCCTTTCTTTTTTGATACGTAGCATAGTAAAATTTTTAACGTTATGAAATTATATCCTAAGCGTTTTCATTTATTTACCCATCCGTAATCATGATGAGGACACTTGATTTTTAACTGACAACTAATACTTTATGAATAGCACCAGATGGAAATTTTGGAACTGTTTAATTTGTCACTTGGAATCGAAGAACTTATGCTCTTACGTATTCTTGTGTGTTCTCAGTATTACATACTTGATTTGATGGTCCCCATGGGCCTCTGAAATGTGCACTACCGCTAATAAACATACTGTGACTTTTTTAATGTGATACTTTACTCAAATAAGGAAAAATCCAAATAATTAAGGAATTATAATAGGTATATACATGATTTTGTATTTAGCATCAATTTGACTGATTAATTAATTTGACAAACATTTTGATAATTTTATGCCATAAATTGTTTAATGTAAATTTTACATAAATTTTACTTTGAATCGAACAAACAAAAGTTACCTGACCCATACACTATCTAAAAAAAAAAAAAAATAAACGTTTTCTATCGTAAGTTCAAATTTAACAGTCAATGGTACAAGGGTGTAGTCGCTATTGATCAGGTAGCATTGTATAAATCCCAGATTGATATTTTGCAATCTTTGCCAGCTGCTGCCAATAGAATATTCGTTTTCCAGGATGCCACAGGTCTATCGGAAAAGCAAACATCATGAATTGTGCTATCGTGGTGATCCAGCACAGCCAATAATTTCAAACTCCGCCATGAGTACAAACGAATCATACCATCCCAACATCCTACAGCGACTATTTTTTTATCAGGACGAATCTTGATACAGCTAATACCAGGATTGGTCAATTTAATTACAAGTTTCTTTTTTAAATCTTGTGATTCACCAATAGTAAATAGAGAAAGATTTTCATCACTGCTACCGCAGATGCCCCTCATAGAACTTTCATCATAGTCAAGGGCCATCGGACATTCTTCACTAATCTTAAGCTTACTAAGAATTGTCTTGCGCTGCATATCCCATAAAAATAATGAGCAATTCTCATAAACGGCTAACAGGAACAATTTGCCTTCTATTGTCGTGAATCTCAACGCCATTACCTCACCCAGTTTTTCTGCCGAATCATTCTTCAATGAAAATAAATTCGTATAAGTTTCTAGTGAAAAAATTTGAATCAAAGAATCAGAGTCTGCACAAGCTAAGACAGGTTTTGCTTCTAAGAGACTGGTCACTGATTTGCAGAAACTGAGAAAATTTTGAGGAAGCGATTGCCTCAAAATCCACTGAGAGTTCTCCTCTTCCCAAACTCCAAATAATCCAACTTTCGTCTGAGTTATCAATTTTTTATTTACATAGTGTATCGATAAAATAGGGTCTGTCCCGAAAGAAAATTTGGCTTCTTCTCGATTTACCTGGAACAGAGTAACACAAATATGAAATAAGTAACTAGTGCAAAAAGCAAAAGGACTTCTCCTTTTTACCAAATCCCTTAAAAAAATTAGATGTACAGAAATTTCTAACATTCTGGACACTTGTAGCCATCAGCAGGTAGTCTGTCACTATTAAAATCCTTGATTCCTTAAAATTTCTGTTAAATGTTTCAATTTATTTTAAATTTCTATTTATAGTTCTCAAGTCTCTGAATAAGGAGGTCATCCTTCCTTGAAAAATTAAACAAATCAAATTTTTTCAATGTAACTGCCTTGCCTCTCTCCCGTTGGAACCTGCATACTGAGAGATCCATATTTTTACCTCTGTTAAAAATCCCTGCACAAGGATGGAGGGAATGCCAGGTAAAGCGTATCTGATAGGTAATGCTCAGCAGCCCTAGAGCAGGTAAGTATAAACACTATGATGACAGAACTGCTAAGAAAATTTTTAATTTAACTGAGAAATCATGACAGCGCTTTGAATTATCAAACAGAAACTGTCAGCTTCAGTTGACTCCACATTGCTTTTCCCAAGCAATACCCTAACAGCTAGTAAACCATTTAAAGGAGGCCAAAGTAAAAAAAAAAAAAAAAGTAGGACAAATTACGACTCTGCATGCTTCTGCTAAAGTAAGAAAGTATTGTAAGTATAGTATTTTAAAGAACTAATGAACACTTTTTTTTTAAAATTTTTGAAAATTTTCTTTATTTAATCAATAATATTTTTGGACATTTTCAGAGAGATTATTTTTATTAAAATACATGCGTGTATGATATTTTCAACTTCATAGTCATTAATATGCGAGTCTTGCAAAAAATGAGAACAAAAGAGTGAAATCAGATATGGATATTTATGTATTTATTATGAGACAGGAGGAAGGTCTTAGTAACCTGCAAGTTCCATATATGGAGATGACCACTTTGTGTTCCCGCAAACAACAATGGTATTTTATCGTCAAGTTTGAATGCTAGGCTGTGAACCGCTTCCATACTACCTTTCATACTGAACAAAGGTGGTGGTGGTTTGGCCATTTTTGAACTTTTTAATCCGCTGATACATCTGAAATCATAAGTGAACAAGAAAATTAGGTCTTACCATCCTCATACGTTGACAAAGATATTAGGACCTTTGTAATTACAATATTTTATACTTAATTTTTATTTGAGGAAACATAGATTGTAAACAATTTTATGGTCCAAGAATCTAAACTTTAAGACGTTAACTTTACTTCTCTTTTACTCTCCAGCTTTAACTAATTAAGCTTTTTTTCGAGCTAATTTTGGCTCGAAAACCGTAAAAACTAACGCCCATTTCAAACGAGAAAGCAAATCAAGACTTCAAAATTACCGCTCTTTTTTCAAACTTGCAAGGGTGGCCAAGTGTGGCTCCCGATAAAAATTAAAACTCCACTAGGTAACCTTAAAAATTATTTTTCTGCGCATCCCATCTTGGTGTAATTTGCGTTGCGAACTCAGCATCCAGCATCACTGACTACAACTGTTTGGTGCCTCAGCTCACAAGTGGGTACAAAAGTTTCGCTTTTTCGGTAAAACTTAATAATTTCTCAACACCAGTCCCTAGTTTTTTTCTAAAAATTGAATTCATTTTGAATAAGACTCCTTACCCACACGAGAAACGGTGAAAATGAGCTCTCACAGTCACGGTCGAGGGAAGCAAGAAGGTAAGCAATCATCAAACAAACACCTCTTTACAGCTTTTCAAGCTTTGCGTGACACTTAAATCGGGCGCAAGTACCGATCGATGAATTTTCCAATCTAAACTTGCGAATATTTTAATTAAATTGCACTTATTTCTTTAATTTTCGTGTAATTATTTATCATGAAGGTTTCGTATTTATTTTGACTGTTCACTTTTGTTTACGTCATCGATCACCAGACTCCTGCGTCATCGTCCATCATCATCGGTATCGGTGTCTAACCTCTCAGCACGTGCTCCATCTTGTTTACGTTTCGAGACAGCTTTTTCAGTTATTTCGTGGTTTTTTCACTGAAAGTCAACTTACCTTTTATTTCCAATCGTTTATCATGAAGTAGTGATTCACAAATTATTAGTGTACTCCTAGGAACTAACAACAGTCAACATGCTTCGTCGGCAAGCTCGTCTCCGCAGGGAGTATTTGTACCGCAAGTCGTTAGAAAACAGACAAAGATCTATTCAAAATAAGAAGGATAGACTGCGTGATTGTATTGAAAACAACAAGCCAGTACATACTGACTTGAAGAAAACTGCCTTGGAACTCCACAAAAAACTTGAGTGGGAAGATGAGGGTCCCAAAGCTGCAAGTATGCTTGGAACTGAAGTTGGTGGAACTGACGGCTCGCACGAAGATGATGAATATCATTGGGCAGGTGTAGAAGATCCAAAAATTATGGTCACCACGAGTCGTGACCCCTCTTCCAGGCTGAAGATGTTTGTCAAAGAATTGAGATTAATTTTTCCCAATGCACAACGTATGAACCGTGGTGCATATGAGATGAAACAATTGGTACATGCCTGCCGGGCCAATGATGTCACTGACTTCATCATTGTGCATGAAAATCGAGGGAATCCTGATGGCTTAATTATATGCCACCTACCGTATGGCCCGACTGCGTATTTTACGCTCTCGAATGTTGTCATGAGGCATGACATTCCAGATATAGGAACTATGTCGGAGCAATTTCCACATCTGATATTTCATAATTTTACAACAAAGCTAGGAGAACGAACTAAAAGCATTCTCAAGTATTTGTTTCCTGTTCCTAAACCAGACAGCAAAAGAGTCATAACTTTTGCAAACCATGACGATTATATTGCATTCCGGCACCACACTTATAAAAAGGTAAGTTTTATTCACCCTTCCTTTTTATTACATTGTTCAAAAAATTAATAAAGTCTAACGACTCAAGTTTCAAATTTTGAGAGCAAATCAGAAACCTTTTTTATGAGGCAATGGTTACGATACTCCAATGGCAGGCCACCCTTGCTGGTCAGATATATGCAGTGTTTGAAAAAACCCAGGTTGTTTTTAGAAAGCCTGTGTGCGGATCAGCTGGGTCTTTTTAGGGTTTTTTAGCGCAATTGAGGCACATTGGAACTATCAGTAGCAAACATGGGAATACAGTTGTTCACCAAAAAAGACCTAAACAATGAACTGATGTTCGGGCCGAGAGGAGAGGGGTGAGGTGTTCATGACTGAGAAAAGGAAACGGGTACACCCATCAGAGGAGAAGGGTCTAGCACTGTATCACATCAAGAAAAAATCTGTGGAATGTGCTGGCAACAATTTTTTCACAGTTGCAGTTCAGTTGAAACATCGAGTAAGTAAGTCAATTTCTTCGCCAAAAGGAAAGTGTTATCAATCAAAAAGTGACCTAATTCTCTAAGGAAGGGAGGTTGTTCAGATCTGCATAATGGGTGCCAGTAAAATTTAGCCTTTATTGTGGGGTTATCTAATAATTTCCTATATTTTTTTTTGGGGGGGGGGGGGGCNAACAGTGTGAAGTTACTTTTTGGGGGGTCCTTACTTGGTTACGAAGTGGTAGAAGGGTTAACCACCCTACTTATTGCATGACATAATGTGGTCAACCCCAAGCAAGAAAATTTCAAATGAATTGGATAAAGGGTCACTAGACCGGGCCTGAACTAAAAACATACACCTTGTTATCTCCTCTAAATTTTTTGTCGATAATGATTCACCAAACAAGAATGGAAGCAGTATTAATGATCTCTGAATTTTTTTTTAATTTTAGATTGATGGAAAAAACATTGAATTAGAAGAAGTTGGCCCCAGATTCCAGTTGAAGCTCTTCAAAATTATTCTTGGAACTCTGGACACAGCAGCGTCAGCCGAAATTGAATTTGTTTTAAGGCCATACATGAACACAGCTGCCAAGCGAAGATTCCTCTCAGACCAGGATGGATGGAATCAAGAAGATGATGTAGAAGTTTAATCTAATGCTCTTAAGTTAAGCAAGTTATTTCTCATTGTGTAAATATGTACAGCTTTTTTAAATAAATTCCGTCATTGAATCAAACTCGAGTTATTCTCTATATTAATGTCTGAAGAAAATAAATGTAGTGCTAAACATTAGACAAGGTATTAATTTAAGCAGTATAATGTTCTCATCAAAATTTCATGTAGAACAAGATTCGTCCAACAAGAACCATTGAAAGTGACTCCTAACCAAGATATCGACGGTGAAACTACCAAACCACGTATCTCGGTTTGCGACGTCGCAGACTTCCTGTCATACTTTATTTTTTAAATGAAAAACTACTCAACGTCCAGTCTTGAAAATTTCTGTGATTTTTCCTCTTCGTGCGGAGAAAATTCTGGGAAAATTTCAAGGAATGATATTGATTTGGTCTACTTCAAAAAAATAAAATGCGAGCGTAGATTTTTAAACACCGCAAACGAGATACGTGGTTTGGTAGTTTCACCGTCGATATCCATGTTTCATGATTCATACAGTCAAATTTCCTGCTCATGAAAAATGCTATGTAATTGTTATCTACCAAAGTTAAATTGCACACTGATTGTTACCACAACAGATGTCAGTGCGGCATGAAAATATGGCAACCTTAACATTGGCGTTTTGATTGGACAGTTGCAGTTGCTTATTTTGAACAGGCGGGCATTTGGTCACATTTTGGCGGGCAAGGAACACGGCTCGATTAAAGCTGCAAATACAATCACAGTGTGTGATTTGATTCATACTCTAGTTTTCTTGTAAGCAGTAAATTCAAATTTCTTGTAATCAGTGCAAAATGAAATTTTTAATATGTTGGTTAGGAGTTGCTTACTGGAATTATTGTTGCACAAAAAGTTGTTTTCAAGTGAAATTTTGACAAGAAAACATCAGAATATTTCAATTCGTTCTTTGCCTTTTTGGCTGTGGTCCATTCTTTTAATACTATGTAAAACAATCCCGATTTTTTCATTTCATTACATATGACAGTCAGTGGAAAAAGAGGGTCCCAATACACAGAATCAGAATTTTCCAGTGGTTTTTGTTAAGATAGGTTGAAATATTGAATTTTGATGTAAGTATGCGGTAAAAAACACCCTCTAGTGTCTTAGTAAATAGCTTACAAGAGGCACAGCTCATTTTTGTCCTGTTAGAAGACCTATGTTTGCATTATAATCCAGCAATTTTGCACTCAGAATATGCCAAGTCCCAAGTATCATAGTGCAATGAAAATATTGAAATCATTTTGAAATTAATGTAACAAGAGAATCGAAATTTTTACCATGAAATTGCAATGTTTTTACATAATTTGCTTAACTAATGTCGATTCTAAACAATCAAGAAGATGAACTCCATTATTATAAGAATAATAAGAAATTTGTAATGCAAAGAGCAGAGCTGTATCGGAGCAATGTATTTATTGCAATAAATTTCAATGTAAAGTGTCCCTTCAATTAGTACATACTTAGGCAACATATCGACGGTGAAACTACTAGACCACGTATTTCGGTTTGTGACGTTGCAGACTTCCTGTCTTAATTTATTTTTTAGATGGAAAACTATTCTACATCAAGTCTCGATAACTTCCGTGATTTTTCGTCTTTGAGTGACGAAAAAGCTGCTAAAACTTCAAGAAATTATATTGGTTTGTTTTCCTTTACCAAAATAAAATGGAAGCAGATAACACCGGAAAACACCGCTAACGAGACCCTTGGTCTGGTAGTTTCACTGTCGATATACATTACTCCGATCTAGTAGCAATAATTTTGCTATGTGATTCCTATTCATTTCAATCTGTGCTCCTCGAGTACCGTGCATTATATTCTGCCACCCTGTTATTTAAAGTTTTCAGGGTCTAATTTTGTGCGTTTACCTATTCAAAAATGTCTAGAATTCCAAGGAGAGGGTTCAGAAACAATTTACTAGATAAGGGGTTAGTGGCAACACTTTATCATACCCATTAGCAAGATGTGCTGACAAATGAAACTTTGGCACCCAAAAGTAAGGGATGCTACCTAAATGTGGCCTCAAAAAGGCTCTAGTGCTATTTTGATTCATTTTTTCATTGCGTCTCCTTTCAAGATTTGAAGCAGCATCATCAAAAATCTGATTGCCTCCAAAAAATCGTAGACGGCTTTTGAAAATTAAACTTGGGGGCCAAACTGCTCTCAAAATTCTGAAGGAACACTGCAGTGGTGTAAAGTGATTTTAGTATGAAATATGTGAATCATAATAAATAGCCCCTTTTGGTAAATTCAGTGTTGTGGAACAGTTATCAACAACCCGTCAAGGAACTGCAATTGAATTAAATTAAGCATCTGCCTTAATGGCTATTATGATGAGATATATTTTATTCCTTGATTCCTTGTGATTCATTCTTAATTCATTCTTGAATCAATGAAATCTTAAGTCCAGTCGTGGAGCCAAAGGAAATTTTAAACTCTTATCATTTTTTGCAGGAGAGTTTGAGGTCACTGGAGTCTCCAGATCTGGACGTGTCCGAAAAAAATCTTCGAAGTTGATGGACTTTGAGTCACCAGAAGAAATAGAACGACAATCCAGGAAACAGCACGGTAAATCACCTTATGTCTATCTTTCATTCTTGTTACCCATGGCGAAAGTGTATTGTTAAAAGTTGTTAATGTCAACTATTGCAAAGTATAAATGAACCATCAAAACTTTTTAAACCCATATGAGAAAGGTTTCTATTTTTATCCTCTGAAACCTTGCTTGTTTTTTGATGAACTGACGCAGAATTTTTTAATTAATTTAATTGAGCAGGAACAAAAAAAAAAGCATTAGGTAATGCAATTTGACTTCTTTGCAATTTTAGCTAAATGTGTTGCACGGATACTCTCTCCTTCCATCATGACTTGTCAGACTTATTTTGGAATACTTTCTAAATTTTATTTGAAAACTTTAATGGTTTTTTCTAGCTGCAGAAAACAGAACTCCAGCAACCTCAAAAAAAGTCACCCAGCATGTGCAGCAAGAAATCAAACGTCCCATTTTCCCCGATTTGGTAAGAGTGTCTTTTTAAATTATGTGCTTTTGAAAGTGTAATAATGGCTTAAGTGCCAACACTCAACAATTGTCAAATTACAGAACCTTCTTTTTTAGAAACCACAATTTTTTTTTTTTTAAAGAGCAACAAAGTATTCACGTTCCTTACCTTTGACGGTAAAACCACCCTTTGACAGGTACTGAAAAAAACTTATAAAATGACAAAAGGTTAAAACAAGTTGGCTGGAGATCATGCGGGTCCCCTCTCAATGCAGTTCTTCATTTGGCGATTTTTCTATCGGCTCTGTTCTTTTTTCAGGATACTGGCAGACTAACTCAAGTGAAAGAAGCCCACTACTCAGAAACTGACTCGGAGCCAGGAATGTATCCTGCACCTGGTGATGAGGACCCTGGCTCTAGCCTAGATTCATTAGGTAACTTTTCTTCCTTTGTTGCATCCTCAAAGACCTTAGGTGCCGCTTGTGTCCTCTGAATTAATCATATTGACGGCCAAAGTGTGGAACCATGTATCTCCATTGCTACTGTACTGAGAAATATATCATTCCATACTGATATCAAAACTGCACTTGAATGCGATACCACGCCATTATTATGTTGAATTTGTTTGTCAAATGTGGTAAGTGAATTTTTTAGTCTCCTGACAACAGAATTGTGATCTCAAAATTCAAGAAAAATGACGAGTGGCTGAAAAAATGGAACCAATCGATGAGATATATCGCATGTAGTTTTGACAATAAATATGGCGTCCATTGAATCACCTCGAATGAAAAGATTCCCAGGTTTTGACATTATTCATTTATTATTTCCATTGTTGCTAGTAGCTATAATCCACAATTCGGAAGGAAAAAGGGGAAATACCTTCAGACAAGCTCATTTCCACACCACCTTAGGAGAGCCGGATCAGGTACTGCTCCTGGATGTAATTTATCAGACCAAAAAAAATTATGAGGTTGTAAACATTGCAACCTACCAATCATGACATTGACGGTCGTGACATTTTAAGCAGTAAAAGCTGAAAATGAAGCTTAACCCATCAGTTTACACAATTGTAATGGTTATAATTCGTTAAAAACACTCATTTTCCAACACATTTGGTGAAATGTGAGACTTTTTATCACACATTTTACAAATATAACGATCATGACGGGAATTGGACAGTTTTCGCAGAATTGCCTACTTACCCACAGATCTGGGCGATACCATATCCTTACAAAATGGATTTCAATATAACTTTGAGATGTGTAAAAATGAAGAGGCCTTTTGATTGTTACCTCCACTTTTAGCCATTTATTTCAGGGCTCTGTAACTTTTTCAAGAGTTTTTAAGTTTTTTAGGTTACCACATTAACTGAATAATGATTTTTATATTGAGCTACGAGCTGCATATATTAAAAAAATGATAAATTAGACTTACTTTTGTGCTTTTAAATGACAGTTCTCTGTTTCCCTATATTGCCATTAAAGTTATTTTCACAATTTCAGACAGTGAAGATGATGACGATATGGAAGGAGGAATGATGATCGATGAGCGAGGATCAAACGATACAAATACTCAACCACAGGTGAAATTTTATCTTCATTACTTGATTTTTTAAGTTAATAAAAACTTATTATTTCTTTAAGAAAATTAATGTTAGTTCTTCAAAAGTATAAAATTCATGGAAAAATTCTGTGAGAAGTGTTTACAGGCTTCCAAGTAAATGTTTGAATTTTATGCTTTTTTCAGTACTTCTTGAATATTAGCATTTTTTCTGCGTTTGCTCCTTAAATTTTACGTGAAAAAAAATTGCCATAATAAACATCTCGAATATCAGCTCTCCCCAAAAAATTACCCCACTCGAGGCTTGATGAGTGTTACACATATGCTTTTAGAATTTTCAACAACACTCTTAAAACCAAAGAATTAGTTTAGCCCAATTTCAATGTAAACCGTAAAATAGAATAGTTAAACTAAGTCTCCAGCCATTTTTAAATGGTTTCAATAAATTGTTGAAGCAAAGACAAGACTCCATAATTTGGTCAAATTCCGGTCAAAGTGAGACAAGAAAAAAATTGAAATTTCAACTTATTTATGCATTGTTTATTGGATTGACTGGAACCCGAAATAATTTTTAAGAGAAAATGTCTTAGATCTTGGCACTCTTGGCATACTCCCCAACGTTGTACCTATTATGATTACGTACGTGTCTCAAGCCCATATCTTCATTAAATATCTTCCAACCCTCAAATTTGTTTTAAAACTATTTGAATTCCTCGCATTCAACCATAGTACGTCAATATAATAATTTTGTCTATGTTTTTAGGGTGCATCCTTATACATGCTCGAAAGGTCAAAAAAGAAAAAACTTGTTGTGCAAGATGGCAAAGTTGTAGGCCGCGCCAAGGCTGAACGGAAAGACAAAGGGGTAAGTATTTATGCTGTTCCTTCGTTAGCCCAGTGTTCCTATGGTTTTTTTTATTATTGAATTTAAATGGCCTTGGTGAAGAATAAGCAAAAACAGTCATAAAAGTTTCTCTTGCTCGCACTGTAAGAGGTCAATATACATCGTTAATTGGTTTTATCGTTAAAACTATATCGTTTAACAAATCAAAAATAAAAGGTTTAAATGAAATTCAAGTAAGTAAAATTTTTTAAGTTTGAAAAATTGTACCAATAACGATTAACCTTTATTTTAACCTAAACTCAAAGTTCGTTTTTGCACGTTCGAAATTTTTTGCACGGTATTTTTTCACCTGGCGGAATATCAACCAAGCTTGCAGCTGAAATGGTATGCGGCATTTTCCAACATCAACCCCTCAGGAATTGATTGATCCTCACTGAAACTGTATAAAATTAAAGTTGAAGGCCATAATGCTTCAAAAAAGTATTTCTATGGCGAAAGTAAAAAATTTATATCGTGTTTTATTTTTTGAGAAGGGCATTCACCAACTATTTTTCTTGAAATGATCTGTGAATTTTCTTCATGTATTTGGTAATATTTAAAAATAATGCGAAGACGACTCTTTTGTCTCTATTTTTATCAAAGCGTTGTCGGAGGTTTTTTTAACATTGCAATGTTAACGGGGCGAAAGCTATGTCTAAAGACAGATTCCGTCCCATTCTTTGTATATTTGTTTTGTAATATGTATTGAATAAAGATAGAAGGGGAATGTCCCGGGTATTGAGAGAAAAAAAAAAAAAAAAAAAAAAAAAAAAAAAAAAAAAAAAAAGCCACCAATATGCTTTAAATCCTAGCCCAACAACAATAGCCAATACAGCTAAGTCTCATGAGTTTTGACTTTGTGCTTAGTTCACATTTTTCTATCTGAATCAATTCTGCTAGGGTTACGATTTGCTTTATTTCAAGTGTTGCCCTGCGTCTCTCTAGACACTATATTTTTATTGTTTCATCCTAAATCCAAAAAATTAGTATTTTCAATTTATTTCTCCAGAAATCCAGATTCACTGCATATATGACTTGGGCCAAAGAAGTTAGAGGTGACCTCATGAAGAAGCATCCTGAGTTAGGTGAGTTTTTAAGTTCTTCCACCTATCTACCATGCCTTTAAATCTCAAGAACAACGTCTCCCATTTTTCTAACAGTTAAAAAAGTTGATACCTTTTTTTTATTTATTTATTTCAAACCCCAGTCAAGGTGGAGAGACTGGATTAATCGTTTTCTTAAGCTGTTTTTAAAACTTTGTTATAAAAAAACGCCTGTCAAGATACCTAATGTTCTTCTCTGTGAAAATAATGTGTTTTCTTTCAAATAATATAGATTCTCCATTTTTCTAGATTTCTCTCAGACAAGCAGAAAACTAAGTGACCTTTGGAAAACCGTTCCACAAAATGAAAAATACGTGAGTATACTCAAATTTTGTTGTATGGTCTCTCCGAGTACACCTATTTTAACTTAATTTAACCATAAGATAACAAAGTGGTTATTATTCGTGACCAAACCATCAAATTAAACGTCATTCGACAGTATTGGGCATGTTCAGATAAAACGCTATTCGTCAGTACCGTATCCTAACTGAAAAATCTTTTAAGTATCACGAACGCGACATTATTGGATGACTTTTTACCACTAACCAGAAAACTTCCTACCACTAAGGTGATTTTATGTGATGAATTTTTATCACTAATCATCAAATTTTCTACCACTAAGGTGGCTTTACCAGTTGAATTTTTGATTGCCAACTGGAAAAATGTCTACTGCCAAGATTTTCCTATTAAGAAACTGTGCTTAGTTAAAATGAAACTGTCAAAAATACTCTATCTCTATACGCTATCTCTGACTGTCCAGATGCACTTCAAAACTAAAACTCAACAAATACACAGTTGATCATGGAAAATATATGTGAGATTCTCTTGGTGGCCTGAAAACGTGAAGCCAGTTTCGGACGCGTTTACTGATAGATCAGCGCTCAATGCATTTCCCAGATTTTCCAAGTTCACCTAATTCCCTCAGATAATAAAACCATTGATCATCATTGATGGCGTTTGCTTGTTACCTTGGATCAAAAATTCATCATTGATGAGACAATATCTAGACCACCTTAAGAAACTACCAAGTCACCTTCGTGGTAGAAATTTTTCCAGTTAGCAGTCAGGTAAAGTCACCTTAGCGGGAAAAGGTTATCTTGTAAAGTCACCTTAGCGGTACTTAGAAGATTTTCTAGTTAGGGATACGGTGTCGACAAATAATGTTTTACTTGACGGCAGTTGTGGTATTGTACTGACGAATATTGTTTTATTTGATGGTACTGTACCGACAAGTAACGTCAATCAAAAGATAATCATGTCCTCTGCTCATTAAAAATCAAATAAAAAAATAGACAAACGAGTAAATCAAAGGACGACGGACCGGTCTTATGGGAAAAGTGGGCCCGGTTAAATCGGCTGGCGTTTTGATATGTTGTAGGTCTTAACCTACTGATCAAAAGTGTCAATGGGCATTTCTCCCTATCTCGAAGTTTTACCCCCCATTTTGGGGGTTTAAGTTGCCAATTCGGCGTATAATTGGCAGTTTTGACACCCGGGTTTATTGGTCGCCTATGAGATTCTTTGATGGTTTCTTGAGTCTTNTAATGTGTTTTCTTTCAAATAATATAGATTCTCCATTTTTCTAGATTTCTCTCAGACAAGCAGAAAACTAAGTGACCTTTGGAAAACCGTTCCACAAAATGAAAAATACGTGAGTATACTCAAATTTTGTTGTATGGTCTCTCCTAGTACACCTATTTTAACTTAATTTAACCAAAAGATAACGAAGTGGTTATTATTCGTGACCAAACCATCAAATTAAACGTCATTCGACAGTATTGGGTATGTTCAGATAAAACGCTATTCGTCAGTACCGTATCCTAACTGAAAAATCTTTTAAGTATTGCGAACGCGACATTATTGGATGACTTTTTTACCACTAACCAGAAAACTTCCTACCACTAAGGTGATTTTATGTGATGAATTTTTATCACTAATCATCAAATTTTCTGCCACTAAGGTGGCTTTACCAGTTGAATTTTTGACTGCCAACTGGAAAAATGTCTACTGCCAAGATTTTCCTATTAAGAAACTGTGCTTAGTTAAAATGAAACTGTCAAAAATACTCTATCTCTATATGCTATCTCTGACTGTCCGAATGCACTCCAAAACTAAAACTCAACAAATACACAGTTGATCATGGTAAATATATGCGAGATTCTCTTGGTGGCCTGAAAACGTGAAGCCAGTTTCGGACGCGTTTACTGATAGATCAGCGCTCAATGCATTTCCCAGATTTTCCAAGTTCACGTATTTCCCTCAGATAATAAAACCATTCATCACCATTGATGGCGTTTGCTTGTTACCTTGGATCAAAAATTCATCATTGATGAGACAATATCAAGACCACCTCAAGAAACTACCAAGTCACCTTCGTGGTAGAAATTTTTCCAGTTAGCAGTCAGGTAAAGTCACCTTAGCGGGAAAAAGTTATCTTGTAAAGTCATCTTAGCGGTACTTAGAAGATTTTCTAGTCAGGGATACGGTGTTGACAAATAATGTTTTACTTGACGGCAGTTGTGGTATTGTACTGACAAATATTGTTTTATTTGATGGTACTGTACCGACAAGTAACGTCAATCAAAAGATAATCATGTCCTCTGCTCATTAAAAATCAAATAAACAAATAAAAAAATAGACAAACAAGTAAATAAAATTTAAAAAAAAAAATGAAATAAAAAAATGAGAATATTCGACTGAACTTAATGTTTTATAAAGAGAGAGAAAAAAACCCAAAACCTCGTAGAAAGTGAGTTTAAGTTAATGCTTTGATCATTAGATGTCCAGTAAAACTTGCTTTTATCTAAACATGTCCAAACAAGCCAATCCCTTTGATGTAAGTGGATCCTGATAAAAGCAAGTTTCTATGTTGTTTAGTCTAAATTTGCATTAAAAAATTAGGTTCTTCACCAGCCAATTGGGAATTTAGTATCAAGTGCGTACAGCAANCTTGTAGGAACGAGAAATTTTCTAACAAAAAGGAGACAATTCACGATTTCTTAATGATGATCCCAAACAAAGAATAGTAGAAGATAATAATGGATAAATGGTAAGAAAGGATACAAAAATGTATCACTCATGATGGTGCACACTCAAAGAAGCAGGCTGACATCACTAACAACAGTGATGATGACAGTGATCGTGCTTCGTTGTAAGAAATAACTTTTCATCATGTTTGGAGCTCAAAGTGGTTTGCTTAGATTATTATTAGATTATGTTTTATACTGTATTCCTCATCTTTCATGACTTTTGTTTTAACCATTGCGGAGCAGGTCTGGAAAAAACGAGCTAAGCGGTTGGCTGATGATATGTTAATCAAAGAAAAAACAAAGAAAATGATAGGCTCGAATTCCCGGAAGTTTATAAACAAACAATCTAACGTTGTAGCTGTGTCTAGTCCTGTTACCACTCCGAAGGGTCAGCAAGTAGTTCATTTGGGTCAACCATCAGTCATAGGAAAAATTCCTGTTTCTCCACCAGACATTTCAAGACACAGGTACCACCTAAATTTTTGCACTTCGTAAATATCACACAATCCTCTAGTCATTCTCTGGATAGTAACACAATTTATCTTGAAATGTTATCGTTAATACCTTAAATGTACTGCCATATTTTCAATAACCTAATGATGAGTTAGAGGAATTGTGCAAAAATCGCTTGTGATTGGTTGAATATCACGAGCTTAGTGAAACTGGTAGGAAAGCTGCCACCGTGTTAAAATTTTGCGGGTTCTGCTGTGAAAGTGTTTGTATTTTGCATGTGTGAGCCACCAGATAGGATCACACCGCCCATTTGCGGACGGAAACTGATGTCAAAAGTAGAGTTCTTTGCCCAGTTACAAGATTATGCAACGCTGGGCATAGCGACTACTTGAATGGTAGACCGCCTGGAAATATTGCAGGTTTCAAATCAACCTACAAGTATTTACGATGTGAATCGGTCTGAGATTATTTCAGAATAATAAAAATATATTTTGGTTTAATTCATTAAAATTCAACCAAAATAATTTTGTGATGAATCCACAAGAAGAAACTAAAAAAAAAAGAAAGAAAAGAAAGAGAAGAAGTAAAGAAAGAGAAAATTCAACAATGATAGAGGCGTCAATAGGGAGCAATCACAAAACCCTAAGATGATTTAATGATTTGCCTGTAGATTGGTTCCAATTACCCAATCCAAGTCCCCTCTGAAATCTTTCACAAAAGGCATGAATGTATCTGCAAAAGTGCCGGAGGAAAAACGTTCTATCCGTAGAAGGCTGCAGTCTTAGAATTTAACACAAAAATTTCAATTTGGCAAAAGGCTCGATTACGTATCTAATTACCTCAAATCCAATCTCTGTTTGTCTGACTCTAAGCCAAATTCATTTGCTGAGTAGATACGCACTCTTTGATTGTCTCAATATACATACATACATACATTGAGCCCACTCTCTGATTCCATCTCATGTTTTTCTTGAATCTCGCTTGTTTTCCACTCATAGTCTCATTCAATTTGATAGCAGGATGAAGGGTGGAGAAGGTTTAGTCCAAGAGCCTGTGTTGGGGACTGGTCTGTATAAAGTTGTCGGAACTCAGCCTATTGACTTGGCTGCCCACTTGAGGTTACTTGGTGAATCATTGAACATCATCGGTGAACGTTTGAAGGAACATGAGGTAACTGCCTTTAATTATTTGTATTTCATACATGAGACTAGTTTTATGATCCTTTAAGGCCATTTATAAGAGCACTATGTTATGGGGATTTTAATACTGTTGTTGGCTTGATAACAGTTCAATTTATTCTAAACCATGGTAGGAAGAGGAGAGGAATCGAAGTCAAAATCCATCATGAGCTCTCTCTCTTTTCTCATTCACCAGCAACTGCATTTTAAAAGTAATCATAGAACTTTCTAAGATTTCATTGTAGCCCCAAGTCATTGAGATGATGCTGCGCAATTTTCACATGCCTGTCATCTCTCTCTTTTTTTTTTGCTTTCATCATTCTAGGAACTAGAGCGTCTGCAGGCAAGAAGGCCGTAGTGTATGTAAAAAAATTTCAGACAGTCTTTGTCCAGATAGGTTGAAAAGTCAGAATTTAAGTTTTCGCCAATAAAGACCCTAGTATTCCAAAGAATCAGTCACAAACGATTGAGATAATTTTTGGTGCCAAAAGACAGTGTAATGTCGCATCTAAAATTAAAAATATTGAGCCCTCAACAGCATTTTTTAAAAATTTCATAAGGTACCTATCAAAACTTCATCTTTGATTTTCCAACTTTAATTTTATAATTTCTATTTGATAATTTCTGGTGTTTTTTGTTCTGGACTGTCCATGAGACACTCCTGAAAACAGTCCTACTGGTGTCTTCATTCAGAGATTTTTGACTTGAAGGTCCTTTTTGTTTTGTATAGTGATTTATATTATGTAGAGGAAAAATCCTTAACTCATAATTTTTTGTGCCTTCCATTTTCAGGGGCAAATAGCTGTGTCTGGGAGCTATTCTGTACTATTGGATTCTTTGATTTGTGCGCTAGGACCTCTGATGTGTTTGATGCAGCAAGTTGGAGAAACCAACATCATACCAAATGATAGATATGCTCAAGTATTGGATAATATAGCCTATATAATGCCTGGCCTGTAAATACATAGTTCATTTATTTTTATCTTATAAACTTAGGATTAATTAAGTTTTAACCGATTTTATGAGTCTGTGATGAAAGAAGTGAAAGCACATTTCTTTTTGACCCGAAATACAGTTGTACCTTCTTTAAGATATATTTTCTATAGTTAATGTCATACTTACTTCATCTCCTAGAAATTTTGTGTGAACTTTCCAAATATTTTCTCTGGATAGGAAATAAAAATTAATAAAACTAGAGACAGAATCTTTTCATTGCATTTCCTCGAGTCCTAGAAAGAAAATTCCCTGAGAAAAAAATTCTTGATTATCTATTAATGAAAAAACATTCAATATGAGGATTTTTCTCAAGTAGGTGGAATATCTTTTTTGACCAACTTAAAAATAAGTCTGCTAATAATCACTTAAATCTAGAATATTTAAATGCAATTTTTCCGCAAAAATAACTTTATTGTCCAAAAAGAAGGAAAGTCCAGTTGTACATAGGATCAGATATTTTAAAATGGGCCTGTTGCAAACTGTTGCTAGAGCAAAAATAAGAGTTGTTTCTTGTAGATAGTGCCTCAAAAATCACGATGAACGCATCGGCAAAGTCTGAAATGCACTCATAACTTCACAATCTGCGTAAGAAATTTGCGTTTTTTTTAAGCTTCCCGCTTCAAAAACGATACTACGGCACAGGTGAACATTTTGTTAGAGGAGTCGCTCCATCGTCGGCGATATTCATCATGGCCGACGCTTGCGCGCAGTTCCGCGCGTAATTCGAGGAGAGTTCAAGGTCAATCAATTCAGGCGTGGAAAATATGAACGTTAACACACCGATTGTTATCTGGTCTCATCCAGTTCAGGTGTTATCTCGTCCCATCAAACGTGTTTTGGCGGATTGGCGTCGGCCATGATGATTATTGACTCCTCTTACAGAATGTTCACCTGTGCCGTAGTATCGTTTTTGAAGCGGGAAGCTCAAAAAACCGCAAATTTCTTACGCAGACTGTGAAGTTATGAGTGCATTTCAGACTTTGCCGATGCGCTCATCATGATTTTTGAGGCATTATCTATAAGAAACGACTCTTATTTTTGCTCTAGCAAAAGTTTGCAACAGGCCCATTAGGAATATTTTTTATCATAGGTGAAATAAATAGTTGATCATTTTCTATCGATTGATTTTTGTATCATCATCATCAAAAGTTGATAAAATCTTATTAGGGAGTCAGATTTTCTGGTCCAAAAGACTCCATGAGTCCGCTGAGCTGCGTGACGGCAAGTAAGGGGTATCGAAAATGGTCAAAAACACCCGATTCCCAACTTAGGAAGCCTCAAGGAGCTGCGAAACCATTCGAAATCGTTAGTACACCTTAAAGTATGTAGGATTAGTCGGTTTTTTTGCATAAAGAATATTTGGGCAAAGATCGAGAAAAATTGTCAGGCTCCCATAAACTGTAGGGGTTGTTTACCTCTTCACTTCAATAGCAAGGTAGGAACAGGGAAAAGCCAAGTTAGGTAGCATGGAAATTTATTTGCAATTTTTAATCTGTAATTTATTTGAGATGGATACATTACCCCATTATGGTTGTACAGTACATCACCTAAAAGTGCATTTCAGTGCCCCAAAGCCAAAAGGTACTTAACTTACATTTTTGAAGAATCTATTTTGTGTCATTTTGGTGATCTCCAATTACAGTTCCTTGTGTGGAAAATTGGGTAGCTCTATCTCACGCCGAGTATGGGATACGGAATTTCAGAAATTGCTATTTTTATAGGAATCAATGAAGACAACGACAACATTTTTCCCTGGTATCTCGGAATGACTAAAATGGGGCTAGGTACCTTTTGACTCTGGGGTGCTTATATGTTTGTTAAAAGAAAACAAATTTACATATGTCCTGTGGAAAAAATCTGGAGAAGGCTGCCTAATATCAATTGTTATGGTCATGAAATTAAATGAAAAAATAAAAATATTTTCAAAACTATTTTTAATGTTGGTATTAAAGACCCACGGTTAATTTTTCGACTTCTCTTAAGACTCCATGCAAATGGCCTCCTTACACTATAACGTACACGGTCACTGAAAGGGCTCAGATAAATTACGAGACAAAAATTCAAGTAAGATTGCATAAAATATTGTAGCAGCTAACAAACAGCATCCATTCAAAGCTGCAGCATTGAGAGCATTTAAGACGCCAGTGAATTTTTTAACCTATAAAATTTTCCTTTAGCAGACTATTTTTATGTATTCAGTGATTTTCACTCAAAAGCATTTTTTCATGAAAAGTTTCAGGAAAAAGTGGTTCAACCGGCAAGGACGAAGCCTTTTTTAATGATTGCCAGTTATGGAACATTTTTTGTTCAAGATTCTTTTTTTTTCGGAGGAACTTTTTTTCCCTGAGAAAATCTTAACAATACTTCGTTACCTTTATTATTTCACAAAATTCATTTTTCAAAGTTTAACTCTTACTAGTTTTGGAAGCCCCTTTGCCTGAGAAAAGTTCATGTAAGACGGGTGACTTAAAATCAATTTATGCTCTATCAAATGAACATGTTATCGGAATAACATTCTGACAAACATAAAAGAGTCTCCTTTGCTTCTGAATAATCTTCCACTTCCAAATCTGATGTAGCTGATTTAAGGATCCGACGTAAATTCAGTCGACTGGCTTCAGAATGTAACGAGGATAACATGTCACCAGTTGATTTGGCGCTCTGTAACCCTGCTATGGACGAAGATTTTTCTACAGCTGTGAACAATAAAGAGTAAAGATATTAAACTTCAGTGATGTCTATTAAATTTACTTTAAAGCCTAAAATGTAACTATAGAAACAAATTATTTCAGAGAGGAAAATTAAAAAACTTTCTCTCAAAACTACATTTTTCTGATTGCCAACAGTAAACCATTTTAACACCGTTTGTTTTGATAATATTTAACTTCCTCTGGGTCAAGATATTAATAAAACTCAATTTGGAGGTATTAGGTCCTTGGGTCACATTTTTTAAAAAGCACAATGAGTCAGTTGCGCTGGGCACAGAATCGTGTTCTGATGCTTGATTCTTGTAGATTAGCTAAAAATAATTAGATCTGCCTAAACAGCAACCTCCTGCGTTCAATATTAGTTGAGATATCGCCCTTTAAGTCAGGTTTTTTATGTCATCCACTGCGGTAATGACACGGCCTTGGTTTCTTTCACTTTGCTTCTATCTGAGTTTCACGTTGAACAACCAGCACAAATGTGTGTCACTCCGAAAGATGAAAGCGAGGTGGAAAGAACCAAGGGTGTCACTACCGCAGTAGATGACGTCAAAAACTCGACTTTTCAAGGGGTGATATCTTGGTTGATATTGAACAGAGAAAGTTGCTGTTTGGACACGTCTTTTTATTTTTCGCTGATTTACAAGAATCAAGCATCAAAACACGATTCTGTGACCAGCGCAACTGACCCATTTTTTGAGTGTGGACTTTTAGATATAACTTTTCCTCCACCCTCATGACAAATTCACAATACTGAAAGACCCTCCCTTTCCTTGTAAATACTTAACACAGTTTTTTTAAGGCTTTTGTGACCTTCAAGGATAAGAAGCTAAAACAATAAGGATCAATATTCTTTCACACCTGAGAGTTGATCTCAAGTATTTTTACAGGAATAGGGTGATTTGATGATGACCCAATGCGCAGTGAGAGGAAAAAGCCAGCCAATTACGAGCTCTCCGGTTGGTAAAATGTTGAACGAAAATATTTCATAATTTTACTGATACCCTAACGATTTAAGAGAGATTATTCCTCAATTTCTCAATATCAAAAGGTGATGTTCATTGAGCTGTCACGAACAAAATGAATTTTCAGTTTGCTCACCCATAAATGAAGGTCTAGGATTTGAGGAGAAAGAACCATCACGCTGTATGTGTTCTGAGAAAATATTGGGGTATGGTGCTGTCGTGGATATATCTTCCTCAATCGAAATCACTTGCGACGAAACCCCATCACACGAGAAAGTCAGATAGGCATCCAGCATTCCAGCAGATGTAGTATGGTTGAAAAGAGGGTTACATTGGTCCTGCGGTCTTAAAATGCTGAAACATAGTTAATTTTAATGTGATACATACTTTAGATGAAATTGAAGAATGGGAGAAAATTCAGCAGCTGGTAAAACAGGCAAAGATCTAAAATTACACTGCTTAAGCTGACAAATTTAAAATAAATAAGAAACTTTGGAGTTGAATCATTATTGATACTGGTGTATGAGCTCGTCCAGCTATTTGCCTAAGTTTGCCTTTTTTGGCATGTTCTGACCTAAGCGAAACAGATATCGATGGTGAAACTCCCAAACTACGTATATCGATTTGCGACATTGCAGACTTCTTCTCATACTTCATTTTATAAATAAAGAACTACTTAACATCACTTTTTAAAAACTTCCATGATTTTTCCTCTATACAAAGCAAATTCTGAGAAAAATTCAAGGAATGATGTTGACTTGTTCCTCCATTAAGTAATAAAACAGGAGTGGGGTTTTTTATACACCGCAAATAAGATACGCGGTTTGGGAGTTCTGCCATCAATATGTAAAAAAACATTCACACGCTGAAAAAAGCCAGAATTATTCAATTTCGATGAGGACTTACGTTGGGACAAGCTGGTGCTTTTGGATGCCCCTAACTGATATAGATTGAAGGGCGACACTTTCATCCACCTCACAATGAGGCGTCAAACTTGACCACAGTGGTCCTTCCCACAGCTCTAGAGTTCTGAGTAGATTTCCATTCTCTCCGAGTGCAAATGGAAGAAAAAGGACAGCGTTTGCCATTTTCCGACCGGTAGGAGTGACAGAAGAGCAAAGATTCAACATTCGATAAGCATCACTTCGACGTCTGTAGTATAGGGATATAGTTTCGAGGTAAGATGCTAAAATCGCACTTGTGTGATAAGAAAAGTTTACCTACCAACATAAAAATTATTTTAATTAGAAGACCAGAAAATCGATTAAGCAATCATTAAAACAAGAGTACCGGGCAGTTAACAGTATTCATAGGGGGGATGGTTGAGACCTTGAATGAATGTAAGAGGCAAGCACATTTTTGAGTAATGTGAAAAAAATTGACCTCAACGGCATAATTTTCAGCTCTGCTCAGTTTAAACTTTTTGCAATCTATAAGACTCATTCAAGACAATTTGACTTCAGCAGAGCGGTTTTTTCGTTCAGGTTGTAACCCTTCCAATCTGCAAGACAGATAAAGAAAGGTGGTCGCATTTCGAGTTGAGCCGCCATTTTAGAGGTTGTGATGGGCAGAGGGTACATACTTTGCCATGCAATCAGGATGTACCCGAGATGTACCCAGAAATGTACCCGATGCAGCGTGACGTCTCATCGTCGGCAATATTCATCATGGCCGACGACAATCCGCCAAAACAAGTGTGCTGGGACGAGATAACACATGACCAGGATACGACCAGTGACAATCGGCGTGTTTAGGTTCATATTTTCCTCGCCCGCCTTGATTGACCTTGATCTCTCCTCAAATTAGGCGCAGAACTGCGGAAGCATCGGCCATGAAGAATATTGCCGACGATGGAACGACTCCTCTAGCAAATTGTTCACCTGTGCTGTAGTATCGTTTTTTGAAGCGGGAAGCTCAAAAACACGCAAATTTCTTTCGCAGATTGTGAAGTTATGAGTGCATTTCAGACTTTGCCGATGCGCTCATCTTGATTTTTGAGACATTATTATCTATAAGTAACAACTCTTATTTTTGCTCTAGCAAAAGTTTGCAACAGGCCTATTAAAACTGTAATAACATATAAAGGTATCTAACTTACATCGTAATTAAGGTGCTGAAAATTTCTTCCTGGGCCGTACTGTCGCCACGTTGTGTTATTGCAAGATATAGGCACAACCAATGAAGAAAATTCACTGGATTTGGCAAATGCCATGACTAGATTTACTATTCTCATAGACTCTTCGTCGGTCGAGTGACTGGAGCTGGTGGACATCAGTACAGGGAACGTCAGAACAGACTTGGAATTATATTCATCATTTAAGTACTGCAAAGCCTCGCCTGCCAAACCAGAGAATCCGTTTGTACTATCCATCAAAATTTGGAAGCCCTGAAAGAGGAAAAGGGATTCTTAGATGATTAGAATTTTTTTTTAAAAAACATAGACAAAATCTCCTAAGAAAGGAACTCTTAATATAATTCGGCAGCCAATCCGCACGTCACAAAAGAAGCTGAGATGTGACTCTTTAATCGTCCCTTAATTGTTAAGAGATGGAATCTTGATTCATCCATCATTTTCATTGAATTTTCCATGATTTTGCAAACATAGATGACAGAAATTCCTCAACTTTCTCAAACAATAATTTACGTACAGGTAAAGAAGGAAAGTAATTTTTCTAAACCTTTTTTTGTTTCAATTAACATTAAGCTTCTGTTGTTTTGTTTTTCCATCTTCCTTTATAATTTACGAACTGCAGATTAGAACAATTACCTAATTTTTTTTACCAGAAAAAGAGAATCATAAGTAAACTAGTAAACATGTTGCCATTATCGAAGTAAGTTGGGGGAAAAAACCAAGTTCACTAAATACTTTCAAAGGACACACGGATAAGAAAAAAAACTCAACTGACCCATTGGTGTGTCAAATTAAAGAGTAAAATAATAGAAATAGATAACTTACTTGCAAATTATCCGACTCTTCAACAAAAAGTCGACACTTATCACACCAATCTTCTCCAAAATTTGGCGAATTCCATACTTCTGAACCTTGAATGTAGGACTCAAATGGTCGATTGTTATCATTGTGCTTATACTCATTCACTATTGATAAAGTTCTTGGGTGGAATCTGGTTTTCAAGTAATCTGACCATACATTAATATCATTGTCTAATTCAAAAATCATTTTTCCATTCTCTGGAACGCCTAAAAAAGAAAAGAAAAGAAAATACTGACAGGGATCGAAGATGAAGAGGTTTAACTGTGGAGGAGGATTTTTGATTTAAAGTTACTGATGTAATTGTTACTTGAAAAGAATGATCTGTTATTTGAAAAAATAATTTTGGGTCCACTCTATATATGTGACTATTCGCAGGATAAGAGGCCTGGTATTAAGAATCTAAAAATCCTACATTAGATATCCCGACACAGAGGAGTGTTTCGTTTAAATTTTGGGACAACCCCCCCCCCAAAAAAAAAAAAAAAAAAAATATCAAGTCAAATAAGAGGTATGATGGTAGGAAATTTAAAAGACTTAAAAGACACACTTAATGAAAACGTTATTGTTGGTTTTTTTTTTTTTTTTAATCTTTGACTTTTTATCAGGACTTAAAATCTTCAGAATAAAATGCAACATTCTTTACTTTTGTGCCAGATTATTCTTACTTTTAGCTATACTGTGGCGAATTTTCCATCCAAGACTAAGAAATCGAATTTTTAACTTCCCTTCCAATATATCACTCTCTGGAAAAATTTTCCTTCACAGCCAGAAGGTCACTTTGCCTGCAGACCATTAAAAATGTTTATTTTTCATCCTAAAAAAAATTTATCTCAAAAAAGAAATTTCTTTGTGAAATATTTATCTCTTGAAAGATTACCTTCGCCGTCCTCTTTCTCAAGGTGTTGTAAAAATTCATTTTTTACTGGCTGATCTGTTGTAACAACTTCAATCTTGTCTTCTTGCCATGGTATGGTCTCAGGTGAAGGAACTCCTGGATCATCGTACAACTCCCCGGATGTTTTTAAATGATTTAAACTACCATGCAAGTCAACAACAATAGCTCTAGGAGTAAAAGTGACCTCATTCTGAAACAATCGAATCATCATGGAAAGTTATACAAAATGCGTAATTGAAAATCCAAATTCTTTTCTATAAGAATCTGAAAAGACTTTTGGTCTTTCGTTCCCCCATTACTGATGAAATGAAGAGCTAAAAGTATTTTGACAGAAGAAACTTCTGTAATACCTAGAGTACCTGTATAGGGAGAGTAGCGACAGATCGGTTCATGGAGGGCTTAGGGCCCAAAAGTGCAGCCACCCTTCTGAGCAACTTTTAACACACAAAATTTCACTGCCAGCCTACAGATTTCAATTCTAACCAAGATGGCTAAGAATGTATATAAATGAGCGTTCTTTCGCAAAAATAAGTAAATTTATGCAAAAAGTAAACCAAATACATGCTTTCTAAACGACGGTTCGTAACAATTGTATTTGTAAATCCCTCTGGACATTCGAAATTCATAGGTTGGCTGCCCTTTTGGGCCCTAACTTTATTCGCGGAGGCATCGGTGAAGGCCTGATGGACTTTCGGAGTTTCAGATCTGTCGCTACTCTCCCTATACAGGTACTCTAGTAATACCATAGTCCAGAGATGAAACAGCATATCTACGTTAGGAAAATTGCAAATTTCTTGTTTTATTTTATTTTCCCCTCAGGATTATTGATCATTGCTATTGAACATAATTTTATGGGTTTTCGCTCAGCCCTTTGAAGAATCTTCTTAGAAAATTTTGTAGGAAAATGTTCGGTAATCTTGTGTAAAGTCAATGAAGCAGCAGGCCTAAAATACAAAATTATCTAATAATAATATTATGAAGCATTATACCAAAATTTTACAAACAGGTAACTGTAAATTGTTATACTCTAAGAGTTTTAACAACATTACCCCCATCATGTAAATGACCATAGTACCTAACTGGTTATCTCTGTTTGCGATGCTGCAGACATCCTGTCGTAATTATTTTTTGTTTAGAAAACTAGACAACCTCGGTTTCTTGCAAACTTCCTTGATTTTCTTCTATGTTAGCAGAACAATCTGTGCAAATTTCGAGCTGTAAAGTTGACTTGTTTCTCTTCAAAAAATAAAATAGGAGCGGAAATTTTGAAACATAGGAATAGAGATACATTGTTGTGCTCATTGGTCATCAAACCAATTATTAGGTCAATTATTATTGTCAGGTGTCACACCTTGTTTATAGGTGTCAAACCTTGGAATCATTTGGTTGACTCTTTTAATTGTTACTGAGAACACTCAGTGTTTAAGTACAGATTGTAACTTGGCCGATCATGCTATTTTATGATCAGTTTTGGAACAGAATTCATGGGAAAATTATGAAAAATCTTGGACTTGAAGCAAGAGTACATAAGCTTTGCATACTGCTTGTAAGATTTACAGATTCAAAAGAGGAAGAAATAATTTTTACCCGGTGGTTGATGCCCTCCCTGTAGAGAACATCATGATTAATTTCAGAAGGTGGACTTGTGGGATCATAATTAAATCCAGACTCCTGGAACATCAAAGAAAAAAGAGATCAGTACACATGGAGAATCCTTCATCCCAAAATTAAACCCTCGGGTAATACCTGTACATCAAGAGGATCCTGAACCTACTGGCCCGCCTCCTGTCCCAGACATGTAAAATGTTGTACAATAATCTCCCTCTCTATACAATGAATCAGAACTGACCAAACAATTTTTTGTTAAAATGAGCGGTGCTGTGATCGACATATTCTCGTTAAAATGAGTTTTGTTATAGAGAGAAAGTACAGCATATAAGAAGTAAAGAGGCAAACAAAAAACAAAGAAACAAAGAAAAAAAAAAAAAAAAAACTCTTACTGACTTTACTTCTTTGAATTGCGTAATTCATGCCAGAAAAGAATGTAGGAGGAGTGCAGGTATGTGGAGCTTCTGAGCAAAAGATGGAAAACGGGACACCAGCTTACATTACTTAGCAGGTATTGAAATCTTGCATCCACTGAAAAAGTTGTACTAATTCTTTAATCAAAAGCCAAAAAATATGTCATCACTTTTAAAAATTTTGAATGCAAAAGAGTTACATTCGCTGCATATCTGAAACTTTCAGAGCAACTTGAGAGATACAATGAAATATATAATCAGTAATATACCAGTTTGAGTAGAGGTGTTGTCAGCTAAGTTGGCATTTGTTTACATTCCACTTGCATGAGATTAAAATGCAATTGTTCAATAGCAAACAAGGATTGGCCGCAGCCCAATCCTGAGCATAGCAAATCCTAGATCCCAATTGGACAACTGCATCACAGTTGCGTGCAAACGGAATGAAGACGAGTGCCGACTTGGCTGACGACACCTCTGGGCTTTTTATATGCATGTCACTGGGATAGACAAGCTAGGTAACTGAAAGTAAATTTATGAGATTCTCGCAATTTTGTATTGCTATCAAAGCGCTAGTTTAAAAGGATATCGATATTAAGAGAAACTCTAGTTCCTCTCAGTAAACGCTTCTAGTATCATCTGCTCACAAATACATATCTAAAATGGCTCCTGCCAATAAAATGCAACCACACTATTTGTCTGCCTGGCTTTCAGTTCAGATGGTGTTAAGGACCATTCAGTAAGTGCCGTAAACACTAGTTTAGTGTTTAAAACAATGCACGCTTATGAATAAACAATCCTTCGTTTACCTGAATATTCCACCAGTGAGCTCCAACAAAGTTGGACTGGTGACCAAACTGAAGGGTTATGACTTCTCTGCCTGAACTCATTATGTATCACATCCAAACAGGCATCACATGAAGATCGGAGACACTCAAGGGTAAAACTTTGTTCGTCAAGCCAGCTATTCTCTGAACGACGATACAACTCAGAGATGTAATAAATAGCTGATGTGCTTTTATTACGTGATTTCTGCGACGCAATTGTGAAGGACAGAGATTTAATTATAAAATTAGTGGAGACACGAAACTGCACGTGAAGAGGTAAATATAAACATAACCTAGAAATTTGCGCAGCAGCGTTACTTGCAAATATGAAACGCCTTCAGAAAAGAATGTATGTAATGAGGTTTAAGTTAACACATACGTAGCGACAATTGCTGTAGACCAAATTGAAGGAAAACTGAAAGGAATTTTCGTGAGGAGCTGGTACTGCTGGTAGGAATATTTCTACTCACCGCCACCGCCAAGATTGGCAGTTTGGCATGGCACGGATCATTTTTATTGCTAAAAAACATTGACGGTTTTGATGGGCAATTTATTAGTAGGTACAATCTCTGGTCACCTAGTAGGTATTTACACTCGAAAAAAGATGTATGAAAAAAAAAACAAGGAGAACTGCGTTTTTTAACTCTTTGTAAGGAAATTCCCATTCTTGAGGAACTACTTGTTTATGCTCTGCTTTAGTTCAGTGCTGCATTGTGCCTTTACTTGATATACTTACAGTTACTGTAGTGTGAATAGCACACACACGTAAGTACTGTAGTGTGTGCGGTACGGTTTGATTTTTTTTTAAAAAATATTCCAAAGTGAGTAGCTTGGTGTGGTCTGGGGTATTGTTTATATTGAAGAAACGTTTAAAAAAAATATGCCCTATAAATGGTCTAAACTTTTGATCTGTCTCATTTTTCTTGAGATACTGACTTAAATGTTTTGTTCTTTTTTCTTCTACCTGTTATAAAGCTACTTTTTATACCTCTTACTGTTAGAAATTATGAACACCACCAAAGTGGTAAAAATTTTACATATAAGTAAATTTTTAAAAGGTTGGAAAAACCAAAACCAATAAGAGTAGGAAAAGAGAACTTCATGACACTGAATAATTTTCACAGAGAAGAAATCGAAGCCTTGTCCACATGTGTTGAGCTCCCTGAACTTTGGTGGGTAAGCTGTAGCTGAGGTATAACTTACACTGTCTGCGCATGAAAAGGAGATAAAAAACGATATGCGAAAGTTTCGCAAACTTGTTCCGGCAAAATTCCACGAACCGTTCCTCGTGTAAACGAGGCCTAACATTGTACAAAACACAGCTGACAAAACAGTCTGAATCTGGTTAAATTTGTCATATTCATAGACATTCCTTAAATGGTAAAGCTGCCTTAACCAATATATAATTCTTATGGCTTAATGAGGCCTAAAAATGTAAGGATCGAAGGGCTATAAATACAATCCTTAGCACAGGTGAAAGAAAGAGGGTACGTAAAAGAGTAAGTCGAATTTGAATGATAATTGGCATTTATTCACCGTCGTGGGTTTGGCTAACGATTTCCCACACGTTTCTGAATTACAGTACGATAAAAGCGATGATTCTTGGCATTAAACTGTAAAAAAAACTTGTAAAATTCAGTACAAAAATACAATTAAACTTACTCTCTGATCAGTATAACGTCTTTTCTTTTTTTTCTTTTTTTTAAAAAAGGAATAATCTAAAAATTCTAAAATTGTTAGTAGATATCATTAAAATTCTATAACACTTAAACCTAACAAGAGATAACACATTTGTAAAAAAAATAAAAATAATACACAACGATACAATAATCAGTCTTCAACACCTGACGCCAACACCGAACAATTATGATCATTCTTCAGACTGATTCAATAGGACATCCTTTTCAAATCAGCTTGCATTTTCTACGAGGAGTGCAATACCTTGACCTCCTCCGATGCATGCAGAGCCAACTCCAAGTTTCAGATTTTTACGCCTGAAAATAAACAAAATCACTATTAAAACTGCTAATGAGAATGCAGAAAAGATGTAAAGAAATTCATTCATTTTACTGTACACAAAGTACACTCAGGGATGCAGAAACTTTCTAACCGCGCGACTGGCCAGTTGTGTGCTGGTCGAGTAAACTAGAGGAACCTCTGCAAGAACAGGAAAAACGGGGAAATCACCACAAAAACAGGAAAAAGTAAAATAAATGTTTAAAAGGTGAGATTTTTTGAGTAAAGGTTTATTTCTTCTTCTTTTCTTTAAATCAAGAATTTTGATTAAAAATGGGGAATTTTTCATTGAATTAAGAGTAAAGCTTGGAATTTCTCTGAATCCCTGGATTCATTCGAAAATGAAGGAAAATTAGGGTAACTGAAAACAAGGTTTAAACTAAGCACTTGATGCTTTGAAATTCACTTGTCGGGATCAACTGGGCGGCAAAATCTATAGTGAAAGAAAACACAGCAGCGTTGCTGTCTGTCGGTGACCAGCATGAGTTACTGGGCGAGGCAGTGAGATTTTAAAGAGTTTAGCTGTCAGCTAATGTACTCAGTGAATTTCTCCATTACAGCATGCACCAATATCCTTCCTCTTAGAATGTTCTGATATTATCTCACACAACACCACGGCACTAACCTGACCTCGAACAAGATGTTAGTGACGCTTCAAACAGCAGCATCGTAATAATTAGTAAGTAAACATTGCTGCCACTAGTTCCCCATCAATGGGGCCTAAATTCAAATTTACATGCTGGCAACGAACGAGACACTTCAAAAATGTTTTGGAAGACCCTACAAAAGGAAGCTTTATTTCTCTGCAAGAATGATTTTTCGTGCAATTTTACGATATGCATCGTTTCTCTTCTAACCAAAGCTGGAGGAATCTTCTATTTGCAGGCCATTTTCTCCCAAGGTCAACTGACTTCTTTGAAACTTTCTAATGGGTGCTCACATATCTACATAGTGGCACAAGAAATTTTGAGGTTCCATTGAATTCTGGTACTATTCTACTGCCATTCTGATGGAGAGACTGTCGACTTATTTAAATAATAGTATTACCTTAATTCGTGTACGAGGTGAGCTGTGATTCTTGCACCAGACGCAGCTAACGGGTGCCCCAGAGCGATGGCTCCACCGTTAACATTCAATTTTTCTAAATCTAATCCTAGGTCCTTGGCACAGGAAAGTGTTTGAGCAGCAAAAGCTTCGTTTATCTAAAAACAATAGAGTTTTATAATGAATACAGACACAAAAAAGTTGATCACAGAAAGACTAAAGATTAAGTCTCCGAGCACATTTTTCTCATTGCGGTGGGTTCACAATAATGTGAGGGAAGGTTCCAGGCAAGTTACCCTGGTTGTGTACCATTCGTACTCACTGGTGTGAACCCTGCATAACTGTGATATAAAGTACATAAATAAATATACCAATGGTGAAATAGTAATAGTATGATTACATTAAAGTGTGTAGTCTTAAAAAAAATCACTAAATGGTATGACTACAGAATATAGATCACATTAAAATAGGTCATATTCCAACAGGCTTAAGTGCAAGAAACAAAAACACAAGAAAAATGGAAGTAATTATCGAATACTAATTACAGCTGTAACTGATTGAAAGAACTAGCATTGCAGTGATTGGCAGAAACCATAGATTGAAGTGTTCAATCTTCCCTGAACTTTATCTGTTTTTCTGGCCTGACAGGAACAATTACACTGTTGCTGAGGAATGCAAAGAGACTGCCTTGATATCAAATAACATGTCTATTTCAAAATCCTAAGTAAATCTTGAATACTTCTTCAACTTTCAATTACCTATTAATTCTCAGTCTTTATAATCGCCAAGCATTCCATTAGTGTGATATTTGATTAAAGATTGGCAGTGCTTCGAGTCCCCAAAAAACTGCTGCTAGCACATTATAAGTACAACTGTACGATATTTCTCACTTTTACTCAAAACCTTAGAACTCACCTCAACTAAATCGATGTCATTTAAGGATTTATTGGCAGTCTTCAGGAGATTCTTGATTGCGGGGGATGGTCCAATACCCATGATACTTGGCTCAACACCAACGATGGCATATGCTACAAGTCTGGCTAGGGGTTTTAAATTATACTTCTTAACCGCATCTTCACTAGCTAATACAACAGCTCCAGCACCGTCGCAAACCCCCTGAAGAAATTTAAAAATGAATAAATATAAGTAATATGGTTTTAAATCATGAACTTATTTTCTTTTCTTTTCAAAGGTAAGAATTTGTACCTAGGAATCATGCACCCTAGCTTCAAAATCGAATTTTAGTTTAAAAATTAGAGGAAAATCTTTCAAGGCCAGTTGTGAATTTTAGAAATTTAAAACATGAGATAGTGACACAATCCTTTGGTGAACAAATCTTCTCAAATTGCAACTTCTACTAGAATTTTTTTACGCCACAGCAGATAAATTAGTTCAGTGCTTATAGCAATTTTGTGTCACATTTTTAGGATCAGAGACAGAGTCTTGACGATATTGTCAGGAATAATACACTCAACTGACACTTGATTTGTTGAATTTATTATTCAAGGTAATTTTTTAGTATTGGCAGCTCATTGTTCATAAACTCATATTCCATTATGGCACATAAAATGAAGAACAAATAAAAAAATCATGTGACTTTAAGTGATATCTAATGTTTTAAACCTCCTTTGAACATTGGCAGAAACTTTGGAATTAAAAATTTGGTCACAGCATAGTCAATTTTAACTTGTTTTTCAGATTTAACAATTAATTACAAAGTATACGTTTGGCTATTGAAAGTTCTAAGTCAATTTTATTTTCCAAATGATGATGAGGTTCCATGGTGAATTTTTTTTTTTTTTTTTAAAATGGTGACTATGAAAACATTGCACTTACAGAAGCTGAGCCGGCAGTGACAAGACCATTCTTTTTGAAGATCGTTGGTAATCTTCCTAATTTTTCTAGGCTTGTCTCCGGCTTTGGATGCTCGTCAACTTCTATCGATTTTACTCCTCCTTTCGCTTTCACTTGGACAGGTGCCAACTCTTCCTTGAAAACTCCAGAATCTTGAGCTGTAAGAAGATCGAGAGTGGTAGAAGTGCATAATTGGAGTTGATTTCCAGAAATCTCAAAGGCCCACTCACATTTTAAAAAAAAAACCAGAAATGGCGAAAATTACATCTGTCACATGCTGTTAAGTGATTTGAAGCAAAACTAAAGCAAAGAGTTGTGTTACTACTAGAAAATGTTTCAAGGGAAGAATTAATCCCATTGTGAACAACTCATCCAGGCTAACATTTTATCGCATTATAGTAGTGCGCTAGCTGATAGGTGAAAGTTAGATATACATGATTGTAGTGCACTAGCTGACAGGTGAAAGTTGAATATCAGGGTAATAAACATAATAATAACTATTGGAAAAATAATAAATAAGAAGATGATTAAACTCAAGGCATTAAAAAATCTCGTAATTATAAGGAAACTTAAATACTTGTAACAGTAAAAAATTTAAGTTCATAATTGACTCTAGCTTTATTAGCAGTGCAAAACTGAGGGGGGGGGGGAGTGCATAGCTCAGGCAGATGCATCAGAGTGCTGCAGAATAGGTTATTTTCCCTCTCTCTTAATTACCTAGGTAAGACTCTTGCGAAAACTTCCTTGAAAAAAAAAAAAAAAAAAAAAAATTACAATGTTACATTGATTTCAAAGCTTCAAAAACATCTCGGGCAATGATTTTGAAACGGACAAAGATTAAAACAAGCAAAGTCTAAAATGATACAGTAAACAAAAATCGAAGTTGCGAGACTGTACAATTGTTACAAAATGAGAAATAATTGAATTAGAGATGATGCAATCCCATGCTCAAACTAGAGAATAAGTCATTATCTATTTTGATTGAATCATTACGGGACTTTGACTCGTATTGCTAACAGCAGTTGAAAACACACAGCACTGCACTGATAGTGTGAGTCTTAGGAAACATTTGCTTCATAGCATTGCAAGCCTTGCTTCAAACCTTGATCGAATGTCCCTGAACTTGGGAGTGTAAACTAATAATAAATTGACTCATAAGTGCACATTCATCACAAGTCATGAAAATAAAAAAACTCAGAAGAATTTATGAAATTGTGATAATGTTAGCTATGTTTCAAATAAAAGGCTACTATGTATAAAATGAAATAATGTGATCGCTTATATTTATGCTGCACACAAAAATTAAGCACTATAAGTGAGATATTGAAGTTTAAGTTTTGAAAAGAGTAGAATTAATGTGAAGGTAATATTGCAGTCAAAGAAAAGACCTGATTTTTTAAAAAAAATAAAGAAAGCAGGACCTCCTACAGCAGTTTTGACATATTCTTAGGAAAATGAATCCGATACCACTACAATGGCAATAAAATTTTGAAGTTAAAATAAGTCCCAATTGGTTCAGGGTAGCCGACGTAAAATAAAATATAAATTAAAAAGAAAATTGAATTGTTTAGTTGAAAAAGATATTACTGCCAAGAGTGAAGCTTTCAGAGAATGAGAAAAGGACTGTAGGTACTTCTTTGAGTGGAAATTTTAAAACACTGTAATGCAGATGAGTGGTTTGGCACTTTGATTTAGACCTGAAGAGCCATCATTTTTGAAGATAAAAAGAGACTTTTTTTCTGATCCCTTTCAAACAAAAAATAGAATGGTGGAAAAATGGCTCAGTGATCATGCGCTTACCTTTTTTCCACTGTTGCTGAGATCTGTATGCAAATTTGTCACACTCCTCGCGGGTGACAGAAAACTGTTCTCCGAGCTTTTCTGCAGTGAGAGCCATGGGCAAACCGCAGTGCGTATCAGTGAGACCTGTCCAAAGGGTATCCTCAAATTCAATCTTGGTGCCAAGAGATGTGCCAAACCTAATGTTTCTGACAGAGAAAGGAGCCTGGCTCATATTGTCAGTTCCTCCTGTGAGGACGACCTCTGAATCACCAACTAATATGCTCTGAAACATGACAACATCCTTACCTTCATCAAAAGGGTAATAAATAGCTCATTCAAGATGACTTAATAGCAGTAAGAGAAACTGCTAAAAAAACTTGTGGAAAACTGTAAAATAAATGGAACATGTTGCTCCATTGACTGATGGTTGACCAATGCCACAGAGGCAAGAAAAATTATACAAAGTTACAGTGTAGTTTTTCTTATGATTTGCTACGGAGTTTAGTACCTGGAACAATTACAGAGGCGACAATAGGTCAAAACTGGCATGATCATGATGTATCCTTGACTTGGCAAAAGCACCTACTTACGATGAAGTGAAAAAAAATTGCACAGTTACAGGACAGCTATATACATAGGTTGTCCCAAAAGTACTGCACGTTTTTTTTTTTTGGACGAACGGTAGCAGATATCAAAATGCGGTTTGTGTAGTCTTAAAGACAAAGCAATTACCGATAAAACAACACAAATCCGAGCTCTCTAAGTCAAAGAATGACCAAGTTACAGGGTTTTGAAAATGGCTTCCAGAGGGGACCCCTACGGATATTTTAGCTTCTTTTCCGGGAAAAAAACAAAGAGTTGATTGTTTTTTTTTTTTAGACGAACGGTAGCAGATATCAAAATGCGGTTTGTGTAGTCTTAAAGATTGGCCAAATACCAATAAAACAAGACAAATTCAAGCTCTCTAAGTCAAAAAATGACCAAGTTACAGTGTTTGGAAAATGACTTGTAGAGGTGACCCTTCCAGGATTTTTAGCTTCTTTTCTGGAAAAAACAAAGATTTGATTAATCAAAAATTCTACAGAGAAATCATCGCGATCGAATGAAGTTGGCAACATGATATCAGCCCGGACCTTGCACCCTGCGATTTTTGGTTATTCCCTACGCTGAAAAAGGGCTTAAGAGGTAGGAAATTGAACTCCATCAACGAGATAAAAAGAGCTGTTGAAACTTTCTTGAAGAACATCAGGCAAGAAGAATTCGAAAAAACATGTTTGAAGAAGTGGGAAGAACGGTTGCGGCGCTGTGTGGCAAGCGATGGAAGGTATTTTGAGAAGGAAACCAGTGTCCAGTCGTCAAGTGAAGAGGATTAAATGTCAGTAATCTTGGTAAGATTGTGTAAAATTGATTTAATAAAACCAAGTGATCTTGAATCTTTAAATCTTTGTTGTTTTTTTTCCAGAAAAGAAGCTAAAATTTCCGTAGGGAGCCCCTCTGGAAGCCATTTTCAAAACCCTGTAATTTCGTCATATTTTGACTTAGAGAGCTCGGATTTGTGTTGTTTTATCGGTAATTGCTCTGTCTTTAAGACTACACAAACCGCATTTTGATATCTGCTACCGTTCGTCCAAAAAAAAAAAACGTGCAGTACTTTTGGGACAACCTATGTACAAGAGCATGAACAGTGGCCAGCATTCAGCATTGGTCGTAACATAATATGTAATTCCACCTCCAAGTGTGAGAGTAGGAGGATTCAGGACTTGCTCTTCTGATGCCTGTTGAATCATCTCCTCATACTATACTAATGGGCGATTAAATTCCAAAATCACTTACTTAACCACACTTGTAACATTTTCAAATTTTTACGCTTACCTATTTAATTTTTACAGGAAAGTATATTTGAATTTTCACTTATGGTTACATAAAAAATTGGGTATCATTTTAAGTCTTCAATTTTCTTAAGGACAAAAAATGGGAATGTAAGAGACTAAGAATGTTGGTGTTTAGCGCAGTTTTGAAGTTTAATGATATTTTTGAAGTTACCTGTGCTCCACTGACGATCGATTGAAAACCAGAGCCACACAAGCGATTGACACCAAGAGCCGGTTTTTCTATTGGGACTCCTGCCCTTAAGGCTGCATGTCGAGGCAAGAAGTTGGAATCAGGTGCAGTGTTCTGTAAAGAAAGTCCCAGAGTAAATTAATGGACTAGACAGGGTTACAGAAGAAATAAATTTTGAATAAATAAATTTTATAATAATTTGAAGAATAATTTTTTTTTTTTTTTTTCATGCTCCAGGGCTCATTTGCTAAAAGGTTGGATTCAGTTGACTGTGTTTTGAATAGGTATATCATGATTTCAACACGATGCTTTTGACATTTTGTGCGATGTCTTGCTCATAACACAGCAGGATTGATTTCATTTCATTCAGGATTGATTTGCAATTTTCTATCACGGATAGTGAAGGATGCTGGTCTCTGCATCTTATTGTTAATTGAAGAGTTACTTCTTAAGTGTTTGTGAGGACTTGCTCCCTATTTGAGCAGCTGGGATAGGTAATTCATGATAATTATTAAAATGCAAATTGAGAAATAGAAGATCCAGAGAGTCAACTAATGAGAGAAATATACTCACAGCTAGAACATTTCCGACAACGACGGAGTCAACATTTTCTGGGTTCACATTAGCAGCGGCTAAGGCTGCTTTAGCGGCAACTTCTTGCAATTCTAAGGATGTGGTTTTGGTGAATGATCCTCCAAAAGTTCCAAATGGTGTGCGCTTGGCTCCAACGATAAAAATACCTGAAAGGTGATTACCATAAATTATAAGAAGGAGCCACATTGTTAAAGGTGGGGAAATTAAGTTCAGACGATTCATCCCAGGTTCTGGGCTGGCATGTGACATATGGCATCCCATTACATGAAAAATTTTGACAGATTTTGGCTTGGTAGCCAAAAAACCAGCTGTGGCCCAACCCTTTACAAGACCCTAGGGAGTCAATCGAGATGAAAAAAAATTGAAGAAGATAGAGAGATATGAACAGAGGTAGATGGCTACAATGCACAAAACAAAGGCATTTGATACAGCAATTGATACATGGATTGATTGCATTTGCAGCCAAATTCTGTTTCCGTTTCTTTAAATTTTTCTATTTTTTTCATTGAGAATGATTCCATAGGCTTACGCACAGGGGCTGACCTCATTTTGGACTAGTCAAAACTGCCAAAATGTTTTACTTAATGCAATCACTTATCCAGTGAGTACATTACTTACGCTCCAGTTTGACCACATCCGGAACTTTGAGGAAATCACATTGTGTTTGGACAAACCGGTAGAATAGAAACCAAACTTTAGGCTTTAGGGTGGAGGATCTGGTTTTGTAACACCACTTCACTTGTACTTGTCATTGTTCGCTTGCCTGCATAGCAAATAGAACCCAATTAGCGGTCTATTTAGAATCACTTCTTCGGTGTCATCTGGTGTGAATTTGGGATGATCTAGATGCAACACTATACCTGTGCCTGCACTCAGCAAGCCTTTACATATCATTAATTCTGTCTTCTTGGGGCACCTATTGATGGAGAGGTAAACGTAAAGCAAAAGGAAAACGTAGCCTTTTGGTGAAACAAAGAGGCACAGTGCTTCAAGGAATAACTCTTGATAAAATGAGTTGAATTGCGAGAGACGAAGGATGAGCGACAGGTAGGAAAATGGTGTGTGATATTATCAGAGGAAAGTCTTACAATACCTGTGTAAATAGGCTAGTGACCAAGAAATAATCTCAAATATGTGGATTTCTTACCTTTGGTAACAATAGACATGATGGCTTTATATGAAATGCACAAATTCAACTATGTAAAACGGCAGGTGGCGGCGATGTTACTGCAATTGCTGATGTAATTCTACTAACAGAGCAGCCCTAGGTGGGAATGTGAGTGGAGAGTCTGAGTACTGAATAATTTGAGGATAAAGAGAGGAGCGAGGTACTTATGAAGATTAGCAAATCAAATTGATAATCAGTAAATCACTTATCACGATCGGGTGACGTTGAACGAGGTCATCCTCGAAAAGTTGTTTATCTAATCAGCTGTACATGCAGTTGCCAAATTTCACACGAATAAACGGTGATAATGTGCTTGGCATGCCGGATGGTGGTAGTGATGTGGCAACACGGTATCCATCCACGGCATGGCATAAAGGCTTTCCAGTTGGGAATTTATTATTTGTATTATCGTCTCCCGTCTGTCCAAATTATCTGGGGGTAATGACTTCTACACTGAAATTCCAACGGTTGACAGGCTCTCAGATTGGAAAATGGAAATTTATACATCCACTGCCACTTATCAGTGGATTAACCGGGAAGGGGGTCTAGGGGGTCCAGGGAGCATCCGTCTCTCATGACTCGCCGAACTTTCATAAAAGACATGGGTAATTTCCGTTATTTTCAGAAATTGTCTGCCTTCACCCCCCCCCCTCCCCCGAAAAAAAAGTAAAAAGGTGATACAGTTTCAGGTACCGCAAACCAGAGAGGCTTTCATGAAACTTTACTTTCTAAGATTTCAGATTGAGGCCATTTATAACATTAGAAATGCTCTCAGTGTGGCATGAAACGCATGGGAAATGACTGACTGCATGGAAATGACTAACATTATCAACTGTGAAACTCTTGAACCACATATCTTGTCTACAGTTTTTCCAAAATCTCCGCTCCTAGCTGTTTATTTTTTTAAGGAGAACAAATCAGTATTATTACTATAAGTTTTTTTCAGAATTTTCCTCACACAGAGAAGAAGTCATAAAAATTAAAATTCTATAGCAATGACGTTAAGTCATTTTCCATTTAAAAAATGAAGTATGACAGGAAGTCTGCAACTTCAAAAACAGAGATACGTGGTTTCAGAGTTTCACTGTTGTAATTTCCTTGGTCGATACGTTAAAGAAAAATTAGGAAATGCTATCGAGAAGTGATGTCACACAAAAATATGTACACACAATGAATGTTAATAATGCAGGTACTTGATTGAATTAGAATTGTATTTTCAAACTTAAGGGATACATTTCAACCAAAAATAAAAAAATGAATGCTATATCATAAATTAGGTACAAGGACTGATCGTTCATTATTCTGCAAAGCCAATATTTCCTCTTGCATCTTTTGATTCGAAATTCAATTCCAAATGCTGACCTTCAAATGTTGCTTGGGGGATTTAAAAGGTAGAACAGAGGTCAAAGAAGAATCACAGAGGTTTTATTCCATACATTAAATAGGGGGAAGAAAACTGAGAGAAACTGCTATTTGTCAACATTTTTTTATCGGAAAGATAAAAACAGCTTTTAACACATGGAAGTGTTAAGTTTTTAACTTTTAAAACTAGGCATTAAAATTATGAGGTCCTGATTTCCAAAAAGTAACATAAAAAACTCTTAGACAAAATTCTTAAGAATGCTACTGAGCTTCCACTTGTTTAAAACACTAAGCATTGTTTATAAATAAGTCAAGTTGTGCTGAAGTAAGTAAATTATGTCATTAAAATAAATGACAAATTGATTATTGGTTGTTGCCATACTGATGCCTGAATCTTTATTCATCGATACGGTGGAGGGAGGGGGGGGGCCTTGCCTTCAAAAAGCCAACTTTCATAAATTATGATATCCACGATATAATCTTCATCAAAATGGACGAGCAGACACCATCCACGGTGATCTGTTGTCATTATCAGGAGGAATTTGGAGTGTATGGGTATACAAACAAGGCTTGGTGGCAGAATAACTTCTCTTGGGCCTTGTCCCCACACGAGCGCAGTTCGCGGAACTTAGTTCCGGGAATTAGTTCCCGAAACCAGTTTTAGCTGAGTTAAAACTTATTCCTCCAAACCCCGAAACTTTCCCCAAACTCTGAGCTCCTGTGTCTCTCTCTATTTTTTTTTTCATTTGTTTTTTACGTCCTTTCTGTCTTGCCATTTGTTTTTGTTTCTCTCGCGGCCGTATTAATCTATTATTTTGCAAAAATTGTATAGTTTTATATTGAAGTTCTGGTTTCAGTTCGGGCAAACTCATGTGGACAGCATGCCTCGTTTTAAGGAACAAGTTTCGGGAAACTGAGCAGTTTGTCGAATAAGTTCCTCGAACCTTGCTCGTGTGGACAGGGCCTTACTCTGATCTACCTTCAAGCTCTATCATAGATTTGTCTGTGGTCACAATATTACATCACTTAAACTCATTCTCAGAAGGATCATACGAAATCTGAATATCGAACTATTTCATCCCATTGAATAGTGATTTTTTCATATTGATAGAATCATAATTTAAGCATGAGAAAATTACAGACCATCCAAACGTACGAATAGACGTACAAAATTTCAGATCTGAATATTGCTTACCTTTCTGGTAAAAGAATAATACATTAGTTTTTTGTGAACATGATTGTTTGTAAGTGTATTTTAATGGATTTGTACAAGAAAACGAAACCAGTCCTTGGGATGAAATGGAGTTTCCTTAAAATCTGATGATTGATCATACGTTTTTAGGGCCATAGATTAATTTATTCTTGAACTTTTTAGGATTGATACCGTACGCTTCCAAACGCGCATCTGAAAGACCTAATTTATCATTACTTTCTATTTTTGACTTCTGCCACGGTTTGATATTTTTCCCTGATTTAAGTTTGTTATGATTTTTGAATTTACTATTTGAAAATTTGTCATTATCAGACGTAAATTTTCCACCATGGTCATTCTTACGATTCTTTCCAAATGAATTAAAATTATTATTCTTCTTAAACTTGAATTCACTTGAATTTCTAGAGGATGCTTTAGAGAATCGATTTTTATTTTTGTTTGGTGAGTTGTGGTCATTTCTGGCCGGAACACTGTTTGAATTCATTTTGCTTTCTGTTTTCACTTGTTTCTTTTTCTGTTTCATCGGTGCGTTAGGGTTTGAAATTACAACAGACTCATCTGCATCATTTCCAGTCTCTGAATTCCTTTTTTTCTTCTTTTTTGGTGATAAACTTGTGTCAGCAACAGCTTCATTTATCACAACTTCTTCTGACACACTGTCTTCCAGCCTTTTCCTTTTTTTCTTCTTTTTCTTTGATTCACAGGATTCTTTTATCTCTGTGTTTGAGTGAGAATTTTCTAGGTTACCTACGGTTGAATTTTCTAATTCTTCCCCAATAAAACTATCCTCTTCCTGCTTAATATTAGTGGCTTCTACATTCAACTTAGCAACTTGGGAAGTAGTTTCATCTTCCATATTTTTCTTCTTTTTCTTTTTTTTAGAATTACCAGCTTCTTCAATCCCTACTTTAGAGGCAGAATTTACCAGTTCACCCACATGACTATTCTCCATTGAGTTTACTATTTCTTCTTTGATAGAAGTATTTTCAATTGCCATTGAGTCACCATCTGAGGCATGGTTGGTCACTGGTGTAGAATTTTCTGATTTCTTCTTCTTCTTTTTCTTTTTCTTCTTCTTCTCATCTTCAGGTTTTGTATCGAATTCTTCCGCTTCCCTAAAAATTTAAGAATTTTAAAATGAAAGGAAGGACACATTTCACTCATTTCAGGTTTTTGATGGTAAAGCGTTTTAAAGGATTATTTAAGAGGATTTAATGAGAAAAAGCAATGGCTTTTAGGGAGTTTCCAAAGCTACCAAGCAATCTTTTAAAGATTTTTAAAAGCATTCAGATCCTTTAAAGAACGTTAAAAAAAAGAAAATTTCTTATTTCTTTACCTTAATTTTTTGCAACCTACATGAAGAAACACGTCAATTACGTTCTGTACATACCGCTATTCTACATTTTGGGATACTCGATCATAAAATAAAAAAAGAGCCATCTACTAAATGGTGGTAAAAAAAAAGTCCAACAACATAAAATTCACAGATTTTTGTGGATGTTAAAGATAAATCCCGAAATTCGAAGATTCCAAAGTTTTGAAAATTGGAAAAAAAAATTGAAGTACCCATATTTAAGGATTTTTCAAAGCTTTGTGAACCCTGTTAAGACTCATCGATTACAAAAATGAAATATGTCATGAAACTACATGGGGAAAAATAATTTTGAAAAAGTAAAAATAATTGTCAAGGGAAATAGAAAATATTACGGTTTTGCAGCAAATACAACATTGGTACTAATTCAGCCAAAAAAATTAAAGTCTTGCACAGCAACGTTAAACTGTGCCGGAAAAGTGGGAAAGTGAGAGGTAAGCATGAGCACAACAGAAAAAAAGGAAAATTGAAGGGCTCAAACTTACAGAATAAATTAAAGTAAATGCCGATGCTTTTTCCGACACCTCTGTCTCTTTTTTCAGGCTGAAATTCCTACTGACTTGTAGTGAACTACAAGTCAGAGTTTCAATCTTCAGTAAGGAGCTGGAGGTTCCCTAAACGGATCAGCATCTACCTAACTTTATTTTATGAGTTCGAGTTTTCCAATTTTTCAATTCTCTTTTTTCCTTAATTAGCCATCTCATTCTTAATCTATAAATCACTCAGCAAATATTTAGCAAATCAAGTAGAACACCCTTTTTACTTAGTAGGACAACTACTGACTTTTTTTTTTGGTATTTATATTTATTCAGTAACTTTTTGAGATTCTTTACTTAATTAAAATCAATTAACTTTAATACCATTGATAATAATAATAATAATAATAATAATAATTTATTTTATTTGTAAATGCATATTTATAACGGCGAAAACAAATATGTCAAAATTAGTTAGGATGATTTTAAAAAAATCATTTCCACGAGTTAAAATTATGTTGATCATCTTAGAATTTATAATCCAAGAATTCTTTCTGTAATTAGTCCTGTTAGTCCATGTGGGTCGGAAACACAATCTATTGTGTTTTTTGACTCTTCTTCTGGAACCCTCATCATTTATTTCATACACTAAGCAGCCAACATGCTGACAAAGAACTTCGATCAGAGATTTTGGTCTCTGGCTTTGTCATCACGATGAAATGAATTAACCAAAAATAAGAGGTGTTTGGAAAAGGGTGTACTTACTTGTACTTATACAAACTAGGGAGAATTTTTCTTTTCAAAGCTTCATCTCGAGCTTTAGCAGCGTAAATTTTTGCTTCATTTTTCTCAGCGTGTTCTGATCTAATCCGGTCAACTTTCTTGATGGAGCACCACTTTTCTAATTCATCATCATCAGCTGCGAGGATCTGGGTAAGGAAAATTGAAACTACATTTTTTATTTGATCAAAGCAACAATCCCACAATTTATCGATCAAAACTTAGTCAAATGCCGCGCTCTGAACCAAATGAGCTCATTTATATTCTCTTGTAAGTCTCACAGTTGGGCTTGTCTTTGTAAACTCAGAGCTTGAATTTATTTTCCATAAAACTATTTTTAACACCTTTAACACTTTCAATGAAGGTATTCTTGATAAAATTTTGAAGAGAATACTTGTCTTGTGCTACTTCAATTTTTGCCCTAACTGGCGGTCCATTACCTAAAATTCAGCTTCCATATACCACTAATTTTTTTTTTTAAAATGCTAAAAGTGTGTAGACCTTCGCTATTCAAGATGTCTGATTCAAGATATTTGAAGTATGTTTAAACCTAATTAGAAAAGCTAACATTGCGGTTAAACCGTTTACACTCACCTCATCTATGGTTAGACCATAGCTATTAGGAACAACTTTGGAGTATTTGAACCTGCAGGGAAGATCATCAATCAAATCCTCAAAATCATACTTGTAAAATTCGTCAATATACTTTTCGAAGGCCTCAGCGTTTGATTTTATTTCATCCGGAAGTTCGGTCGATTCAGTAGAGGTGAGAGCATTTTTCTTTTTGTCTTTTGATTTCAGCTTTTTCTCTAGCTTCTTTTGTTTGGCAACTTCAGGGTTGTAATCACAGTCCATCTAGAGTGAAACAAAACAAATTTTAGATTGGGTAAAAAACCAAAGACCATCGGTTTGATTATTGATACGTCATATTTTAAAAAAACGTAGATATTATAAAAAAACTATGTATGCGTTACACTGACAGATGGGACATGAAAAAGTGTTTATCATAGTATCGAATTCTATTTCTCAGTATCTGGAGCCACATGTTAAATTCAAGAGAAATGAGAGAACATGTATTGTTTGATAAAACAAGCAATGAGAAAGGCACCTTGCATGAGAGTTGATAAAACCTATTTCACTTATGCACTACTTAAATTTTTCAGCAGTTTCAGAGTGTTTCCAAGGTTTTTTCGAAATGAAAAAGCGAACTTAGCCACACTTGCGCAGATAAAAGAGGCCTGTGAAGCGATATTTTTTCATACACCTAGAATTACAATGAATAACACTATAAATGCAATGGTTCCATTTTTGAAATGATTTTTGTCCTCTAACATTGGAAATATTTTTATTACGAATATAGATAAAATTTTTAGGCCAGAGTTAGGATCTTTAGAGAAACTCTCGCAAAACTTTAAAATTTTAGGTTACACCATCAAACGCAGAATTTAAAAAATTAACCCAAGGAAAGAAGTAAAATTCAAAAAAGAACTTGAAGAATTTCTTTTCAATGTCTGAATGGGGTGTCCATGATTTCTTTATTTCCTGATACTTCTACTTTCTTCATTATTTCCTAACTCTAAAATTTTATATGTTCCTGACCTTTGAACATTCTACATACTTTTCTCCTATTAATTACGCTGACTTCTGCTTAACTTGGGGCAAAATTTCCACTTCTAGAGGTTCAAATTACAGAAAACAGTACTTGGAAATTATTTGAGCTCTCTTGAATGACACCAACTGGAGTTGCTGCGTCGACCCACTGCTCACAATAATACCTGACTTTTTTTATGAATTCCCTGAATTTTCCAGGTCACCCTCAATTCCCTGATATTCCAAGTTTTCCAGACTGCCAGAAAATTAGCTAAATTAGTAGTCAAAATAAATGCTCACCACAAAATTTGGATCCTCAGGATCAGCTTCTTGATTCTCATAGTAACCTGGAAAGATTTTGAAGTCATTGAAACAATGATTGGGAAGAAAATCAAAGCAGTCATTTGCATACATCAAGATCAGCTTTACTAATAGCTAACAATACAATGATGAAATTGCAGGGACGCGTATCTTTTTCGCAATGTTTCAACATTCTGCTTCCATTTCATTTCATTTATCAAAGATGAACAAACCAAGGCTATTGCTTGAAATTTTTAAGTGACACTCTTCTCACAGAAAAGTAAATTAACGAAGTTTTCCTGACCTTGAGTATTTTCACATTTGAAAAGTAAAGAATGAAAGGAAGTTCGCAACACCACGAACAAAGATTCGCATTCCTGCACTTTTACCGTTGAATATGGATGTCATTCTACCTTATTTGTCAGAGTAAAATTTCCTTAAAGGCAAAGTAAAGTTTGCTTAGTTATCGGGTAATTCATTAAATACATTATGCTCTAAGAATAAAAGAAGGATCTGAGCTTGCATTACAGGTGGGCGAGGGTTCGTCTAGGGCTACATTTTGTAATGCTAGAATGGACGCACAGCGCTAACTTCTCAAAAATCTAAAATGGATTTCGATTTGACGCCATCACTTTTCATCAAAGATTCTTCACATAGGGCTGATTTGAAAGGAGGGAGGAGGGGCAACTAAGCGACACATAATTTTATAGGGGAAACTGTTGATGCAAACCAGTATTGCGGGTGTGTTACGAGGGGGGTGGAAAATCTAATTTTTGACATTAAGTATTATATGAGCGGTACCTAGAGGTCGCAGATGAAGGTGATACTGTCAAAATAGATGAATCTAAAACTACCCTGATTTGTTTAAAAACAAAAATAAGCTTGAGAGGGTACAGGTTTCAGACAATTCATAAAAAAAAAAAATGAAAAAAAAATGCGATAAAAGAAGTCTTACTGTAATCAAAATCATCATCCTCGAAAACAGGCTTCTCTGTATCTTCGTCATTGTAGAAATCGTTATTGAAAACCTCTTCCATTTTCTGGTCAAACTTAGTAGAATCAAAGTCTTCATCCATTAACTCATCCTGAAGGGGACATAAATATCAACTGTGAGTACAGATTGTAAAAAATTTATCATTAGACCTGGAATGAAATATTGGCACAAGTCAGTTCAGAACGGTAAGCTAAACATACCTACGTTCTAAATTTTAAAATTTACATGTTATAGTACCTGAGCAGTAACTCTTTCATATTGAAGAAAACACAATTTTTCATTGCAATGAGAGTAAAAACAAACCATCAGGTTGATCGGTTTACTAGCATCTGGCAATTTACTGCATCTGGTGCAATGCTTGCGTTTTTCTTACACAAAAAAAGACATACATTCACACTCATAACTATATATATAAAATTGATATTAGTGCTGAGAAGATAACAAAAGTTCGTTCAGAGAAATTGAAAATGAATATTGACTTACTTCAAATGCTAGTTTGTCATTTCCAGTGAGATCTTTAAGTTTTTTTATTTGCTCAACAAGTTCCTCACGTTTCTTCTTTTTGAGTTCAGCCACTTCTTTCTGCTTTTCTTCGAACTTCTTGAGCTTCCTTTCTTTCGCCTTTTCTCTCTGGAGCCTGCGTTTTTCTTGCTTATCTTTCTTGCGCCGCATGGAGGACTCAATATCTCGTGGATATCTTTTTAAAAATTCTCTGTCAGGCTCTTCATATCGGAAGTTATACTTGTATTCAAATTCTTCAGCTTTTTTCAGCTCTTCTTCTTCCTCAGACAGATCTTCCAATTCCGTTTTATTTGACTGGTCGTCCTTCTCCAAGTATCTCTTATTCAGAATATAATCTTTCAAAAATTCTTCAGATTTATCAATGTTGGGATCGGTCCAACAATCGTGCAGATACTGCAAATCCTTCTTCGTTTCATTATCTTCGATATCTTCTTTCTGGCCTTTCAACCACTTTCTGAAAGCCTCTTCTTCTCTTTCTTTCTCTTCTTTGTGTTTTTCTTTCACCTTGAACAAACCTTCACTATCATCCTCTGAGTCTGATGCATCCAAAATTTTCTTGAAATTTTCTTTCAAAACTTTTTGCTCTTCGATATAAGTTGGAGAAGAGGGCTCTTGGATGTCTGCTTCATCTAATATAAAGAAACAGAGTGGAAAGATTATAATTGCATTCGTTATCAATATCCGCTTTTTCATGCATAACTAAGACAACTTTTGATTGATATGACACCTTGAGGAGGATTGATGCCATGGTAATTCGTTCATATTTTTGAGAGAAAAGCATGACCATAATAAACAAACATTTGATCATCTTCAGAGAAAAGGACCTTAGTTTTCAGAGGGAAATTACACAGCAGGGCGATTTTATGAAAAGAAAGCGCCTGACAGGAAATGCTTTTTACTTTCCCTAAGAAATAGTTGCTAGTAGTTTACATCATTTACAAACTTGCAGTGAGTGAATACTAAGGTACGCTATAATCGTACAGCAGTGGAGCATAGCTGAGCAAAACTTCAGAACGATTCCATCAGGACTTCATTTCTTGAACTGCTAAATTTTAACCACTGTAACTTCAATTTAGTTGAGCATTACAAGTGCCAAAATGTTTGCTAAATGCTATTGTAGAACAGTTCCAGTTAATTTAAGTTTAGAGGTAGCTATGAGGTCTCTTTTCATGCAGCTGATTACATCCTTTCATTATTCAACTAAGTAATTTTTCAGAGGTTTTGGTACTCTTTTAACAATTTGCCATTCAGTAAATCTTCCTTATAACATATTTTTTTACAGTGAGGATAGAATTACATTTCATGATAGAAAGTATAAAAAGGTAAGCGAACAATTCACCAGAAAGCAGGTTCGTGATTACACACGGTTATATAATTTTTTGTCAGTTTTTTGATCATGGGGTAAGAAAATTAATGAGCCCCAAACATTTCAGACAAAAGCGAATTTCTTCAGAAAGATGCAGGAAAAAATAAGAATTACTCAACTTAAGGGAAAACATTACCATTTTATTTACCTACCTTCATCTTTTTCAACAAATTCAGGTCCATGCTCTAGCAATAATTTGGTCTCATATTGTCGTACTGACATTGATTCCTTCTTTGATTTCTTTTTATCTTTCTTCCCGGTCTCAGACTCCTTGTTGGCTTCTGACGGCTCATCATTGAAAAATTTGACATTTGAATCATAAATTTTTGGATCTTTCTTCCTTAAACAGCTCAAGGTTCGCAGAAAATTCTTTTCTATCTCTTCTGTAACTCCCTGGTCAATAAGAGTAAGATTAGTATGAATATAATTAAACCACAAGAACATAACAGGTGATCCGAATCTGGCAGATTTGCACCAAGTTACAACAAGACAGAATCAATCAATCAATAAAAAGAGTCTTGAAGTTCTATTTTGTTGTGAAACTTTGGACAATTCCAAAAAAAATTTGCCCAATATTACCTGCGAATCAGCATCTACAACAGTAAAATTTGTCTTATGAACCCAGAAATTGGATAAAAATTGGATCAAAAATTTGAAAAGCAGGAACTAAGAGCTGTGTTGGAGTCTAGGAAGCTCTGGAGCTATGCAAAATCTCACTCAATCAGAAATCATAAAATAAAAAGATATTCATATTGGCAGTGTAAGTTGGAAATCACATAACTTGGTTTGCAGACTTCCTGTCATACTTAATTTTTTAAACGGAAAACTACTCAACAACAATTCTTGAAACTGCTGTGATTTTTCTTCTCTGTGCAAAGAAAATTCTGCAAAACCTTCAAGAAATGATGTCAATTTGTTCTCCTTAAGAAAAATTAACGTAGAGGCGGAGATTTCTAGACACTGCAGACGAGATATGTGATTGCGGACTTACGCCGTCGATAGACGCTATCGGTGGCACGCCACAGAAAAACCAATATAGGTATAACGATTTATTCACATTGGTAGCATTGAAAGAGGTTACGCCGATGTTATCAATATAATAGAGAATCCCTATGATGACATCGCCACTAATAGCGTCTAGATGAACATTGTATGTGTTTCTTCAGATTGAAACTGATAAAAAGTTGACGAGACAATTTTAGCCCCCCCTCCCCCCCCAAAAAAAAAATTGCTAGTTATTCTGTTTTAAATAACGTGCTTACATTCTCCTTCAAGATCCCGTTGGAATCTTGCTGGGGTGAAACAATTTCATTAAATTTTACTCAGCCGAACATTCAAGGAACTCTATTGCCCTCTCAGACTTCAACTGTGAGTTGGGGCATGTGTAACGGCGCATGCAAAAATAAAACCATATTAAACATGTCATTTCTATCTGGTGGTGAAAAAAAGAATCTTACTTTTGCATCTTCATCCTCTTCTTCAGATGAGGAACTTGAGCGATCGTCATCTTCAGGCTCGGACATGATTTTGTTATACCAAGATCTCCAGCTATGAGAACGTTTAGAAGAACGTTGAGCCTGAGGAATATATTCGATAGTCACAGGGCGTAAGTGTTTTTTGGAGGTAAACGGATATGGATATGAAAAATTTTACAGAAGAGAGAAATGAGCAAGACACATGGGCAAACTGTTGTTGTTGGTTTGAGTATGGTGCAATCTGGCTTTTGGCCAATCGGCGACCGTTGTAGCGTTGTGATAGCGTGGGGGCGATCGGGAGTGTACTACCAATCGCAGGGGTTCATAGAGCTTGGCGAGGCGAGGGAGGCCTCGCTGACGACCTTCCAGGTCGGTGAGGTGGTGGGGGGGATTCCCTGTTGGCTGACAGCCGGGCGGGTGATTTGAATTTACTCAGCTTTAGTGAAGTTGCTTTGTTCCGTTCCTAACGGGTGCTATTGCCGCGAGGATTTTTATTTTTATGGGGAAATTTCTTTTCTCGACGTGTGGTTTAGGGTTTAGCTTGATAGTGATTTGGAAATTGTTTGTTTCTTTGATGGGTGGTGAATTCTATGAAGTGGTGGGGAATGTCTTAAGGATCTCCTGTGTCTGCAGTAAAGAATATGTCGAGTATGTGTCGTCTTTTTAGTCTTCTTTGAGTTTCGCTGTTGTCGAGTAATGACAAAGCCAAATGGCTGCGATGGCCTTCCAATCGATGAATGTGGCGTAAAGTCAGTTCTTTTACGTAGTCTTTGACTAGTGGAATGCGAGCATTTCTATGGATCACGTCAACGAGTTGGTACTTGTGGCAGCCAGTTATTAAACGGAGAAATTTATTCTGCGCTGTTTGAAGAGGTTGTTTACTCAACCATAATAAATTTTTAACCTACAAATGGTCATGCAGGGCAACATTCAACACCTGTTGAGAAAGTTTGAAAAATTTGCGGGTTGGTGAAGTTCGTTGACCAGCTCTTTGACGTGTCCGATAAAAATTGTAAACATTGATACACACGTGAGATTATTCCTGCGATACTTTCTGTTTCTGAATAAATTTTCATAGTGTAAGTCGCAAATATGAGTACTGTGGAAGAACTTCAGAAAAGAGTTGCTGAACTAGAAGCAATTCTCAAAGACAAGAATGATTTTACAGGGAGTAAAAGAGAGAAAATTTCAGAAATGTCAGCGGAAGTTGTCGATTCAAATCCTTACAGGTAAGTTTGCATTTAATACGAGGCATTTCCTCTCTTAGTATATATTTCAGAACTTTTTAAACATAATAATAATTGGCTGTGTACATACTGAAAGACAATATTACAGTCACAGAAACTTTGTGTTCTTTCAAAATCATTTCACATCGTATTCGATTCATGTTCGTAAATACCAACATATGGAGACAGAATTCAAAGACTTAAGATGGACTGAAGAGCCCAAGTGGTAGAACTTTTTGCGGTGGTCACTCTCATTTATCGAACTGTACGTTTATCAAGTCAGTTTTGACTGTGGCAAACCTTGTTCTTCAAATGAGTTCTGCAGCCGTTAGAAAATTGTCTCATATCAAAGTATGTCATTTAACATACGGATGAATAGCTTCCAATTAATATCACTATTGTTAAAATTGTCATCCAACTGTACGAAGCATTATTGCAGAAACTCGAGAGGCTGTACAGTTGCCAGTGAACCACAGGTGACTTGATTATTCTTGGTGCAAATGCCAGCCAGACTGAAAGTTTGACGAGGGTCTTCAAGTTAGTGAGGACAGCTCAAACTCATCTGCACTTAATAAAAGTAAATTCAATTTCCTCGCAACTTGTTCAGAATTAACTTCAAATTTTGTCAATGATTTTTGCACCTTAAATTTAAAAAATATTTTATTGAACTTATAAAATGAACCGTAAAAAATGTAATACTTAAATACTATTGTAACTTTCTAAGAATTTTCTCTCTTTCGTTAACCTGTCATAAAATTGCAATTATTTGATGATGATATTCTAATCGATTAATATGGCAGTTACTGCTGGCAGTGTTTTTCTACACTTCGCTGTCATTATTAAAGCATTCTCTGTTTATTTTTTCAGTCGACTCATGGCGCTGAAAAGGATGGGCATAGTGAATAATTATGAGAAAATTCGTGAATACACTGTTGCTGTGGTAGGAGTTGGAGGTGTAGGAAGTGTTACCGCTGAAATGCTTACTCGTTGTGGTATAGGTAAAGTAAGTATTTATCTGGATTTCAACAAAAACTCAAAAGCTCAATTTACCTTTTCAAGCGGCTACAATTTATCACGGCTCTTGTAGCATTCATATCATACTCTATAATATAAAATTATAAGAGAAACACATAATGGACGTAGTGCTTGGGGGGGGGGGGGGTTGGATTGCGAAGCAGTCTGGTATGTAGCCCCCTGGTCTCGTTCAAAAATTTTGTGAACAATGCTGTAAAGTTAAATGAAAAATATTCAATTTAATCTCTAGTCGCATGTCAACTTTAAATCTGACTGTGCAGCTAAACTTTTGGATAAGTAACTTCTACTTGTAAAGCCAACAAGAGATATAAACCAAGTGCAGTCGTCCAACCGCTCATTTGAGGTTCAAAATAATAATCAATTTCTTTCTTAGAATGGTATACCTTTCTAGCTCAGGATATACATAAGTTAAGTAAAACTACGGAAGCAACTTTCAATTTTTACAAGTTGTCAGCCTTCCGTGGCGTAGTGGTTGAATCTGTGGCTCTAAAATCAGAAGGTCTCTGGTTCAATTCTTTGCAGGGCATCCTAAGTTTGATTATCTCACAGAAACCCTACCTACAACGGCTGATCAGTTTTTGAATGAGATAGTGGATAGTTAATAATAAATTGAGTCCAAACCAAATAAATCTAAGCCTTTTTAGACTGCAGCAGAAGATCCGCCATCTTGATTCTTCCATTTACTTGATATGTTAAAGTGACATCAGACAATTTTCTGTCATTGTCTAGTAGTGCGTTAAGTTATTTGGCATGAGCTCTAATATTCCTAATGCTGAGGGTGTTTACAATTTGGAGGTTTCTCTGTAAATGCTTCTAACCATAAAATAAACTTTCCTCTCAACTTTGTATTTATTTCTATTTTACAGTTAATTCTCTTTGACTATGATAAAGTTGAACTTGCGAATATGAATCGTCTTTTCTTCCAACCACATCAAGCTGGACTCTCAAAAGTCGAGGCAGCTGCAAGAACATTATCATTCATAAATCCTGATGTTGTGATGGAAACCCACAATTACAATATTACGACGATAGATAATTTCCAGCATTTTATGGATCGAATTAGGTATGTATGTAAATCGGGCACTTTGCCATGCCCAGGCAAGTAGTCATGATATGAAAATTATCGAAGTTGTACATTTTTTTATTACAAATAGGAGCTCTCAATTTTTCAAGTATTTGGATTTAAACATTTATCAAAAAAGTATTTTGTTAAAGTTTACCGATCAATATGTTTTTAATCAATTTAACCAGCAAAATCTTAGATACCATGTACCCATTTTATGAAATAATGGAAAATTTTGCGCTAATGTTTATTATAGTGCCAGACACCCTCAGGGGTCAATAATCTCCTGTGCCTTCCACATTATCTGCGAACCGTAGCACCATTCATACCTTTCCTTTTGATGACCTTTTTTTTGGCATCACCCAGAAGAAAATGAAAAGAAATTCGAGGGCTTTCCACAAAAACGGCGATCCTAAGATCACATGATCTTGGATATTATCAACCTCTGTAAACCATTAAGATACCCATAGATCCATCAATAATTTTGCAATTTGATCTCTGTAAGATGCCGGAGATAAATCCTTTTTTTTTCATTCCAAGATGAGTATTATTCATTTTTTCTGAATTTTGCAGTGAAGGTGGGTTAAATGGTGGAGCTGTGGATTTAGTATTAAGTTGTGTAGATAATTTTGAAGCTCGAATGGCCATAAACGTGGCATGCAATACATTAGGACAAACTTGGTTTGAATCTGGCGTCTCGGAGAATGCAGTTTCAGGACACATACAGCTCATCATCCCAGGAGAGTCAGCATGTTTTGCAGTGAGTTATTTCTTCCTCTTGATGGCCTTTTGTTCTGGAAAAACACTAAGTGACCAATGGACCGAGTAAGAAACAAAATACTGCAAACAAAATTGGGAAACACATGAAACTTTTGGGCAGTAGGTGTGCCTCTTTCTATTGGACATAGTACAAAATTTTGATTAATAAATTATAAATTTGTATTATTATTATTGAAAAGGCACACTAGAAAACACAGTCCACTACACACGGCACACTAGTCCAATAGAAAGAGAGAATATGTAGTCCCCATACCTAAATGTATATTGCATACAAGAAAGTATATTTTCTATTTTTAAAATTTAATTTTGGTTCAAAATTTCCTCTCTTTGATTTTAATCTGAGTTGAACGGGGAGGATTAACCGTTGAAAATTCGGAATCAAACTGATCCGAAATTACCAAAGGTCCTGAATTCAAACTGAAACAGAACCAGCATCCCTCAGTCTATTGAACTGATTTCTAATTTTTTTAGTTACTTAAACCAATTAACAGCCTTATTGAAGGAGCATTTTAAGATTGCTGTTTTAGGCCCATGACTGCATATCAACTCTAACAGAAAATGTAAGTATAGCAAATTTTCTTTGACTGTCAATTTCAATTTATTTTTTTAAGTATCGGATGTAATTGTTAATGTTTTTAGAAGATTTAAAAAAATCTAATTCCATGTCATTCTTTTTTTTACAGTGTGCACCGCCTTTAGTTGTAGCCTCAAATATTGATGAGAAAACACTGAAAAAAGATGGCGTTTGTGCAGCCAGTTTACCTACAACTATGGGAGTAGTAGCAGGATTCCTCGTTCAAAATACTCTGAAGTAAGTATCAAATTTCTTTTATAGAAGATGGTTAGCTGTTTTTATTCGCCACTATTATGGATCCTGATTTTTTGTTGTGACCCTGCAGCCTGATTGTTGAAAATGTTTGTTTGTCGGGACAACATAGATGAAATAGGTTAAAAGGCAAAGCGTGATTGGTCGGCTATATCTTATCGCTGCTTTGTCGTGTCTATATCGGGTTGACCTCTCGACAAGCTAACGGCACCTCTTAAGTCTCCGACAGTATGTCATCCATTCCACCTGACAAAGGCACGACAAAGCAGCGATAAGACATAGCCGACCAATCACGCTCCGCTTTGTAACCTATGTCATCTTTGTCGTCCCGACAAACAAAAAATTTCAACAATCAGGCTGCAGATATTATGTACTTACATTTATGTTAAGTTGTGAACCTTGGAGTACATACATGATTTCACTAGAAGATCAGAATTAATCAATCTACTTTGTTGGTCATGTCTTAATCTTTTTGATTTTGTGTTTTTTTATCTTTGTCCTAGGAAATTACTCAACTTTGGTGAAGTATCATGGTACCTAGGTTACAGTGCCCTCAGTGACTTTTTCCCAAAAATGAAACTACGTCCAAATCCAACGTGTGAGGATAGTTATTGCCAAGCCAGGCAAAAGGAATTCAATGAAAAACCGAAACCTGTTGTTGCTGATGTACCCGCCGAAACTGTAAAGGAAGTCCATGAAGATAATGAATGGGGTAAAAATTATGACACCAGTAAATCTTAAGTATCAAAATTGCAAACATACTTGCACTTTTTTAGCATAGAGCAGTAAGAAAATTGATTAAGCACGAAGAACAAAACTACGAAAATCTATGATAAATGAGCCAAACAGAACAAAGCCAAAAGCTAGCAGAATGCAGAAATGTAGAGAGCAGTATGCTCGAACAAAATAGAGAGTTGTCTCTCACAGAAAGTGGCTCATAACTCACAATGAGCGCATTGGAAAAATCTGTAATATACTCCTAACTTCACAATCTGTATAAAACATTTGCATTTTTTTGAGCTTTCCACTCCAAAAATGATACCACAGCACAAGAAAACATTGTATTAGAGGAGTCGTTCACTTCAACCCTTGCGGACTGGGGTGTTTCGCAATACTTAACATAGCCGACGCTTCCGCACGCAAATTTAGGGGAGCAAATGGTCAATCAAGGCAGACCCTTCATCAATGCAAGGAATATGTGAATATAGACAAGCCGTTTGTTAATAAGTGGCTAGAATCTCGTCTCGGCATATTTGTTTTGGCAAATTGGCATCGGCCATGTTGAATAAAGCGAAGTATCCTAGTGCATAGGGGTTGGATGAAACGACTCCTGTAACGAAATATTCACCTATGCGGACGTATTGTTTTTGAAGCAGGAAGCTCAAAACAACCAAAATTTCTTACGTAGATTGTGAAGTCAGGAGTGCATTTCAGACTTTGCCAATGCGCTCATCTCAATTTTTGAGACATTTTCTATTTGAAACAACTCTTATTTTTGCTCTGGCAAAAGTTTGCAACAGGTCCATTCTTTGGTTGTAACCACTAAACTTTCATTCAAATACTTTCATAAAACTTGGCCAAAGAAGAAAGAATTATCAGAGAAGCAGCCATTAATTAAAAGTTCAATCTTGCTATCTTTAGGACTGAGTGAAATCCCTTTATACAATTCTTTATTTCAATGATGATTATTTTTTATCATTGTTTTCTATCGTCTAGGTACTCATTTCCATCCTTTTTGTTGCGATACATTGGAAAAGTTGACCTGAATTCAAACAACGGACCTTCCCTCTCCTAATTGTGCATGAGTCCTTATCTAAGATACCTATGTTGCCAGTTTTAATCCATGCCTCTTCCAGACCTCTCACTTTTAGTTTGCATCAGTGCATCCGAATAACTTCTGATCATCCAAAAATACCTTTACATAACCTATCTCTCAACAAGGCAGAGGATCTTGCACTCTTTTCATGTACCAAATTTTATTCAATGCTTTTCAAAGAAAAACCTGCAATCTATTTTTCAGGGATCTGTCTTGTTGACGAAACATCTCAAGATGCTGAACCGGAGACTAAAAATAATTTGGAACTCGTCGAAGGAGTGCATGCTGCTTACACAGTTCCTGAAACATGTCCGACGCAAGGACCCACTATAGAGGACACTGAAGTCAGCTTAGACGAATTAATGAAACAAATGAAATCGCTCTGATCAAGTTTCATTACAAAGGTAGACATTCCTTTGGATTCACTCCACTAATACTTCTTTGCACCCATTCATCCTGTTTTGATCCAACAAGATTAATTCCTCATCATCAGTCAGTTTTCGATTTCTAGGAAGTCCATTTTGGTTGAGCTGCGATTCATCACTGTTGACAAAAAGGGTGTAGTTGGGTTTTGGGGTAAGCCCTAATTTAAATACTTCCAAGCAGTGTTCTTATTTCATCCTAATATGTATGTAGGAAGTCATTTGTGTAGGTAAGCCTGATTTTTAGAAGCCATGAAAATGTTTTATTTTGTCCTAAAGGAAAGATAAATTTTATAAAGAGTAAAGAAGGCAACACTGCAATGAAGATCAAAAGAAGAAGTCAGATCAGCACACTTTATCTTTGGTGCAATCTATGCATAGAGCTTGCAATCCAGTGGCAGTTTTCAGCCTACTAGAATCTTACGCAGAAATGGAGTCCTACTCTCTACCATCAATATTCCTTTTCCGTGCCCCGAAATGTGTCCAAGGTTTTTGAAAAACGAGACTGGTGGTACCTAAAATTATAATGATCATGATATCATAATCTGGTCTTTCTGTTTTTTTCAGTATTCCAGTTTCTCCTGAATATCATAATAGTCTGTAAGATTGACAGCCAAAATTCTCTGTAAGTACGTACTATGACTGACTTTGATTAAGCGTTTTTAAAGATTGTTAAGTTTTACATGCCAATCAGCATAATTTTCTTTTTTTTTCTTTCTTTCTTTTTTTTGCCTGTAATTGGAATGAGAGGTGGATTTTTTGTTTCCGTTGTTTTTATTTTAATTGATTTTTAAAACGTTATGTATTATAAGTATTTTTATCCTGAAAAATTAGAAAAAAAAAAAGAATGAGCTGTTTAAAATTTGTAAATAAATGCATTTTTATTGAAAGAGATCTTTTCATATTTTATTGCAGTGGCATGACAATTGAAAATATGTCATGATCAAAAAGATATAATTTGAAATACTTTTCAGGCAAAATGTGTTGCTCAAACCGTCAAATATATCTGAAAAGCAAATAAAGGTTTTTTGAAAATTTTTGCCCAACCTTTTCGTCATTTTCCTTGACATTTCCAGGTAATCCCTGTTTTCCTGGTATTCACAAACTGCAGGATTGCCACAAAATTTAGAAAATGAAATTCCCTGACATTTTTCCGACCCTTTTGAGTAAAATTTTCTGATAACTTATATGATATAAGATATGCCTTTTGGCCAAAAAGACATATCCACGGCATAAATCTCCAATCACATATCTCCTTTGTGGTGTCTAAAAATCTCTGCTTCTATGTTATTTTTTTAAAGGAGAACAAACTGACATCATTCCTTGAAGTTTTTGCAGAATTATCTCAGCACAGAGAAGAAAAATCACGGCAGCTTTAAAGAATTGCCATGAAGTAGTTTTCCGTTTAAAAAATAAAGTTTGACAGGAAGTCTGCAACGTGCCAGACCGAGTTATGTGATTGCCGACTTATACAGTCGATAAAAGTAATTTGAATTAATTTCCAGGCAAAATTTGTTGTTCTGAATGTTAAATTCACTCTAGAAAGCTAATATAGGTAAATTAAAAATTTTTCCCTGACACTTAGGTCATTTTCCCAGACTGGTGGCAACCCTGTGACTGGCGAACCTGTTTAATTTTTTAAACATTTAATTTATCACAAAATTTGATAGAACAAATGAATTTATTTATGTATTAAATTATAAAAAAAAACATAATTTAAGGAATTAAAAACAAGAAATAACAAAAATCAACAACATAATGAAACCAAAAAGTAAGCACAAACAAAAAAAGACTGTTCAAACAAAAGAGATAAAACATATTGTTGCAATGGAATCAGTTTTTTCAACTCGTGAAGCCCCATACTCTTTGTGTATTAGCATTGTAAGGTCCTAAAATTTGAGTGACATAATTACAAAAATACAATTAAATGAAAAGAAGCCCTGGAAGTTCTCATTCACACATGGAAAATATTTTTGGATTCTCCGATGAAACAGACAAGCCCTTTATCTTTCAAAGAAATAAACGATCTTGAAAGTTTTGAGACATTGCAATGCAATTTTACCGTCTAGCTGCCAAAATCTCAAAGAAGCTGACTGTTTATTGCAATCAGAGATTTTTGCATCATTTATAGGAAAATTGTTTTTGTCTCGGAAAATTATTCGCTTTTGCAGCAAATTACCCAATGTTACAGTAACATGTAAAAAGTGCCCCATTTGGGGAGGAAACGAAAAATATCTCCTTTGAGAAATGCTCTGTGGCCAAAATTTGTCCCTTATTCGCTGCAAACCACAATATTGGACCCTTTTTGCATCCTTGCGGCCTTGCAGCTAAGGAATACATTAAGAGCTAGGTTAAAAACAACTGTACCATGAAAAGCCTAATATGTAGGACAGGGAGCTGTTATTTCTGATCGTAATTTGTGAGTCCAAAATGATTTATGAAGATGATTCAAAACAGTATCTGGAAGATTCTTATTAGATATTATCGCTAACTGCCAAGTAAACTTAGTGAACTTCTTTAAAAACTCTGATTTTGTTGCAATCTTGACGGCAAATCACATTTTCTTTATCATAATAAATGATTAGGATATTTTCATTACTGGGAAGAACTTTTTCATGAATTTGTACCTATGCCAATTAAAACATTGCATTATCACATTTCAAATCCATTATTCCCAGTTTAATGGATGGATACATTTCATGATGTAAAAACATTTCATTAGTCTTAATATTTACAATACATGTAAACCTAGATTTAAATGTACACACAAAAAGTTAGAATTTCGAAACTTTAAAAAATCATCTGATAAAATAGCTCCCACTTTAATTGAATTTTGCGACCTTACTATAATAAAATAGAAAAATACCTGATGAAAGGCTTGTAAACATTTTAGATATTTAAAAAATACACCCTGCCTCAGCTTATAAAACCTAATTTACAGAGTAAAATTTACTGGGTACTGATCGGATTAAAAAAGGAACTAATGTAATTGTGATCAATTGAAACTCATTTTGCTTCAGTATTCCAACGGTTTTTCCTCAGTTTTAAGTTGTCAAATCAGTTAGATCTTAACTAAGCTTACAGAAAACTCCGTACAGTAGGTGCTAGTATTCAAAACGTGCATGGGTGCCATGACACTACACATTTGATGTGTGTTGGACATACTTTTCAATATCTCATTCAGGAGTTGATTTCTAAACTTTTAGTTGTGAGAATCGTTTTCTATGTAAGATTTTGAAGAGAAATCAAACTGACATTTCCTCTAGTTCAGACCTTCTCTAGTGACCCATTGTTCCAAGACGTGAAAATTTCAAGCAGGAAATGAAGGCTGCTCTAAAGTTTCTTATCTGGGTGTTCTGCTTTTTTTAAAAAAAACAAGAATAAAAATCTCACATCACAATTGTTACAACTGAAAGAAATAAATTTGAGGAAAAGACTCACAACTCTACCAGCTGTGCAAGAAGTATTTTCGAAAATTCTCTTGGATGGACATAAATTCTTATATGTATTCCTATTTTGCATTCCAATGATGAGCGGAAAAATTTTTGTGCGGCTGTCTGTATATTCTTGTACGATGAGTTCCTTTGTAAAGCTGCTTTGTTTTTTGTTGGAAATGGCAACTGTTCACTGCCTTTTCCTATCAGCTGCATCACTGATAGATGCTTGAACTGTGCGAGATCTTGATCCTCGATTGATGAAGTATTTAGGTATGATTGCAGCGACTAAAATCACAGCAAACTGGATTACGGTGGAAAATTTGAAAAAGCTGTCTAAAGAATCAAGAGTGACTAAAAGCCCACCAGTGTAAACACACATGAAGATGTATGGCATTAAACCTAGAAGAAAAAGGAGAGAGAAAATTATTCAGCAAAATAATTAAAGTAGACAGATTAACAAACAATTAAAATAGATAGATCAATGAATAATTAAAATAGATAGATCAATGAATAATTAAAATAGATAGATAAATAAACTGAATAGCCCGTAGTAATAAAGGCACGGTTTGATAGAATAGTTTCGACGTTTAAGATGTTTATACCAGGTATTTAAATTGGAGGGACCATAGGCTTTAAAACTGGAATTTTCTGTCAGCTAATTTCGAAGGAAAACAGGGTTGGTACGTGAATTTTTTAGCCCTCTCATTCAAGTTTTTGGGTGAGAATGTTGTCACACAACTCGATCGATATTCAAGAAAAGCTGTCCTCCCTTGCTAGAGAGAAAAAACAAACGTAGTGCACCTTCTGGTTTTGGATATTGGAAGGGGGAGTTTGCTACATATCCAAGCAAAAACCTTCTGATGAAGTAATTAATTCTCTTTCCTTTTCTTAAAATTGGCAAGTAGAAAGTCCTTGTGCCAAAGACTTCTATGCTTTGAATAATTCTAGAGAATTTATGATGTGAGTACAATAAAAATCCTGGAGAACATCAAACGATTGGAAACAAATAAACATACATACAAATACAAAACACATAATTCGTGAATGGCTATCATATTCGAAATTCCTTAATGGAAACTGACCTTAATCCTGGAGAACGCAATGACAGGAAAATACACTAGTAACAAAAAAGCAATGCTTGATTCCTTTAATTTTTGTCTTATCCTTTTTAAGAATCTCTTGGTGATGACTTGACAATAAAGCATGGACCATAGCACTACAAAACCTATTTTCTCTTCAGGATTTTATGAGAAAAACACATAGCTCCAGCGCATGTTCTAAAATCAACTCCAAGAGTTTAAAATTTCCTCAGATCTTCTCTAGGCGAGAGCCTCAGGAAATGGAAAAAAAACCTAGCAAAAATTACCCTCGCGATAAAAATTTCTTACCCCGAAAATAAATTTACCCAACGATTGCTGGCATCTATCTTTTTATTTTTTTTGAGAGACTCTGCATAAGACTCACGATTTTTCAAAGCTGCCTCAAGATTTCTGAGCTATTACCATGAAATTTATCAGTTTCAGTTCATTAATATATCATAAATACACACCTATACATGCTGTAAATACAAATTGTTGCAAGGGAATTCCAACTAAAGGGGATGCAATATTGATCAGCCAATTAGGAGTCATCGGAAACATTCGCAGCAGGAGAAGGAAGAAAGTTAAATTTTGCTCATTTTGTTGAACCTGTGAAGACCAAAGACATTATAAATTAGTGAAGATAAAAAGGATAAAACTGGATAGTTCAACATTAATGCATTTGTATTGATAACTTTAAATGTATCAGAAAATAAGGATTCCAAAAAATACAACTTTTGTTACAATCTGGTAATTTTGTAGCTCAAATGTTTGATTCAGGAATTCAGGAAGTTACTGGCCTTTCTATTTTTTAACGTGTCTAGCTCTTATTTTAAAAGCACTTTCTTCTGATAAAATTTTCTGAGTGATGACCCTTCCATTTTCTTTTGTTCCTTATTTGCGAATCGCTGCAGTTTTGTGCAAAACAAGAAATTGACACGCAATAGGAGCAGTCTTTTTTTTTTCACAGCCCTCCCATTTTATTCCACTTCTTGATTTTTCACAGCTTGCTAACTCTCTCACTTGAGCTTTTAGCTGTTTCTTCCAAATAAATGTATTTTATATAATGCTGAGCTGAACAAAAGCTTTAAGTATTCTGTTGCAAAATACTGAAATTTTCAGCTGTGACCCACGTTTTAAAAAGAGATTTTTCGGGAAATAACAGCACTTCTCAGCCTGGTGGATCCGCTTTTTGCCACAACTTCAGAGTGCGAGTTGTATTTTTGCAAAATTTGCTTGATATCAGGATGTTCCTTCGCTCACTGCTATAGATTCACTTTAATTAGAAAAAATGACTTTTTTACCAATGTTCGAAAATATTGAATTTTTCCGGAGAAGAGTTGCCCAATGAGTTCCCGGCCAAAATGAGCAGAGATGAGATAACAGCATGAAGCTCCTACCGTTGTCAGCAAACAACAGAGAGGAAATCCTATCCATATACCAAATAGTGCGCCAGCTAACAAATTCTGAAATCAATTTTAAAAGCACATCTTGTTGCAAAGAATGATACATGTAGCAAAAAATAAGTGTCACTACCAGAGTGAAATTTCAAAATTTCTCAATTGAAACCTTTAGTGATAGTAGAGAAACTAAAAAGGTAACATTTTTGTGATTTTGAAAAATAAGGCCTTCAGACTTAAAAACTACATCAAGTTTTCTTTAAGCTCAAGAGAAAGTTTACATTGATGTTGTGTAGTGTGAGATTGAGTTCATTGGGTCAATTTTTGTTTAGAATTTGACTTGACTTCAAGACAAGTTTTGCTTGAAACTACCGATATCTTACTATTTTAAATCATTTTACATACCTCTTTGATTTACTTTAGGCTTTAATTAGAAGGAATGTATAACAGTTTTTCATTTTGGTTATGAATGAAACACAAATCTCGTTGGTTACCTACTAATTTTCGGAGTCATTCTTTTACTATCTGATGAGTATGAAATACTGATGAGAAAGAGACACCTGAGGTTCTTGGGATTTATTGATTCAACTTCTCTTCAGATAGCTATGAATAAAACTGAATTTTCTTTATCTCAGCTAGTACAGATGAGACTGTAGAGTCTGAATTAGTTGAAATGCAGCTCATAAAGAGGAAAAGCTCACCAAAAAAACAGAGCCGGGAATCATGAATGTCTGTTTGAATAAGTACGTAAAGCTGAAAACAAGCATGACATATGAGGCATGTGTATGGTTATAGATGTCCATCACTTTGGCCATTCTTTGAAGATCCTCCAAACTACCAGGGAAAACAAAGCGAATCTGCAGGGGAAAAAAGTACAATCCATAAATAAAGAGAAATTTGAAACCGTAGAGTCACGTTATTACCTACATGACTGTACGCCAGAAAAGGCCAAGACTAATTGGACTACATTTTACAATTAAGGCCTACAACTTTTAGCCCATCCGTAAAAACATTCATAAGCATAGGAAACCTAATAGTATGTACATTGTTTCCTTTGCTTTTCGTGCCTTGAAAATAAGAATCTCAGGAGTGGATTTCGGCAAGAGAAGCATTTCTGGGCTTTTAAATGCTCAAAACTGCTTTTATTACTTAGGAGTTGAAATACAATAAAAAAGAGCATTGCTCATTAGTCTGAAGCTAATGATTTTTATATGAGACGATGGCCCATGGTTTCGAACACCCTAAATCAAGTGCAAAATGGCCACTGGATTATTGAAATCCCTAAGAAATTATTTCATTTCACAAAATTTTCAGCTCTTCATTACAAAAAAGGACCGACTGCTAAACTGCAAAGCAGGCATTAAAATTGAACATTTCAAAATTTCTGAGTACCTTTCATTCTCAAGAGGGAAAATAATTGACTAAGTGGCATGGAATTTTATCTAGGTAATGCTTTTTTAGAATAGTCATCTTGTGAAATGTTCAAGTTGTTATGTTGATTTTATTACCCTCTAAAAATAAATTAAGCATGAAAATTCTGAAATATTAAGACTGAGAGACATGCTTCAGGAGATAGACTTGCTGTTATGTTAAGAATGGATTGAATATTAGAAAAATCATTCCTGACAACAATGTCAACAAATTTGGGTTTGCAAGAGCATTTCGGAAGAGGCTAAGGAAAAGACATTGATATTGAACAGGTACCCAGAAAGTATCCTATTAGGTAGTTGATTGGAAATCCCTTTCTTCGATATCATTCAAACTATGTGCATTGTGTCAGTAAATTCATTCTATAAAAACAGCGAGGAAGCTTGATTGTCAGTATCAGTTAATACTTACCCCTTTTGGCACACTATCGACAAATTTCTGAGCCTCATCATAATCAATGTCTAAACTTTTGGCGACAATCGACGCATCCAATGCAGGTGCAGAGGTTGCCAGCAAGTAAAGTATGATACAAGCACTTGCGGCCAACACAAGTAGGTACACTACGTTCGCCATATTTGTAGAATGCTTGTACGTTTAGCTGAATACTTGAGTATATAATGATGAGGATGTAAGGTTTTCCTGCCGAAATGAACAATCAAAGGATAAGCATTGGGAAAACTTTAGTCACTTCATGAGAGTATGAAAAGAGTGAGTGCCATGTCAAACTAGTTGCAAGTTAAACAAGCAAAATTGATAATTTGACATATTTATCCTGGTTGGGCGCTGGATCACTGGAATTAGCTGGACTGCAGTGAGGGATCGGGATATAAAAGTAACATGGTTCATCGTCATCCGCAGCGGTTCAAATAAAAAAGCCCTAAATCAAACTCACTGATTGAATTAGTGAACTAATAACTGTGCTGCATGACATGATGGTATCAGATGAAGGATTTTGTAATTGTGATGTAGCTTAAGATTCAGCGAAGGACAGAGAGGATGTTAACAAATGTATCTGATTTTTTTGTGGACATCATGGACCTTGTCCTCACAATTTATTGCTATGTAAAGTAGCATCTGCGAAGTGGCACAAATAATTGACTATCTCCCCATCTCGTCGAGACGATTTTAACAAAAAATCACCTGAGTTTCTCTCATCTGATTTGACACTGCGACAAATCTCTAGAAAAGTGCTTGTGAAACAAGGCCTTTGGATCTCCAAATTAATTGCAGGAATGCAACATTTAGGGCCTTGTGATATTCTTTCTACTGTGAAGTTCCCAAAGGTGCTAAGCGTAATTCTAAGACTGAATTCGTTCTATTTGACTAGATAGAAAAAAAGACAAAATGTTGATCAAATTTCTTACCCAATTTTTCATTCCATGAGAATTTTGGGCCACATACATCATGATCTCTTCATGTTTCTTGAAGTAGAAACTTAAACTTATATAGTGCAGAGGACGATTCACTTTGTTTATGTTTATAAGTTTCTTTAGGTTAATTTACTCCGCTCCCCCTCCCTCTCCGCCTCACCGTTAAAAACAAAATAAAAAAATATTATTACGTCATTATTGTTTACATTACATTCTTCAAGGTCAGTGGCAGAGTGTCTTTTGACAGTTTACACCTTACACAAGTCGTGTGTCGAACTTCGTGTCGTGCATTGAATTTTTAAACGTTCATTGAAACAGTTTGTACTTCTCCAAATCCTTCTGTTTTCATCCTCGGGCAGGTAATGAATTCCAATTATACCCACTGGTCACAAATAAAAATTGATTTCCACCTAACCTTAAACCGTTTCAGATATAACTGTTACTATTTAGTTTAGTTTTGGTAGAAACAATTATAGAGCGAATTTGAGCAGACATAAGTTGCCAACTCTAGGAGCAAGTCAGAAAATCTGCATGTCATCATTGTGCTGAAGCTAAAAGCGGGAATCTACTCAGGCGGTTGATCCACCGGCTGACTCTAGAAGTATGTCAACTTAAGTGTCAAAGCCAAACAAGTTCATGTACTTTGTGACTGCGACAGAAGATCCGCCGTGGTGGTTCCTCCATTTACTTTACATGTAAAAGTCAAGTCAGACGATCCTCTGTCGCAGTCCAGAAGTGCATAGAGGTGACGTCAGATAAGTTGACCATTGTTTACTTTCGGTTTGCAGCGTTTTCGCAACACTACTGTCCACATGAAAACATCTGAATCTCGCAGAATCAAGAATACTTACAAGCTTCAATAGGTTTTATAATACCTTCTAACCTTCTAACATTTTAATTTTTTGCCTTACAAAACACACATTCACATAACAGTCACGGATAATAACTGATAAGTAGTTTTCTTATGATACGATCACGAGACGGATGGTTTTAAGGTGGGGAGTAGGGAACGCCGCTTTGTGCAGAGGCATAAATTCATCATCGGTGCTTGCAAAGCGAAAGTAAACAATGGCCAACTTATCAGACGACACCTCTAAACTTATTTGCTGTGGACTCCAGGTAATTGGCGCTAATTATGTCCATCTTATTTAAATTGAGGAATTATGTTGATAGTTTCTAAGAAGGCTGCACAAGCCAAAATATATTCATAATGAAAGCCTGGAGATGAGAATGACTTTCAGCTGTTCAGAGCTCAGATCAAATGAAGGCTGTTAAAATGGTTCTTTTAACTCGCACATTTTACCTGACGGTGCGATTACGAAAGTCAATTTTCAAATTAGAATTTTTGAACTGTGTTTTGAGGCAGCACCAGGAGTATTTCCAGAATATTTCATCAATAAATTTGTCAAATGAATCTGGAGACATTTTGCAGAGGATGTTTTCGACTTCTTAAAATTTAATTTTCAGACTCAAAGTTTAAACAAGATGTTTTCCATGTTATACAGGACATGGTGTACTGCTGGTCTCCTGAGCCTCCTCAAGAGTGCAATGATGTAGATTCCACAGCTCAAGCAAGCAATATTGTTGTCTACGAAACTGATGAAAGTGATGGTGAACAAATTGTTTCTGATGGCTATGAATTACTACCGCTAGATGATGCAGCAGTAGGAAGTGATGTAGGTTAATCAAAAAATGTCATGTATCTATTGTACATTAAGCTATTTGAACTTCTGTCTGTTCTAGGTGACCTTGAACTTATTGTGTAACAAAGGAAGACGTTAAGTCTGCAGATTAACCTCTCAATAGAACTTGAACAATTCCATGTAATAGATTTTCCTTAAAAATGGTATACAATACACTTGATTTCTTTTGATCCAGTAATAATGTTTAAGGAGAAATATTAGGTGCGTCGTCGAAGTAAACTTTCCGTTTGCGTTGGGTGCTCAACGCTAACGGACCATTGACTTACCCGTTGGGAAATGCGTTGTCGGTTGTCTTTGTTGACTAAAAACTGTTGTGTTTTGAGTGCACAATTACATTTAGAGGTTAGCTCAATGCTCTCAACTACCTCCTGACTTGTTGACTTCCGTTTGGTAAAAAGGTCAGGACATCGGAAAATCCAAACGGAGTCGAACAAGGCTGAGCGTTTGGAATCGGGTAATTCCGTTGCCCAACGGTCCTAAACAATTTACTTCGACAATGCAGCTGACGACAAGCTACAACCCAGATTAATGTATTTCCACCAACAATGTATCATAGCTCTCTCTGTTTCAGGATGAAAATCTCGATGGAAGAGAATCTATGAGTAACGTCTCTCATTCATTAAATTTTGATCCAAGTGATACTTCTAACACGATACCAACAGTTCCTGTAAGTCCTCACCACAAAATTAGCCTATTTTTATTTTCCTTTTTTCCATTGAAGACCCCATCAGGACCACCTGATCAATCAAGCTTCACCGTATTATGGCATTAAATGTCATCCAAAAATTTATATAAGCAAGGTAACTTTTTCAAGATTCTTCAAAGTCAGGGAAACCTGGTAAGGTCACGAAATTCTACCCTCTTATGAAAAGTCAAGAAATTGGCCATCAAATTTTGAAATTTCTTATCATTTCATAATGTTGAAATGGCACTCATCAGTTGGATGACACCCATCCATATGCTCTATCGGCAGAGCTCAAAACTCTGTGCTGGATGTGGCTCATGATAAGAATGTTCAACCTCGGAAAATCGAGAAAAGTCAGGAAACTTTAAAATTTAAGAAAACTTGTCACACTGGACAAGTTTGAAGATTTTTCATCCCAGATGCAAGAACAAATTTCAGTTTTGTAAAACTGTTGTGTTAAAAATGGTGTAGGATTGACATTTTTGACCAGCATTGAAGATTAGATACACTTTTAACTGTGCAGCAATGAGTACATTCTGTTTGGATCAATGCTGATAAAAAAAAGTAAATAAAGAAATATCAATATTTTGTTAATACATTTTTGAAATTTTCATACCCTATGCTATATTTTTCATTCATGTTAAGAGTGCTCAGATGAATCCTTGTCTGTAAGCCCTTAGTTATTTCTATAACAATTCTCTCTTTGAAAACGGCCAGCACCATTAGACCAATTGTAAGCTCCAAGTTAAAGTATTATTTTTCTGTAAGTCTCTCTGTTGAATTACTTGGCCCTCAAAACTTATATGTAGGACAACAGCTTTTTGTATGTACAGTACCTTTTAGTATAAGTACGTTTAATTTCATTTCGTTCTCTAAAATCGGTTGTTTTATTCCTTTTATTTCAGAGTGTATCACCTTTTGAAGCAGATTCTGAATTAGACTTACCGCCCAGAGCAGATATTGTAGTTGACACAGCAAGAATTCAAGCCGCCATGGCACAATTCTCTCTTCCACCTTCTGCTATTCCATCTTGGGCATCAGTTATTCCTGAATCTCAGTGGACCCATCACCTCATGTCACGTATCAACACACTTCAAAACCAAAGAAATTGATAGATCGATAATAGAAGGGCAAGGTAGAAAAAATGGAACACCTTGAGTTTGTTGAAGAAAAACTTAGCGGCAATATCCTTTACAAGAGGTTAAACAGCACTCTTAGTGAAAGCAAATATGCTGTAGCAACTTTTTTAGACTGTCCTGCAGCCAGTTATGAAGGCATCCTCTTTTGTATCAATGAGAAAGTTGTTTCAAAAATATTTGCCAAGCTGTGTGGAATTCTAAAAGCTAAGTGGCATGATATCACATCAATCAACGTCTATTTTAGGAAAGGTTTTGTAACTGAAGAGGATGGGAGCTTTGCTGTCCTCATCGCAGCTCAAAGCTCTCTAACTTCACAAAGTGCAGTTCAATTTCTTGTGAACAATTTCAAATCATCGGAATTAGCATGGAAACAAAAAGCGGACTTCCTGATGGACTTCAATTCAGAAACTGTGTTTTTCGATTGTGAATTTGATAGCAGTGTGGAAAGCCTTTTTCCGGAAGAGCCTGAAGTTGTTAAAGCACAGGAAAGTATTGAAGATGATGTCCCTTCAAATTTAGTGCAGATCCAGGCCCCGAAAGAGGAGGTCACTAGAAGGATTAGTCAGTTCCTTGACGGCAAAAGGGATCTGATGAACAAACACAACGAATCTTTTTTTGCCTTAGTCAATTCTCAAAACTGTTCTAGGGTCAACCCGGTGAGAATACGCCAACACAGTATCATAGGCCGAAATAATAAACTCTTGTCAAGATGTATGGATGAGAGCAAATGAGTCAGCTTAACCTTCAAGAGATTTCTCTTCATTAGTCACCGATTTCTGTACTAAAACCATCCTTGTCTGAGGATGTATGTATTACTCATTTCCTGTCAGAGAATTTTCTTCCCTACCCAACTCTTTACGAAATTCGATCCTTCGTCAATTATTTTTCACTCTCAAGTATGTAGTATGTAAGCATTACTTTTTTAATTATTTTTTAGAAATGCAATGTTGTAAAAAGGAGGGAAGTATTTCAATATGATTATATAAGTGTTTCAGAACCGCTCATTAATCATGTTGGACATTTTGTCTGATTTTTCAACCATTTCCTGCTCCAGGGGTTCACTGACTCCGCAGCAAGTGACTCTCCCTCTTCCCCCTTATTATTAAATGCTACACAGACGTCCTCACCTCATTCTCATATTTCGGCGTCTTTTTCTTACAAATGTCTGTTCGTAAGTTTTATCGAAATTCTAAATTGGCTTTAAAAAAATTTCAATGAAAGTTCAGCACAATAATTTAGGCAATTTTATCAGCAATACAATTTTTATGCTACGAAGGACACAAGGAAGGGAAGAAATATTTCTATGATTAGATTTTTATAGGTGTGTCGCTTTATTAGTGGAAATTGACTACCTGATTGTTTGAATCTTAATGATATCAATCAGTGAAATGGGACGCATGACTTTTAGCAGTAAATCAGCGGTAGAACTTATTCATCATAAGTTTGACCAGTTAGCCCAGAATAGCCACCATTCATCGAAGATTCTCACAAACATTTTAAGAATGTTGGTTGGTAATTTTGGATATTCTTCACTTAATTTCAAAATAAAACGAGCAAGTTTTAATGTCTTGCTCATTTTGGAATTTTCTTCAGTTACCCATTTGTATAGTCAAATCTTTTTATAACATTGTAATGCCCAATTTGGCTGGAGATGCTATCAAATCAGGAAGAAAAACATGATGCATCAAGCCACAAGTCAAAAAATTTTTGGCTTGTGGCTCGATGTATCATGGTTTTTTTCTTGTAATGAATTGTGCTGTCTCTCGAAATAACGTTTTTTTGGAAACCAGAAACAATGTTCATTATTCCAAGTCCCGACCAGTAGTTTTTTGTCACAGCATTTCTTGAAATAACGTTTTTTCGAAAATAACGCTCCTCTTCTAATTTCCGATCAGAAATGTAATGACGAAATACGACTGTATTCCCATAAATTTGGTGTATGTTTTTGTCGAGATTCAGTTTTCTTCTGTTTCTTTGTATATACTGTATATTTTCCATTACATACTGAGATCTCTGCCTCACTCTAGACTAATTTTATAAACTCTACCATGTGTTTATTTGCTTGGCCATTAACTGTAAATTTAATTGTTAAATTAAATATAATGATTAAATCGTGCAGTTTCTTTCCTCGATAACTCTTGCAAGCACCTCACTTAAACCCATCTATTCCCTATACTATCCTATCATGGATAGTTTCTGATGAATTCGCAGGTGAAGATTTTCAATTAATCATGTACTGGTACACACATAGTTTCTTTTTTTAGGCATTTCAATTCTTCAGTTTTATCCTCTGTATGTAATTCTGTAATTATATTTATTGAGCGATGAAGATGTCATCATGTTCCGTCAGGAAATTCACGCTGTAAAATACTGCTTCCAGGAAAGTGTCAGTATATATTTTTGTATTAAAATGGAATTTCCTCTACTTTTGACTTTTGATCTAATTTATTAACAGACCTGAATTGAGTCATTTGCACCATTTTCCATTACAATGGAAATTCAAGTGTGGAACTGCAAAGATTAGTGGTTTCACCATGGACTTGTCAGATAAGAATAAGTCATAATATGTAATCCCACTACTTAGGAATGGAACTTGAATTAACAGGATTTCTACTGAGAGATCACAGAATCAGCCATTGGGCAAGATTTGTATTGGAATAAAACCTTACACGTTTTCTCTTCGAAAGCTTACATGGAATATGATTCACATGGTACAAAGTTCGAAAATCAACTTTTGAAGGAGATGCTGACAAGTATTTTTAACACGCATCAAATGAAAGATTGTACAAATGACGTCATTTGTATTATGGTCATTTAACCGATATCAATTGGAGATACTCATATCTTGTTTAGGAGTTGAGTTTTGGACTTCCTGTTGTGTAATGTGTTTTCCTCGAGTTTAGAAGAGAAAATGAGTTGCTTAATATTTTCATTCATGCCTTGCCTGCAGGCCAATTACCTATTGAAATTTCGAGTTTGTCGGGCGGACATAGATGACATGGGAGAAATGGTGTAGTGTGGTTGGTCCGCTATGTCTTATTGCTTCATTGTCGTGCCTACCTGCGGTCCAATTATTGAAACTATGTACTGGCCCGCTGGGGTGAATTAATGATATGCTATTGATAACTCAAACGGTAGCCTTAGCTTGTAATCAATTCTACCTGACATACGCAAGAAAAAGTAGTGATGAGATACGCCATTTCACTTCTGTCATCTATGTTTGCATGATAAACAAAAAATTTCAATAATTGGCAAGCTGGTGGTCGATCGTAAATGTTGAAGGGCTATGGAAAAATATAGGCAACAAGAGAATATGTTCAATATACATTTTATTCATCATATCACTGATCAGTCAAGAAAAGAAGGAATAAGGAGAGTCTAAAATAGTCCAGACGATAAAGATACGAGTAAGGTCTATTGAAAAGTATCAAAAATCAAGAATATTATAAAATTATATAACAAAAGCTAATATACAAGCTTATAATAAACACGAAATTAGATACCTACATTTAATATTCATCAGTTGACTTTGTATACGAAAACATCGGCTTTTTTAGTATGTTCTTTTCAGCAGTGAAACAAAAATCAAATATTACCAACTTTAAAACTTTGTACTTTAAAAATTGATACCAGCAATTCTTCGCGGCTTCTTTGTAACTTGTCTTTGCACTTGATTCTTTTCAACTACAAAAAGAGGGAGAACAACACTTGCGAAACTGTCACAGTAAAGCCATAAAGTCTCTTTTCCTAAAAAATAATTTGATCTTTTAAAAATCAATCAAATTGGGGACCATTTTAGAATACACTAGCATAAGACGATGCATGTGTATGAATCAAATTTCCTCTCCTTTAAGGTGTTCTGAAAGAGCCATAAAGTAATGAAAAAAATAAACATATAATAAAATAAAAAAAATATAACAACATAAAATGGCGCTTTATCGTGATGGAGAATTAGATGCTGATAACACATTAGAACAATTGAAGTATTCTAGATTAAGGCTCACATAACGCAGGTTGGTAAATTTTTAGCTAGTTTCATGCTACTGAGCAATTTTCACGTCCGACATGAAAAGTGCATCAGGGTGCAATGCACATTCGTGCACTTAAAAACAAGCGTTCTGACTTTGCTGCACTTCAAATCAGAGAAACTTGTGCGAGACTTTCTTAGAAATGTGCCCTTCTCAACTAACAAGTCTTCAAAATTATAGCATTACAGATTTTAAGCACAACTTTACTCGTCAATTTCATCACACAAAATCATGTTGTATAAATTGTTGTAAGAAAGTCTAAATAAATTGAGTTACGTGTCAATACAGAGAAAATTAAAGTAATTGAAAGCAACTAGTACAATAAAATAACAATAATCAAAATGAGTTATATGTTTTAAAAACATTATTTGAAACAAAAGAGAGTTTCAAATCATTAACTTTTACAGGGTCCAATTAATAAAAATTATTCTACTTCAATTGGGCAGGACATAAAAAGGCATTACAGTGGTTTTATTTAAAACTAAATAATTGGTTGAAGGTTGATTTTAATACCATTTTTCTTTCTTCAAACATCTCGGCTTTTTATTTTTTTATTTTTTTCTCTCAAATAATAAACGGAAGACTTATACGGATTGCGAGGAAAAATCTTAGAAAATGCTGATGCCCTAAGCTAGACAATGTCAGTAAAAATTGGAAAAAGGTTTGCGAGAAACAATAGAGACAACCTGCTTGCAGTCCAATTTGTATGCATGGATAACCTCACAAGACAGGAAATCCAAAATTTGCAGAATTGCTGTAGTTCAGTGGATTTCAGCCATCGCGCAGGTCGGTAACTAAACCAGTAATTTTGGTTCATATTGCAGCTATCTATCTATTCTAGACCGATTAATTACCTAATGCTTGCCTCCTAAAAACTATCCGTACTCTATGCATACAAATTACATGATTCAATCAATAACAATTCATTGCTAACTTGACTTAATAAAAATCAAATGAATGAAAAACTGTCAACACGGTAAAGTTTAGATGAAATAACTGAGAAAATACAATAACGCCTTAAGAATGCTCTTACTCCTTGAACAGCGTTACTTCTTTCCTAAAATTAATTTACAAAACAGAGAATGCAATTCGGACTCTCAATGGGATAGTCAGTACCTGAACGTTTTACTCCTTTCACTATACTAATTTAAACGATTTTCTCAACTTCCAAAAAATAGCTGCTACAATGCGAGTGTTGCAATTGCTTTTAAAACGATTTCGTTTGCAAGCTGCAGCGTTGGTTAGAACATACTTTTCAGGAGTCTCTCGGATTTGCAAAACCTTGTGAGATCAAACATGTTTTAAAGCACAAGAACAGATGCATAGGATTGAGTGACATTTACATAAACAGAGCTGTACTAAAAGTTGATGAAATTGACGATACATAGTTTTACAAAGCAGGTTTGTATACAATGAAAAGAATATCTTGATGTATGCATCCATCGAGTAAAAGACTGAAGAAAAGTAAGTGCGTAGGAAAAACTGCTATGAAATATGAATCAAAACGTTTGAATCACAGTTCTGATATTTATCTAAGAGGAAAAAGATAATGAAAGCTGCTTTGTAGAAAAATACAAAAGATTAAGAAATTTAAAAAGTTGCAAGATTGAAAATTTTGAACCTAACTTTATTGAAGTTTAATTTGTTGAACATTGAAAAAAAAAACCAATTAAAAAGATTCGGAAAACTGTTTTTCTTATTTCATAAGTCTAAATGCAAAAAGAGGAAAAAATTTGGTATATTGTGCGTGAACATATACATATAACAATAAAAAATTCTTACTCTTTTCTGGAATTTATAGAATACAGAGTATCTCTAAAATGTAGGTTTACCTCTCTCTGGTAAGTTGCTATCTATCAGGAAATAGCTATACTCTTACCTTATAGCGCTCCATCAAAAGCGGCAGTCTTTATTCTTATTCCTTTTTTTTACACGGTAAATAAAAGGAAGAAAAAAAGAGAACACTTTGGGTTTGGAGCAATACAGCAAAACCATGATATTAAAAAATTTGAAATTCTACTAGAGATACATAGCATCGATAAAGGACTTGAAAATGATAATGCCAAAGAATGGCACATGGCAAAAAGAGACCCTGATTTAAAATTAAAATATGAGCTCACTTCCAAGCACAAGTCCTTTCATTATAGGTAGATGATTCAACTCCATTGGAAAGACGAAGTTTCATAGAAACAATATGATATTGCACTTTCATAGAAAATTCAGGGGTTAATTGGATCTTAGCAAACAAAAAAAATTGTATGAGCAACAAAATAATTCTAGTTAAGGTTTTTCGTAAGTCTGATGGATGTAAGCATTGTAAAATAGAATAATTGTAAATTTCTGCACTGATCATAGTTGAAGCAAAGCGAATTGGAACATAGAAGGGTATATACATAATATAAATAGATTTGTCTTGGAACACAGTCTTTTAAAATTTTAAATAAATCATCTATCGTATAAATTTGATTCAATTTTTCTAGAGCATAAAGTACAAACTTTAAGTAAAAAATTTGATAGAAATACATAAATTAATTGTAAAAAATTAAAAATAAATATGATACAATGATCGGTAAAATTATGAGTATTTACAATATTGATGACCTCATGGTATGGTTCCTCTTTCTTTATTGCTTGATGCCTTAGGAAAATTTCGACTGATTTTAAAATTTCTCAATAGATATTTTAAACAAATACATGGGACACTTACAAAAATAAAACATGAAACACTTAAATGAATACAGCACACATTCTCAACAATTGGAAAACATTTATTCTAATTGTACTAAAACTTTTCTTGGCTTTTAAACAAATCTGAATAGTGGGGCACGAAAATCAAAGGTGAAAGTTTAGAAGTTGATTGGGACGAAAAAATAGAGAAAATATTTTCTTAAAAAAAATAAAGAAAAAAAAAAGATGAAAAGTTGAGGGTTTTGTCATATAAAATAAAAAAATTAAGAGAATGGGGTACCTACGTTGTTTTTTATTTAGTTTCTTTGGATGGAGTAATTTTTCCCATTCAAACAGGGGAAAAGTAAGAATAAACCCAAAAATAAAAGAATTTAGATTAAAGTGAAGGGAGGGGGGGGATTTAATGAAAAATGTTAATACTTGACTCAGGCTATACTATATAAAACAAGAAAAAGACAATCAATACTCCCGCAAGGAACATCACTCAGATCCCTGAGTAAAAAGTAAGTTTTACTAATAGATGAATCATGAGTGTGGTTCATTCACTTGCGCTTTAGTAAAATAAGAGCTCCCTAAAATGTATTTAATTTACAATTAATACTGTTATATTGACTAAAATTTAAAGGAGAGTAAATGTACAATGTTTGGATAATAGTTACAGATTCATGACGACAGTTAATAGAAGTGATAAAAACTTCACGATCGTCAGAAAATAGCACCTTTCCAACCAGCTTTTAAAAATGAAATATTAAAATAAAAAATAAAAGATGAAAATTCACAGGAAGCTAAAGGAAGTAAGGAGAGAAAAGGGATAATAATTCAGGGTACAAGTGAATTTTGTCAGGTAGCAAAGCAAACTAAGAATTAGAGAAGTAGAGGGAGACAGGAGACAGGAAGCATTATAACAAAGTTCAAACTGTGCTTTGTGCCTTAGAAAAAAATAGAGCACGTGGTCAATAAACATTCTTTAAAGTCTATCGAAGACAAAATAAAAAACAAGTTTCTAAATGCATTATCAACTGCCTAAGACATGGCGGTACGAAATTTTACATTGAATGACTGTGAAACATTTTGAGTGAGGCATAATCCACTTTCAGCTGAGGCACAGAGAATTTCAAGCATTCTCTTTACATTTGTTTCTTTAAGATTTGAGAAACCTCAATTTTCAAAAAATGTCAAAATTACAAACTTGGGAATTAGAAAAGGACCAAAATTTTAAGAGCTTATACTCTGCAAAAACCTGATGACAAATCAAGGGAATAATGGGAACATAGCTTAATTTATCAAAATAAATACTTGAGAATTGAGAAGTTTAAAATCGCGAAACATCAAGGTAGAAGGGTGATGCTTGCTTTTAGATCTATCGGTCAAACTCTCCTCACTGATATAGAGTGGGAGGCGATATTGGCATGCGAGCAAAAACAGAAAGAGGAAGAGCGTGGTCTCAGTAAGCCGAGGCTTCTTTGTACTCAGAGCCTTCCATTGTGAAGAAATCTTCTAGTTTCCATTGGAGCGTTTCAAATGTCGGTCTCTTCATAGGATCCTTATTCCAGCATTCTAACATTATTTCGTAAAGAGCTGCTGGACAATATTGCGGGCATGGCATTCGGTATCCGTGTTCTACTTGGTGCAACACTTCAGCGTTAGTCATTCCTGAAACACAAAGAAATGCATGATTCTCCATCCTTTAACCTACATGATGGCCAAAAGCTAAAGACTTTCAGCAGTAGCAGTGAGTAAGTAGTTAGGTTGTTCACCGATTGATACAACCATGTGAAAGTCCGTTCAAGACATTCTCGTCGCTTTTGCATTGATGCTTTTATATCTTATTATGAATCCACCCTGACAATCGTAAAAATGGACTGCATTTTGCAATTTGGAATCCTTTACTTTGAGGCATCAACTTTTTAGGGTCAATTGAAAATCCAAATGAATTTTTATGGCTAACGATTTCCGTCAAATTTTGGACTAGATTTGAAGTTTTGACAGAAATGATGCTGTAGATGCACTTCAGAGAATTTTACATTGATATCATTGGTTACTTCAAAAATAATTTCTTCAAATTTTCCAAAAATTGAAATTGAAAATATTAAAAATGGGAAAATTGGGGTTTTTATTTATTTATTTATTTTTTGGAAATATTGAAAAAATCTACTTTGAGTTTTAAATCAATTTTTTTGTGTTGATTGGTGATTAAGTAAAGGTATTTATTTCTTTAAAAAAAAATAATAAAATAAAAAAAAAAATATGTGATAATCTCACTACTGCAGGAATTGGGTAGAGAAAAGATTCCAGATTACGTAAATATTTACCTGGATATGGAATGCGACCATAAGTGACAAGTTCTGTGAGGAGAATACCAAAAGACCATACATCTGACTTGATGGAAAATTTGCTGTAGTTTGCTGCTTCAGGCGCTGTCCATTTAATGGGGAAACGAGCTCCTACACGAGCTTCATATTCATCCTCCTAAAAACGAAAAATAATAAAAATTTACAGGATTTTCTTTTTTAGATTTTCAGGATAACCAACCATCTTGAGAGAAAAAATTCTTAAAAATTTCTGGAACTTCAAGAACAAAGTGAAAATTTTTGAGGAACTTTTCCCCAGGAAAAAAACTTCAAAAATTTGTCATTGAATAGAGGACACATATACTCACTTTCTAATTAATGTTAAACATTATTTCCTTTTCATAAATTTTAAAATGGTTTAACTATTCATCATACTCCAAGTTTAATTCCAGAGAGCGGAAAACAAAAAATCGTAAAAAATAAATATCTCCTTGAATGTTATATTTAATGATGAGATCAAAGGATTTTTTCACTTCATTGCATTTACTCAATCACTTACAGTCATGTAATTTGATAACTTGTTAAAGTTGTTAATTTGGATTGCAGATGGTTATAAGAACAATCAATGCAGCACATCTGAGAAAAAATAAAAAAAATTGAAAAAGAGAGTTACCTTGATTAGCCTAGCAAGGCCAAAATCAGCAATTTTCACTGTTGTTCCATCTCCGACGAGAACATTTCTGGCAGCTAAATCACGATGAATATAGTTTTGCGACTCTAAATATGCCATTCCAGTGGCAATCTGAGCAGCCATATCAATTAACTGAGTTAATTTTAAGGTTCTTCCTTTACCTAAAACAAGATAAAACAATTAAAATGGCTCAAAAGAAACCCTCAGGGTGATTTTTAATTTAGGTGACTCTCACATCTTTTTTTTCGTCTCCTGGCGAGCAAAAATTTGCTTACAGATACTAAACTTTAATCAGTTTGTGCCAACTTCATGTCGGTTTTGAAGTGATTCTCAAATGAAACAAAGTTAAAATAAAAAAAGTAATTTTTTTTCATTAGTTTTATTTATTTATATAGGGATGGGGCTTTGGTGAGATTTAATGCAATTAAAAGTTTTGATTATTGTCAAATCATTCAATTTAAGTACTGAAATTTTGAATCTTTAACTTTCCGATTAACAGCAAGCTACAGGGATGAAGTTCATTCTAAATTTGGTGTTGCCTTGATATGTAGAGGGTGGGTAGCTTCTTAAGATTTGATGTAATAATCAAGATTGCAGTTCCTCTGTCGCACTCTAGAGGCTTGCCTCATAATGGCGTCAGCTCTAATTAAAGTATGAATTATGAGTGGGCTTACCATGAAGGAAATCAAGGAGACTTCCATTTTTCATTAGTTCAGTTATAATATAAATTGGTTCTTCCACAGTACACACAGCATAAAGTTGGATTAGCTTGGTGTGTCGTAATTTTTTCATTATTTGAGCTTCTGCAAGGAAATCTTGAGGGTCCATTGTTCCTATATCAACAAAAACAAGTGCGATTAAAATAAATTCTTCATTTTTCGTACAATTATTTTTCTTTCTTTCTTTCTTTCTTTTTTGTATGGACATCTCCTCCCTTCCAATTGGTAGAGGACTAAATAGTTAAAGTCTTTTTTAAGAGGTAAATTACCCAAATTAGGAATGAAACGAAATATAAATAGTTACAATATTATCAGCTCATAGTTATGACACAGTTATAACATTATCAGCTCTATCTTGCGATTAGCTTCCTCTTCTTCAATTATTAATATTTTTGAAATTAAAAGAAAAAACGCATCTACTGGTGAATTATTTATTAAGTGATGATGTATCAATTTTTCATGGGCCCCTGGTGTTGTAGAGAAAGACCAGCTGCAGCTGTTTTCTTTTCAAAAATATATTTATAACTTACACACATTGATTTTTGCTTTTTCATTATGAGATTGGGTATTATCTAAACCAAGAGGAGTGGACGTTTTCGTAAAAGATATATGTAAAAAAAGGACCTATGCAAATTAACCTTATCAGCTTCTCTGGGTGTGACAGATAGATTACCCTCTCAAAAATATTTTCTAGGTACTTGAAAGTTGATTTTCTACATAGGAGACTCGTGTGTCTACTGCAATCAGTTTGCAAAAGAGTTTAGACTTTAAAGTTGGGGGGGGGGCGGCACAGAAGGGGACTAGTATTCTGCTTCGTGCAGCTCCACCCAAAAAATATATATTGTTTTGACCATGCTGCGATGAAATTACCATTCAAATTCGGAATCCACCAATTTGAATTCCGTGGCATTTTTAAAAACTTTACAATCAATGTCAAGTAGCAATGCAAAAACCAATGCAAGATCAGTTTTTGATGATTGAGTTCTGAAAAAAATTGGTTCTTTACCTGGCTTGAGCGTTTTTATGGCTACTGGAGTTGTGTTGTTCCACAATCCTTCCCATACTTCTCCAAACTGTCCACTGCCAAGTTTGCAAACAAACTTCAGGGATGATCTATCAATTTCCCATTGGTCCCTTGTGCTATGAGACAGGCCAGCGGTAACTGGTTTCTCAATCTAAAAGAAAATAAGGTTTACATTGGTTGTAAAAGAATACATAATTCCAAAGAAAGAATAGGATTGAGGAGGCAGGTATCTAAAATCAAACTTTAATATTCTGATTGGAAAGAACATAAATTAATGATTGAAGACGCACATTAAAAAGGGTGAGGAAAATGAAGTGGTTTCATTTAGGTAAAAAATAATCATTAGAATGCGTTGCAACTTTTTCCAGCCACTACAGATTTTGATGGGGGGAAAAGAATCTTTCCACTTTGAGTTTTGTACGAATTAAATTCAGTCCATACTTATTCAATCTTTAAGAAAAAGAATCTGGCAATTTTTAAATTTACAAGAGATATGTTGAGCGCCTTTTCTTTCGAGGGAAGAAGGGGAATGTATTTTACATACTTTTTCTTAAAAAAAGATGACCCTAAGTATCAAGAGTTCTGGAATTAAGTAGAAACAGTCTAAGTACCTGGACACAAGGTTTACGGAGATTGACACAGAGTCCATCGGCTTCTCGACTATAATGTTCAACAAGTTCTTGAAGAGTTCGGAACGTGGTTCGCCGTGCGATGAAAAATCCACCTTCATCTAGTTGTCTTACTCTATAATGTTTTACTGTATCACCGTCACGCACTACAAAAAAAACAAAAACATACAAAACATTATATTACATTCAACTTTTCATTCTCTATAAATTTTCACATAAAATTTTTCTAAAATGGTAAGTTTTCGTCTTCTGAAAAATTCGAGATCAAAAAGTATTCAAAACAGGTCATAAGAGAAAAAAAATAGAAAACCGAACATGATGTGGAGGACAATTAATAAAAGAGCAGACAAAAAAGCAGTAAAGTGTGTGAAACATAAAATTGAGACTCTTCGTTTTTTGTTATTTCCTACGTAATCTAGAGAAGTCCGAGAAGTCTGAGAAGATCCACCTTATTCTCAAGACAGTTTAAACCTGCTTTCTCACAGTGCTAAAATCAAACAGAAAGCTTTGAAAACTGTTCCTGAAAAAGAAAAAGTATACCTCCGAACAAGAATGCTATGCAAGTACGTTTAGGGTTGAAAAAATGAGGGAGATGAGAGGAAAGAGAGGAAACAGGAGCGAAAGGTATGGATGGGGAAGAGAGAGAGAGAGAGAGAGAGAGACGAGGAGAAGACGAAGATAGACTGAGAGAAGTATGGGGGCGTGATACAAGATGGAGATCAAAAAAAGGGATAAAATTTACCTGACAAGGAGTAATCGTTTCTTCTACTTTCCGAGTCCCTTATTAAGAAAGCACCATGGTCATTCTCTGGAAGCAGCAATTTCTTTTCAGCTTCAATCCTTTTGATCTTCCCAAAATACCATCTAAAACAGAAAAAAATGGAACATTACTTCACTGATAATTCCAAAATCGTCGATTTATTCAATTATTATTCAAACGCAGGTTACAGATTTACAGCAGCTGCAAAACAAAATAAGAAGTAGCATTGGATCTTGATAGCCTGAGCCGAGAAGGCAGACAGCTTAAAATGTATAAAGTTTGAACGTGCGTTGTAAACTAACGGCAAAGTTTACTTTGATTCCCTCTTTTTTTCTGATAGCACAATACGATGAAATACTGTATTCTCCTGGAATCAATCTCTAGCCTTCAATCAGGCTCGCGCTCGCTGCGAGCCTCGCGATTTGTTTGGGGATAAGCACAGAGACTTTAACGCCGGGATAGAACAGTGAAACGTGGAAAGGCTCCAAGAACTTGCATGTTCTCTGCCTAGGTATCTCTCACGTTCTATTTTTCTAATAGAGAGCTAAACTACTAAACGGTTTCATACCATCTGTGAAGTTACCCTCAATGGGTCACTGAGCCTTGTGTTTTTATTTGATATTCTGAAAGTATACCAGATGAGTGGATTACGTGGTGATTTATTGCGTACACTGGAAAAAAAGTCGCTTGGATCTACAGTCCAGACTCTTAATAACAATGACAAGAAAAAATACTCTTGATACAATCCGATTTTTCCTTGAATCAAAAAACCGAGCCTCTCGATTTAAGCGGATTTATCTTTGATTCAAGCAAAAAATCCGATCGAATCAAGAGTATTTTTTCCTGCCAATGTTTTTAAGAGTCTGGACTCTAGATCCAAACGACTTTTTTCCCCGGTGCGTAGTCCAAATTCCGGAAAATACCCGAATATTTTGGATCAGATTGCGGACGAACTCCTCTGAAAAACCGGAAGAAAAATATTCAAAACATTCTTCAAACATGGATCACTGGAAAAAAAACACATTGGATCTAGGGTCCAGATTCTTAAAAACATCGACAAGAAAAAGTACTCTTAATTCAATCAAAATCTAGATTAAATCAAGAACCAAGCCTCTTAATTTAAGCGGATTTCCTTTTGATTCAAGCAAAAATCCGATAAAATCAAGAGTATTTTTTCTCGTCAAAGTTTTCAAGAGTCTGGACTCTAGATCTAATGTGGTTTTTTTTCCCCAGTGATGTTATATCGGATAAAATTAGGCGACGTCTGAGTGATCATGCGTCGTTTTGCGTTGGCGCAGCAGCGCGGTGGCGGATTAAAATAAAACTAACGACGAGAGGAAGGATATGAAACGATTAACCGTTGCTCAAGACAATTAACGAGCGCTTCGTAGAAACTGCCGAGATAAAAGACACAGGTTGAATAACCCAAGCTTCAACGTATCTTCATCAGAGTGATACCACCGCTGCTTGGCTGCCAAACCGCCCGTCGGCGCAAATCCACTCTTGTGCTTGCCGTCCTACTAACAGACAGTCAAGGCGAGTTGGATGCAGAGACAAGAGACCCTCCAATGGCCTCTTGGCGACAGGTGGAAGCTTTTACTTTCGGAGATTCGACACTTCCTTATGGACAATTATACGGGAGCAATAGTCATCAATCTTTTTCCGGCTGTTGACCTACCTACAGGGTGGATGATGAGCTTCGGGTGACGTCATGAGCCAAACAAGTTTCCCAAACTTCGGCTTGTTTGCAAAACGAAACTGCCGACACGTTGTTAAACAACAGCCATATAGGTAAGTCAACAGTTTAATGTTGAAGTCCCGAAAGTAAAAGCCTCCACCATAGCCGAGAAACGAGTGGAGGGTCTCTCGTCTCCGGTTGGATGGGTAAGGGGTTGATCGAGGTAGTGTGAATAATAAAAAATAATCTTAAAGTCGTAAGATTAATTTTTTTTCTCTCTCTCCTTTTTTTTTGAAAATTTTAATCTCGGGTTTTAAGGATTTCTCCCGTACAGTTTTAAAATTAAAAACCCTAAAAAAAAAAAACGAAAAAACTACATTTTCTCATAGCCCTATTTTTGGACATACTGCGTGATATTTTCAGGTTCGTAGAGGGTTCTACAGACACATGTCATTCTGTATCAACGACAAAGACATAAAGACGGAGCGCTCGTATCTAAAAGCACGGGGAAAAAGTGAAGCTAGGTTCGGCGCTGCGCGCTTGTGTGAGTGTGTAAATGAGCGCGGGAATCCATGGCGGCAAACGGAAATTTGATTTGAACTTGTCCTCTTGATTTTTGCACATTTCTTCTTTGAAACGTATTTTAAATTCCTAAAACGAATATACTAAGAAAGTTCGGTCTGCGTCCTAATATAATACACCTACTTTTGCTCGGTAACAGGCAGTAATCTCAGATAAAGTTAGTTTTTCTTCTGCTCATGGTGGTTCTGCAGGTTCAAACAGACCGTTACAGTTCTAGATCAACGTTACTCCCAAATGAAATTAATCGGTCGACGACGGACTGAAACTAACCTAAAGTTAAAAAAATATGAGTGTGTACCTGAATTTGGGCAAAAATCAACCTAAAATACTTTGTTTCCGCAATTTTATTTATTAGTTCCCGCCCTACATTTGAATTCAAACTTGTCCCGATTTCGCCGCCAATCCTCTAGTCAATAGTAGAGGTGATTGAAAAGAAGCTCTAGAAGCTTCATTTTTTGCTTTTAGTGCTCCGTCTTTATGTCTTTGATCAACGACCACTATTTGGCGCGCTGGAGAGTTAACCCATTCAAACTCTCCCCTGGTGGTATTATAGCGTGAATACCTCCACGAGGTGAATTATTTTTGCAACTGCTCAGAGAGGCGCTCAGCTCAGATCTTTTGGGTGCGTGGAGCTGGCTACAATATCGATGATAACGAGTTGCGCGGAGGCAGGAGAGAGGCGACTCCAAGCCGAACCGAATACGGTCGATTCATAAAAATCAGATGCATGCATTCGTAATGACTCATTCCGAGAAATTGAAAGTGAATTTCAAGGTCTCGTCGCGCTGATAAGCCGGATAAGCTTGAGCATAAAACAGCAAACAGCTTGGGTTGACCGCGACTGTGCGCATTCGTCATCTCTGCGCAGTATAAAAATGACAATTTAGATGGCTTTTGTACGACCACTTGTATGAGAAAGTATGACCGGGCAGCGATAAAACATAAACTGTATCCTCTCCTTTCCTTCCTTTTTTCCCTTGAAACTTTCTAAAAAAAAGTACACAAGTGATAGCTCACTGATTGTGCTCGGTACGTTATAATCGAAATCGTCGAAATATTAAAATTTGGACACATTTTGCAGTTAGGAACTACAATTTCTGGCCCAGTTTAGAAACAACGTATGTCCCATTAGTTCCCTAGGCACATGAGTGTTTATACGGATAAGCCAGAAATTGTAGTTCCTAATTGGGAAATGAAGTCCATTTGGTAAAGGTCTACAGTCGCAGCTCGACACTACCGCTCGGAATAGAGAGGGTGATTATGAAATTACGACACTTTTGTAAGACTTCCTCAGCAGCTACATGATTGAAGTCAAATAACAGCAATATTACGGCATTCATCAGCTTTCAGGCTTACAGACACCCCGTATTTTCATCATAACATAACTTCTGCCCCCGCGAGACACAGAGTTGGCGGGAAATGGAGGGGACCACTCTGTCAGGCGTAGTGCTCATCCCGATTGTTCAAATGGATATTTTCATGCTAGAGGAAATAAAAAACAAACATGAACGTAGGATTTGAGTGTCAGGTACACTGGAAAATAAACACATCGGATCTAGAGTCCAGACTCTTGAAAACATTGACAAGAAAAAGGACTCTTGATTCAATCAGATTTAAGCTTAAATCAAAAGGAAATCCGCTCAAATTGAGAGGCTTGGTTCTTGATTTAAGCTTAAATCTGATTAAATCAAGAGTATTTTTCTTTTCCATGTTTTTAAGAGTCTGGACTCTAGATCCAATGTGTTTTTTTTTTTTTTTTCCAGTGTCGTTCCTTTGAAATTCTCCCAAAGCGTCGATGAACTTGGCGAGAGGAAGCAACAGATCCGATCGAAAACGAAAAACGATGCTGAGGGAGGTATGCGGTCGGATACTGTTGAGTGACAACCGGTTGCGGGTCGCTGCCGTAACAACATTCCGAGGGGCCATCGTTTCCGTTGTTGTCGGCGCCCGGTTTCGGATGTGCACGTCCCCCGTCGGGGCCCGGGGTGGCCCGGGGAGGATGCAAAAAAGCCCCGGTTCAAGGACGCCGCGAGGACCGGTCCCGCGTCGCGACGCCGACGCCGCCGTCCGCGAGTGGCCAAACAACGAATCGGTCAATAAAAAGTTGGGCCGCGCGCGGAGAAAGGAAGAGAAAATAGCGGCGCTCGGCTGCCGGATCGTCGCCATTATCGATATTTCCCCATTTGAAGCTATAGGGAAGAATCGATTATTGAGGCTTTCGTTGTGTTCACCCTGTGTTTCGATCCTTTTCCATAGGTTTAAATGGTGGATTTATCGATATATCGCAAAGCGGCGACGCTTGGACCCGCGGTGGCGTCTGTCTCGCTTCTGTATCCGCGTCAGGATTCGCGAGATCCGCCACTGCGACACCGTTCCCCCAGGCCGAGGTTGCCGCTTTCGCGACTAACAAGCCGCACATTGAAAAAAGGTCAAGAAAGGTTTCTAGAGAGGTTTTTTTTAAACCTTTAAAATGCTATATCCTCCATAAAAATTAATCGAAATTCAGGGGAAAAAATAGGAATGACAGAATCGAGAAAGGTTTTTTTTTAAACCTTTAAAATGCTATATCCTCCATAAAAATTAATCGAAATTCAGGGGAAAAAGTAGGAATGACAGAATCAAGAAGGGTTTTTTTTTAAACCTTTAAAATGCTATATCCTCCATAAAAATTAATCGAAATTCAGGGGAAAAAATAGGAATGACAGAATCAAGAAAGGTTTTTTTTTAAACCTTTAAAATGCTATATTCTCCATAAAAATTAATCGAGTTTTAGGGGGAAAAATAGGAATAACAGAATTTTTTTCGACTATTGAAAGGTTTTTTTAAAAATAAATTGGCAGAGAG